TTGTTTTGAACACGGTAATGAACCTCCAGGTTTAAAAAAGTGCAGGGGATTTCTTGAGTGTCTGAGCACCTGTTGGCTTCACAAGAAGAATTCAGGTACATGGGGTTGGCCGGTTAGTAAGCTAGTGTCACCAGTAGTGCTCTGTAAATTACATTATTCAATGTCTTGTTGGCACTACAAAGCCGAACAGTTCTTTTACTCGTATTAGCCTCTTGTTTTTCCTTTAGTCGCTTTGCTTCTCCACACGCGGAAAGGAGGCGCCTGGTGAAGTCATGACTCGACATCCGTGACCTGTATTTGTCGCTTTGCATTCTTCGCTAAACCAGTCAACAAGGTTCCTGCAACTAAATGACGTCATTTTGTTCATGGCCATTATGTGCATCGATCCTGTGGTCATTCTTACGGCCCTCACTGTATAGTTTATTTAACGACTAAGCGTGGAATGACGGCAATTAGTTTAGTTTGTTGCGTTGAGTTGCAGTACAGGTATCCACATAACACCAGGTTTTTGTGGTACACAGTTTCAATACATACAAACTAGTTTTATTAAAGTTAGTTCATATACTATTACTGTCACTACTGATACTATCACTACTGCACTATTACTGTTTCTGCCCCTAATCCATTTTTTTTTTCATTGGCGCTACAACCCTCATTTGGGCCTATGCCTACCTCCACGAAACTCTCCGTTTCACTTCGGTTTACTAGATCTTAAGACATTCGGTAGGACTCCTTGGGCGGGTGATCAGCTCGTCGCAAGGCCTCTACCTGTACACAAACACAGAAAAACGCACACAAACATCACATATTTTAGCTTCCAGTTAATCTCAGGGGGTTGTGTCCCACCTAACTTTGGTCTCTCACTTACTTTTAGTTTTAAAGAAATACTTTTCAGTGGTTTTTATCTTACATTTATGCATCTAATTAATTTCATGTATGCTGTGACCTCATTTATATGCAACCATTTACTGTATACAAGTTCATCTCCCTACGTTTTCGTTTCAGGGGATTCTAGCAGTCCTTCTTCCACAAATACAAGAGAAAACTCCCCTCCTGATGCCCCCTAGTTTCCAGATCCTTGCTTTCAGCCATATTATTCCTTCTCTCATTCCTTGGGTAGGGTGACAAGCAAGTAACGAATTAGAATTTGGAAATGGCCATAACCAAATTCGTCTGCGGGAAATGGGTAAAAACCACGAAGAACGTCGGGGAGGGTAGCTGATGTCCAGAATGCATGGCACAGCCGACGCTGCCTCAGAGGTTAGGCATAAAAAAGGTAAAGCTGTACCTGCAACAGGCCGTGGAGGCCCATCGGGTTGTGAGACGTCGAGGCTCCTACATTTTGTAGACAGTCGGCTAATAGATGATGGTGAGGTTTTCAGCCTTACTCGCCGACCGGCCGACCGCCCTTTACCCCCGGGAAGATTCCTGGTACTTATTTCTGTTACAGGCTGAGTCGACCTCAGGGCTATAGTGCTGCTGGAAGGATTAGGTCAACTGAAAAATTAAATTGAGAGGTTCGATATAATGAGACAAAAATCAATATATTACGTTTTCGAACTGCTGCTTATTGATTTTGCTGTTGAGGAAATTGGCCATAGTAAGGAAACACTTCTTGTGCATTTTCAAGATTGTCAGAGCCGGAAATGAGTATCTTCTGTAGTTTAGTCGCGTCAGCAGAGGTCCACCACACACTTCCTTCCGGCTGACAACTTGTTTATGCTTCCTTTGTTGGATGTGGGGTTCTCATAACGGTGTCTATTAAGAGTGCTATCTTCTGGACAATGATACCCTGCAGTCCACTAGAAATTCACCGACGTTTCGGAGGAATGTTCTCCCTCTGTCTTCAAGATCTTGAGTGTCAAAGAGTAAGATAAGCAGCGAGCGGTTTGCCACTAGTTGGTTGCTTGCTTGGTTTGCTCTTCAGTCCTGAAGAGGAGGCAGCATGTTCCTCCGAAATGTCGGTGAACTTCCGAGCTATATGGAATTACATCCCAAAGGATTAAAAAAAGATGAAGTTGTCCCTGTACTTAACTAATTAAGCATTACGCAATGAAGGCATATAGGGGAGTGGATCCATAGATATATACGTATTCTTGACCTCGGCACTAGTTGTAGGTGATTGGTCAGCTTCACGCCTCGACCGGTACCCATTGGATAGGAGGCTGGGTGGGCCCCAGAGCCGATCTGGACGAAGTGAAGAGGTGAAAAATCTTGCTCGTACCGAGACTCGAAATCTGAGCCGTCGGCCGTTCAGCCTGTAGCCAGTCATTATACCGAATGCGCTAGGATAGTAGTATTCATGTTATTTCTCTGTTTACGAATGGGTATTTGAAGCATTTTGTGCACTACAAATCTTCAGATTCTCTGTCATATCACTTAGATCAGCGAATATGAACATGACAGGGGAGTTAGTGACGTCGTTGATAGGGGAACGTAATTCATGGTATAGTGGTTACCATCCCTGCTTCGAATTCTGGAGTTCTGAATTACGAATTTTGGCCCGAAAACGAGCCAATCGAACTATCTGTTCTGAAGGTTATGTCTTCTGGGATGTTATGCTGTCTAGTATGATAGATTTTTACCGGAGTCTTAGAGGAACGTCCATCTTAAGAGTTGATCCGAAAGATGGAGGTAGTATGTTGCTCTGGAACATCGGCACACATCAGCCACGCCTGACGGCTTCACATGCCTGTAATCTTAATATTCAGTGTTGTGAAGACCTTGAATGTCATGTAGGATATTTTCTTGTTCTTTTATTTATTTATTTTTATTTTAGTCTTTCCATGCAGATGTTGGAATGACACATTAAAATAGATTGCAAAGCAAGCTGGCTTTAGTGGTAACCTTTCGGACTTGCACTGATGAGGGGCTTGGTTCAATTGTGGACTAGGCCACCGACTATTCTGACTGAAGTTTCTCATAGTTTTCCTCCATCTTTTTGCACAAACGCCGGGATAGCTTGAAGTAGGCTGTGACCACTTTCTTAAATTTAGTTTTCAATTTATTAATTATTATTCTGTCACATCATCTGACACTATACGGCCTCAGCCACTGACAGCATTGTCAAATAAATTGCTTCTATTCCACATGTTTTCATGTCTTAATAATCTTATCATTTGACACTGTACAACCCATTTAGTCGATAAAGCAATTTTATGTTAACGAGAATTACCCAAACAAGCAAACAAACAGACAAACAAACAAAGTTACAAACAACTTTGATTAAGAGAGTATAGTGGTATTTGTCGTAAATTCTAGAAAAGTCACCATTTTTATGAACCCACTATTGATATGTGCCAAAAGGCAGGGACTGGCATGTTGGCCCAACTGTTCCATGAAACCATGGTAAATTTCCTTGTTAATATGTCCAAGGACTAAAGGGATTTCTGAGAACAGAATTTGTATAATGTGCAGAATTTGGAAATTGTTTGTAAGGAAGTTTATTTATGCAGTGAAGCCTGTTTGTAGCATAATTAAAAGGAAGTTTTCCATTTCATACAGGTTTATGTTCAATTCATGTACTTCCAAATGAACAACTTAGGTTTCTCATGTTTACTTGAATTCCTGTGGGCAAATGCTGACCACATACCACTTCCTGCCAAATTCTTTATAATTCATCTGTCATCACTTGTCATCAATCATTCTTCCATTCAAAGCTATATAGTGTAGCTGCTGACATAATCACAAAATAAATTGCAAAAACAAAATTGTTGCACCTTAGAATACCCCTGTATGGTATGTCCTCCACCAGTTTATCTGCGGGATGAATATAATTGAAATAAATGTATGTTTCAAGGAGTAATGGAAATAAATGGCTTCTAAACCATACTACTGCATATGACATGATTATTTAACTGTATCAAATTAGTATGACTTGTAATCCTTATTGTCAGGGTATGAAAACATGGTGTCAGTCTAAGATATAGAAAACCCAATTTCATTGTGTTGTGTCGCTGATGAGAAAGTCTACCCATAATTGAAGACCTACTGTAGAGATGTCAAGTGGAAAGAAACCATTTAATTTACCACTCATTGCAATTACTTTATTTGTCTCTGTTCCTGGTCGTAATAGATATGTGTATACACAGTGTATAGTCCCTTGGAATGAACTTGTCTGGGCTCTCTGTTTGTCTTCTAGAAATCTGTTGATCTGTTATGTGAAGATACTTGTAGCAGTGGAGTGAGACCAAGTCATTTGTTACTGTGGCCTCAAGTGGATCTATTGTACCAGCCCTTGATGATAAATGATAGTTGAAAGGGTGAAAACTTAAGTGCTCAAAGGAAACTTTTCCCCATTGCCACTTTTTTCACCATAAATCACATGTGGATTGCCATGGGATCGAACCCAGGCCACTGCAGTGAATTACCACTGACCAACTTCCTGGGCTGTGGCATGGCCTTGTATGAAAATAAGCCTCAGAAGACCCATTTGCTAGAAATTTTGGTGTAGGAAGTGAACTGAAAAGGGAATTAATATCACAGTTAATGTAATATCATTCATGATATTACATGAGAGTGTAGTTGTGTGGCTATGAGGTCATAGATTAAATAAAGTCATATGTTGATAAAAATTTATTTTTTATAGTCACAAAATACAGTCTCTTGACTTTGAGGGAACATCTTCAGTTGAGGATGTTTTAAAACAGAATACACAGAGAAGTAAATATTTGGAGCCATATCAGGCCCCCTTGGGGTTCGAAGCTCATGTTAAGCTGCATGTCCCCATCTGTCCCCATGTCCACTTTATCATTGGGGAGAACAAAATATGCCCTCTAGGTGTCCCTACATGGAAATGGGTTCAATTCCATTGTTCAGATGAGCGGACACCAGAAGAGCCAAACAGACTGTACCTGGAGGCACTAGAAACCAAACAACATAATCAAGAAATACATGATTTATACAACAGTGGGCCAAAGAATTGTGAGACTTGTTGAAATTCATATATATATATATATATGTCCCAAGATTATCAATCCTTTATTCTTATGTGTTCACAGGTTATGAGCATATGGTTGAGATCAGGCCACCTCAGTTGATTCCAGAATCGTCAGGCTCAAAAGAAATCAGTTCTGGGGATGATTTCGAGCTAGTGTGCCAAAGTGATAGACCTATACACTGGTTTTATCCCCAGCTTGCAATGGACATTGAAGAGGTACAGAGTGCAAATTGTTAATTTAGAAATTTTGCAGTCACAAAAGTGAAACTTGCATAAAATTAACAAATGTGGTATCCACACAGTTTACCTAAGGACAAAAATGTGCGCATGTTCTCAGAATACCAGTGTGAATATTCTTTCTTCTGTGTTCCTGGTTTTTCATCTATAGCAGATACAAACGTATTTATTAATTTATTTCAGTTTCATTATACTGAAGAATGATTCAAATAAATGTAAGAGTTCTTAAATGAAGTCTTTATATTATATCATGCACAGTTCTGTGTATGATAACCCTTTCTGAAAAAAAAATTAATGAAGCTTGAATTGACCTTGCTGTGAACTAGAATTATATTGGATTGATACAAACCGAAATAAACTTGTTTGATGGTATTATAGTGGTGGCTATGAAGACTGCAGTTTTCTGGATTATGAACTGTGTAATTCAGAGAGAGCCCCATGTATTGGAGGAATGTATCACCCCCTACTTTATGGTCAAAGACTAAACCAAAAAAGAAACTAACAGAAGCATGTGGCAAGCCTGAATATAAATTTGGATCAGTAAATGAGATTTTAGGTTCTTACAGCATTGACTGCAAATTTCTGTCTTCTGTGATATGTCTCTGTATAGTTGAATACTATTCTGTCTTGATGGAGGCAACAAACAAGTATTCCTCCAAAATATCAGTAAACATCTGTATGACTATATAATGCCACATCCCATAAGACAGTAATTAATTAATTAATTTATTTATTTATTCTTATATTCAAGTAGATCCAATTACAGGGCGAGAAACACATTGACACACCACTGGATATAGAATACGTCAAAAATCAAAACAAATGTTCCAACCAATCACTGGAACAAGTCAAAATAACATAATATAAAACATAATATAAAAGTGTTCAACAATCTGCCACAAAGTATTAAAAACTTGGGCAATGATACTAAAAAGTTTAAATCAGAGTTAAAGAATTATCTACATGCTCATTCCTTCTACTCTTTAGATGAATACTTCAATGTAAATAGAGAATGATGTAAAATTAAGTTATATTAATTTTTAAGCTAAAATTGCCTGTACTTATGTATGTAACCTTTTGACTTGTTCTGTATCCAAAGGTACTAACCTGCTTAGGATTTATAGAATGTAAATAAATTCAATTCAGTTCAATTCAATAGACAACACAGTCACTAGACATAATAAAATGTGACTACAACAAGACTTAAATACTAGATGAAAACATATTAACCATTTATCTTATAAAATTCATCCAGTTTATAAAAACAATGCATATGAATGGATATTATCAATAAACGATACAATATCAAATAATGTATGTTACATCACTCACACATCAAAAGAAAAACTATAAAAACATCTAACATGCATGAGCAATAAATGGAATAAATAACTTCTCTCAGAAGTGTACTAAAAAATTATTATGGTAATAAATACATTCATAAATAAATAAATAAATTCATAAAACAACAAGAGATTGTATGTTAAAATAAGTGAAAGTCATAGTTAGTTTGTATGCAGATCTAAAGTAGATGATTATTTGTATATTTTTAGTTATTTAATAGGACTTGTCAAGGTTAATTTTAGATGCTATTTATAAGAACCAGGATCACCCCTTGTGTTCCATTCATAATATTCATTTAAAGAATAAAATGAACCAGCAAGAAGAAACTCTTTTAGAGCCTGTTTGAATTTAGTAATATCATTTAATAGATTCCTGATGCCTTGTGGTAGATTATTGAATATCTTAATTCCTGAATAATATTCCTGGTGTCTGACACCAGTTGTCACGTGTTGGGTGTATAATGTGACAAATAACTTCATGCCGTATTGTATATAGCTAATTTTATTTCACATTCCCTTTTACAATCACACAAATTACAATCTGACAATTACTGCCATCAGCAGTATCACAAATACTTCACTGCAAGCGCTGGTTGACTGCCTGGCTGTCTCGTAACTTGTAACTTGAGAACTTGAGAACTCAGAACTAACTGCTGGCTAACTCAGAACTGACTGTGAGTAGTCTTAGCTGCTCCTTATTTAGCTTCGTTCCGGACAACACAGAAAATGGCCACGTAATAACACCACTGTTGTCTGGCGTCGTGTTGCTAGTGACGCTGTTGGGAGTTGTTTACTGCCGCCTAGCAACTGCGGCATCCCTTGGCCACGTCTCCGCTGGCTGGGTAGGGGAAGTAGTGTTGACTCACCTAGTAAAGACAGCGCTCTGATGGTGTTATGTCACCGTTGGCGGGAGGAGGGGTGTCCTGCATAGCGCAACACGTCACATTATTTTTAGGATGTTTTGTGGAATCTCATCATATCTCTTAGAATTCTTACATTTTAATGACTTGATTATATCTTTAATTTCTCTTTTAGTTACTGGGGTCATATTTATGTTTGGAAACGGTTGTTTATACACCTCAAAAATGTAACTTAAGGAGTTAGATACATTAGTAGGTTTGTTAGATTGCATTTGATTTGGTGGCATTATAAAATAGTTATTAAAAATATTGGCCATAGTTTGTGATTTATTATATGATTTCCCATCAATACTTACTGATGATATTATATTTTTGCTTGACTTGGTATTAGTTATAGATCTAATGATACTCCAAGTAGTTTTAATTTTATTTTTAGAATATATAATAAGCCTACTGTAATGATGCTTCTTTGCTAACTTTATGATATCAGATAAAATTTTACAATATTTCTTGTAGTATCTTACTAATTCAGGATTGTCAGTGTTTCTGTTAAGCACATACAATTCTCTTTTACGTGCACATGATGTCTTGATTCCAGTTGTTAACCAGCTTTTATTTTTTTGTTTAGAGAAATGTTTTTATAAGGAAAACTATGATTAAATATTATTAAAGTGGTATTAAGAAAATTATCGTCTATAGTAAATATGTGTGCGCAAGTTTCACAATTAAAATTTAGCTTGAATTCTAATTTAGTAAATTCATTTATGTCTCATGTACTAACAGAATAATTAGGTGAATTCAGGAATTTAAGATTATTCAATGTAAGAATTTGAGCATCATGGTCTGATATTCCATTTGACAATGAATTTATTGAATACATTTCATTTCTATGTTTATCAATAAAAAAATTGTCAATAGCCATAGCCGAAAAATTGGTAACTCAAATGGGAAAGTTGACAATACTACATAAATTGTATGAAGCTAACAGAGAATCCAGTTTTTGTTTTTTAGTATCGCCATCATGTAAACAATTAACATTTATATCTCCACATATAATAATATTTGACAAATTTGTGTATATTCGTGTAAGAATGGATTTTAGATTATTTAAAAAGTATAAAAAAAATTCCTGTTGGAGATCTATATACAGTTAAAATATAGATATTAGAAGGCGCTATTAATTTCAAATTATTTTAGTTTTCTGAAATTCCCTGTCATATATAGGATGAATCATATGGTCCCTCGTCACAAATCAGCATTTCCAACGCTGTAACAAACACCGGAGAATACCATTCTGTACTGAAAGTGACAAATGCCATTTTCTTAGATACTGGCTTCTACTATTGTGTTGTAAATGGAACCACAGATTTGAAAAATGCTCTGGAAAATGTGACACACGTGTATGTATATGTCAGAGGTAAGCACATGACTCAGTTCTTATATTTTTCCCAACTCTGAGGAGGAATATATTATGAAATGTTATTTTTTATGATATTCTTTTATTTACATGCTTATTTAGAAGCCCAAAGGCCAATTATAAAGTAATTTTTATAAGAATCATAGAACAAAATATTATGCTAGACTCACCATGCTGCTTCATATCTCATAATTCTATGATAATGCAGAAAAGAAAGGTAGTTAAAAGAGAAAGTCAAAGTTATATAAACCATCATGAAATTCTCTTTATTAACCTTTTTATGACCTAGTTATCTGTAATTAATTTAAATTGATGAAATAGTGTTTACTTTCACTGGTATTGGATAGGGTTTGAAGCATGCATATCTAATTTTTGGAACAGTCTTTTCTTTTTTAAGCAGAACCTAGAGGTCAAATTGAATTTCAAAGAACAAAGATTATATTTGATGTGTAACAAATCCCACTGACCATGAGGAATCAGTGAAAATTAGCTCTGTCACCAAAGTACAATACCTCCCATTCTGTGACAATATGAAATACCGTGTTAAGTACATATCAGCCAACCATTCTTTCCAGTGTTAGGCATATTGACATAAGTTACATGTATTACAAAACAGAATATTCCATCATTCCAGAGGCCTTCCCAAACTTCTTTTTCTTTTAGTGTCAGTTAGTTTTTACAGTCTCATGCACAACACTATATTCTGTCAGATTTATTTAAAGTTATTCACTCTAAAATTTATCACTACATATTTTGACCAATGTGGTCATCATCAGGTGTTAAAATTATTATTGGGTGAGGAAACTGTTGTGTTCTTTTTCGTTGCATATGTTGCTAATAAGGCCCCTCATTTCTCTCTATATTTTAAGAGTTTTTTTTTTAATTTTATCAAAGCACATCCTGTTATCTTCACATTTGCCCATATTATAATGAAATACGTTAAGTAACCCCTTCTGATGATTATTTTGTTGCATTCAGTCAGTTTATTCTTCAGTCTTTTTAATTTATCTTGTATTTTTCTATTAAATCTGTTTGTGGAATTTGTAGTTCCCTCATAATTTCTTCATTTCTTTGACTGTCTGTCCTCTTCATGAAACCCATTTCTGCTGATAATCATGTTCTCTCATCAGTTTCTCTTATTGTCCATGATTTATTACCATAAGATAATATTGGCCTAGCAAGTGTTTTATGTATTGATATTCTTGTATGCCTAGAAACTAATGATTTTTTGAAGATATGATTTATAATTCTCCTGCATAAAATTTAAAGTTGCTACTTTTTCTCCTGGAAGGAACTTAACTTATTTTCTCTAACACCAGAGAAGTATGCTTTCTGTAGTTATACTTTTGTATAACATAACACTAATACCAGTTACACATTTGAAAGGAAAATTATAAGATTATATTTATTTGATTGATTGCAATAAAATGTATTATTTCAGCCATCAGATTTACACAGACAATGGTCAAATTTATTTGGCTGTTTTTCAGATTTAATAAATTTGTTGGTGAAGGATGGGAATTTTGTAATAGAGACTGTCTCACAGCACCAGCCAGCAGTTATCCCATGCCGGCCTACATCCTTAGATGTAAATGTCACCTTGTGGAAGGATGGTACTGAGGTTAGTTTACCTATCTATGCACTTCAGTGAATTCAGATGCAGCATTACAGTGATTAGTACTCCTGCTTCATATTCATGAGGTTTTTGGTTAAAATTTTGACCCAGTTAATGATCATCATGATTGAAATTTCTTGTGGCTTTCCTTAGTTCAGCCAGGCAGATCTAGAGTGATACTTCTGAACAGTCCAAAGCAATTTTATATCATTCCAGATCTGTCATTCATAATCATCTTACTGTTTGCATCTAACCATGCCACTGATAAAGAGTAATTAAATAAACCAAGAAACACATCTGGCACTTTTTCCTAACATGGAAAACCTGTCTTTTGATATGAAAACTGAACTTGTGTATTACATTTATCTGGCATGTCATAAAATATTAACATCTTTTATGTAAATGACACAGCAAAGTTGAAGGTAATATGTACAATAATGTACTGAACTTGTGTATTACATTTATCTGGCATGTCATAAAATATTAACATCTTTTATGTAAATGACACAGCAAAGTTGAAGGTAATATGTACAATAATGTACTGAACTTGTGTATTACATTTATCTGGCATGTCATAAAATATTAACATCTTTTATGTAAATGACACAGCAAAGTTGAAGGTAATATGTACAATAATGTACTATCACTGAACCTAAGAAAACAGAGCTGGGATATTTCCATCGGCATGGTAACAGGCTATGGTGTGGAAGGCCAGGGTTATTTTCCCAGCAGGAGCAGGAGAGAATTTTCTCTATTATGCAGTGTCTAGACCGATTCTGGGGCCCACCTAGCTTACTTTTCAACTGGTACGAGGGGGCCCTTTTCTGGAAGGTATAGGGGCTGGGGCATGAAGCTCGCTACTAACGTTCATCTAGTCAAGAATGGCAGAGCTATACCTGTCTTAGCGCTTAATTAATTAAGTGCAGGGACAACTTTACCTTAACCTAACAAAACAGCTAAAAGAATATTGAACAGAAATTATTTCATAATTTGTGGCCACTTCAGCTAAAATGTTCCACTTCTTAATGTATGGAGCATTTTATTTTCTATTCTCTTACATCAGTGGTTCTCAAACTTTTTACCTCTGAGCCCCCCTGATAAGAGAAAATACTCTCAGGCCCCCCAGCCTGTTTTATCAAAATAGAAGTCATGGTATGTTTGACGTTTTATTCAGTTTATTTTGTGTTTTTCTACATACTATTTAGCAGTTTTTTACTCAAAAAAGTTGGGAATTCCTTGCCAATATGTATCCAGAACTCCAACAAAGACAATTTCTTAAATTTACTTTTTAATGAAGTATCACTAGTGATATTGATGAGTTGTTCTTGCTCATTTACCTTCAGAGATGATGGCCCAGGAGCATTTTCTAATGGATTTTTAATCCAATTAAATTTATCAAAATCATTGCAAAAGTATTTTTCGAAATGAACTTTCAACATTATGAGATGATCAAGTAGGCAGCTTTTTATGTCCATTGGAAGCACTGGATTATCAGTGTCTTGTACCATTGACACCAGAGTAGGGAACATGTCCAGCCTGTCACTTTCCATATTGTTTCTCCAGAGGTACAATTTTCTCATGAATGCCTTCACTTTGTCATTCCAAGAAAGTATAGTTGCCTCGTTCCCTTGAAGTGAAGTGTTGAGGATATTTAGTTTATCAAATGTATCTGTGAGGTAAGCCATTTTCAATAAAAAATCCTTGTTGCTGAAACTGTCTGCCAGTGGGTGATTTTCTCCATTTAAAAAGCAGAACACCTCATGCCTCAGCTTAAACACTCTCTTTAATACCTTGCCTCTTGAAAGCCATCGAGCATTACTAAAAAAACAACAATGTGTTCGGCACCCATTTCCTCAGACAGTATTTTAAAAAGTCTAGACTTCAGAGGATTTCAGAGGATGCAGCTGCTGCCGAACTATCAATGCTGTCTCTGGCATACACGTTTTATAATTGCCGGTAAAGAGAATTATTATTAGTGATTTTGAAATTCATGATAATTAAAGCCTGTACTCATCAAAAGTTTTTCTATATGTATTTTTATTTTTCTTACTTTTCTAATTGAGTTAGGGCAGTTTTAATTTTTATCTGTAGGAAAGTATGCTGGGACTGGCTACATGCTTGATGACCAAGGGGTTGAATTTCGAGTCTCAGTAGGGTCAACAATTTTCTCTTCTCCATGTTGTCGAGACTGGCTCTGGGGTCCACCCAACCTCTTATTTAATTGGTACCGGGGGCTTTTTCCCTGGGGGTAAAGCTGCAGGGGCATGAAGCTGACCACTCACCTCCAGTTAGTGCCAAGGTCAAGAAAACATGGATATATACATCCACTCCTCCATACGCCTTCATGGCATAGTGTTTAATTAGTTAAGCACAGGGATAACTTTACCTTTTTACCTTTATCTTTACCTTTCTCACAGGGGATACTGTATCAGTTACAACATTTGTAATTGAATTTTGAAATAAAACTTAAATATGTACTGATGTAGTCTTGAAATTTTGCATGCAAATATTATTTGCATATTATTGCATATATTATATTGCATACTATAGTTTACACAGTCCATCTGCATTAACTGTTGATATTTAGTCATTAATTATGTCTACTTAAGATATGAATTTAATTCAAAGCTCTCTGAATAAAAGCTTCAGAATTATTATACAAATCTGTACAAGTAATTTACGTTTACTGACCAGTTTTAGCTTTCAGAACCATTAAAGTCTAATGAGGCAGCTGTTACAGTATGCCTATGAGGTGATATGAACCTTATATTCATTTTCAGAACTTTTGGTAGTAAAACCTAAACCCCATATCATCGACTCTCTTTTGTATAGTAAAGTGTATAGAATTTAATAATAAATATTTTGAAATATAACAACATGAAATTATGCTTAGAAATAAAAATTAGGTTCAAACAAAATGTGTTCAGTAATCATAAGCTCCAGAATGTATAAGTGTTTGTTTCTTGGACTTGATCCTTGAGGTTGTTGAAGGCATCTACATGCATATTCTTGTTCCATGTACTAAATTTACATTGATATTCAAGCTCAGTCTGTAATATGAGTGGCTATGGGCTGGACGGCCGAGTTTCAAATCCTGGCAAGGCCAAGAATTTTTTCTTCTCTGTAGTGTCCACACCAGCCCTGGGGCCGATCTAGCCTCCTATCCAGTGGGTACCATGGGCTCTTTGGCCGGGAGATAAAGCGGCTGGGGCGTGAAGCTAGCCGCTCACCCCACTCTAGTGCTGGGGTAAAGAGCAGTGGATCTGTACCTCCACTCCCCCTTATGGCTTTCATTCATTCATTCATTTATGGCCTAGTGCTTAATTAAGCACAGGAACAACTTTACCTTTTATTAAAAATGTTGGAATCTTTCAAGAACCTATTTCAGTCCAGGAAAAATATGCTCACAAAGTTTTTTGGGTTGTATATATTTTTGTTAATTTTTCATGAAGGTGCTATTTATGCATGTCCATATCTCAAGATTCATTTAGGTACCCATGAAGAAGGTGTTATGAATGTGACCTATGATCCTACTATCGGTTTCACTCTGGACCCAATCAACGTTATGCACATGGGTATCTATATGTGTATTGCCAGTCTGGGGGAGGTATCAGAAGAACTCCTCTGTCACTTAGATATTTTGAGTATGTATAACTTATTTTAAAAAAAATCAAGCTTGCAATTTAGATTTGGCTTTTTGTCATGAAGAGAACTATCTGTGTTTAACATAAGCAACTGGTAGGGTCATAATTTCAGTTTCTCTCACTTAGAAGGAAATGCAGTTCTGATATATATATATATATCTTCATACCTGCTGTTAGTATATCCCAGAAAACTCTTCAGCCTAAAATTGATGAATAATAAGCTTCTTGTATGGTCCTGAAAGCAGTAATATCAGCCATAGCCTATGTTTGGACAAAAATAAATTTACGCATTCTGTTATCCTGACAGTGTTATCAAAATCACAAATTGGTTTCCATGTTGAATAACTAACGTAATGTATTTTATTATGAAATAAGATGAACTGCTCAGTTTTTTCTGAAATTTAAAGAATTACTTTATATCTAAGATCCCTCCATGTTACTTAATGCCAAATTTAAATTGCTGATAGAAATGTAATTATAGTTCATATAATAATGCATGTAACTATGTATTGTTATTTCAGATTACAGAAATAAATCATGATGTTAGTTTTGATCCTAGAGTTGGTTTCACAGTTATTTTACATAAAATAACTGATTCTGGGGAGTTTGTTTGCAAAGCAATTCAAGGTACAAGTGAACAGGAGATGCCTTTTCATATCATCGTCAATCGTAAGTGTGTGGCCCACAAGTAGCATGAATCTCCTCAACATTAAGCTGGTGGTGTGGTTCTTCTGTTTCGTGCAGCTGGCTCTGCGATTGTGGAAATATATGTAAGACTTTCCAGCAAAATACCTTATATCAGAAACAGTTACTCAGGATTAGAGAAATGAACAATTAAACTTCAAAATGAGGTGTTCAGTTAGTACACACAGTCCAGCATACATTATGGCAGTGCACTGAAATCATCTGTATTAAAAAAAAATTGTAGTGATGGTTGCTGGTAGAAGGATCTGCCAATAATATTTGCCTGTCATGAGTTGTCATCATTCTGATGACAATTGATTTCTTAGAAGAACTTCATAAAATCTGTATTTTGTATTTTTATAGTATTTGATGTTACGGTAACACTGTTAAACGATTTCACTGCAAGTATGCAGAGCCCGTAATCATTATGTATAATCACCACAGAGGATACTACTTCACATCTTAGTCTGTAAATCTGGCAACATGTTATTCATATATATTTTCTGGCCGAAAGATACTTTTGTGGTAACATCCCACATACTTACACTTACACTTACTACTTCACATCTTAGTCTGTAAATCTGGCAACATGTTATTCATATATATTTTCTGGCCGAAAGATACTTTTGTGGTAACATCCTACATACTTACACGCTGTTTCGCTGGTCCAACAGACAACACTCCTAGGTCAGTATCACATTGCTGCACATTGTGCTCATATTTATACAGCACTCGATGTCCAACCCACTTGCAGATCATCACGTGTGCTAACCAATCACATTGCTGCCAACACTTGCATTTATACAGCACTCGCTGTTCAGCCCACCTTCGTATCATCGCGTGCACTAGCCAATCAGTGCTCACAGTCGCAACTGCAAGTTTCGCTCCGCCTATCAAGCATGGTATAAAAGGCGGAGCCCAAAGCTCGCAATAGTCAGTGATCACATTCAGTTCAGAGCTATTGGGCATCAGAGTCATTAGCTCTTCACTGCTACCAGCCAGATAACGTAGCTGCTGCAGCTCTCCAGCAACCTCGCTCTGCGACCAGGCAGCTCTCCAGCAACCTCATTCTACGACCAGCCAACTGATGTAGTTGCAGCAAGTCTCCAGTGACCACGCTCTGTGACCAGGCAACTAATGCAGCTGCCGCAACTCCAGAAACCGACTGTAGGCAGCTGTTTCTACCATCACACACAGCACTACATCATCGGTCAGACAGGCCAGCTGAATGGCCATAAGACTTGGCCTACTATGAAGGAGCAAATTCTGCTAGTGCGCTCATGGTGGAACAAACTACCCCTTTGAGGGCCAGCCAACTTTTGAACATTCCACATAGCTTCGCAGCTATTCTGTACATTCAGTTTATACGATTTTGTATATACAATTGGTGCAGTTCTACATGGTTGTCATTTAGAACATTGACAATCCCACGCTTTATTTCATTATAAATTGAAAGCTATTAATTTAATTTATTTAATGCCATCATAATTAATATTTTCAATTATCATCATGCTATATTTGCTATTGATATTGTTTTTTAATTTCCCATTGATTTCCTGTCATCCAGGTCTTTGCCTGCTTCTGTGGAGTATATCTTTATTCTGAAAAGAAAACATCACTTTCCTACGATGCTGTAATAACATATTCTTTCAGCGGTTGATATAGAATTTAACTCCAGCTAGTTCTCATGGTATATTGACTTGAATATTCATTTTTGTATGATTTTTCATCCACTATCAATAGCTATATTTTATTTCAGATATCATATATATATTTTATTTAAAGTAGGAAGTACTAACTGACAAATTAATTTATTGTTGCACATACTAGACATCTGGCCTGTTTATAAATGTTTTACATGATAATGATTCATAAATGTGTACAAATCNGGCGGTCATAACCGAATTTGAGGTACTAACTCAGCACTAGCCTGGAGAAACTGAGGTAAATGATAAAAACCTTTAGTCAGGTGTGGGATTGTCGATGCTCCATTAGACAACCACTCCATTCAGGGCCATTTGTTCCACCGCGGTAGATAGTTTTACGGCCGTTCGGCTAGTCTGTCTGGCTGGTGATATAGTGCTGCGCGCGCCAGTAGAAATAGCTGTTGGCTACGGCATGTTGGCTGATGTTGCGGCAGCTGAGTTAGTTGTCTGGTCACAGTGCAGCGGTTGCTGGAAGTTGCCTGGTTGCAGAGTGTGGTTGCTGGTGCGCGGTTGGTCGTGGAGCGTCGTTGCTGGAGTGGCGGCAGCTGAGTTAGTTGTCTAGTCACAGTGTGACAGTTGCCGGAACATCAGCCAACACGCCGTAGCCAACAGCTATTTCTACCAGCGCACACAGCATTATAGCACCGGCCAGACAGACTAGATGAACGGCCATAAAACTATCTACCGTGATGGAACAAATGGCCCTTTTCAGGGCCCACAAACTTTTTGGAGTGGTTATCTAATGGAGCATCGACAATCCCACATTGGTGACCCCGACGTGATAGTATGTGGGATGTTCCCACACAAGATAATTTGTCTTCAGGCCAGCATTTAAACCCAGCACCACCAAAATGTGAAGGAATACTATACAGCCTTTGTTATATATGTGTTTAATTTTAATTTCTGACACACTTTTAAAAACCAACAAATTAATTTAACATTGTGTAATCAGATACTTGATTAGTGAGAGAATTCCTCTGTCTGAATTGCGAGTTCATTAGTTGGGTGGTTTTATATTGTATTTGCTGGCAAGTCTGTTGTGATGTAATTGTTTATGCTTCATTTCATTTGAGGGATGTGGAATAAGTAAGGTTCCCTAGCCTGAGTTGCTGCAGTTCATTTGCTGGGTACTTGTGGATCATCCACCATATATTCCTGACTTTAACCTGCCAGACTTCCATTTGTTTGGGCCTCTGAAGCAAATCTTGGGAGGTCGCCAATTCCACATTAATGTAGAAGTGGGAATGACTTTTTGTGGAAGATCTGCAAATGCAAGAGCCAAATTTCGACCACAGTGTAATTTTTAAACTTGTGCCAAAATGGGACGAATGTAATCAATGTGCTCAGAGATTATGTTGAAAAATAATGATGCATCACTGGAATAAATGAGCTACATTTAATGTTGTCATGTCTTCTTGTTTAATTTTTGTGATCTAGGGAACCTTGTTTATTGAATAACCCTTGTATAATGCATTCCCTCTGTGGCATTTAGTACTGTACATACACTTAGATGTTGATAACATTAGTGGCATATTAATATGAAGATAACCACAATTAACAACTGAATGCTTTGTAATCTTGTAACGTGTTTAGTTACTGAAGACGCCGTTCGGATTGTTAATTGGTTTATTTAACAACCTACAAGCCGTAACTACAATTGATTATAACACTATTGTGGGGTTTCACACTTTATAACCCTATTCACAATAATCTGTTCACTCTGCGGGGTTTCACACTTTATAACCCTGTTCACAATAATCTGTTCACTCTATCTTCAGTAGTCTACATGTATTCACAGTACGGGAGCTATTTAAGTGTCACTGTGTTACACACACCCAATTACTTCTCAGTTATCACAAACTATCACTGGTTATCACATGCGTCCGGTTCTTCTTTCCGCGACTGCTGCTAGATTCCAAGTGTGTTGCTTCGGCTCACACGCTAACTCCTGATCACACACTAACCTGATCACACACTAGCTTGATCACACACTAACTCTCATTTACTGCTCAGCCGGCTTTCTATTCTGTTCGCTGTTGCCTGTTGCCCGTGTCAACAGCAGCGTTGCGTGCCATGTCACAGTAGGAAGCGGTGCCACGTCACAGTGCGGAGGGGGGGCGGAGCGCTGACTCACCTGCCACACCACCGCTGGGGAGGGAGGGGGCGTCCTCCATTGCGCAACACGTCACACTATCAGTGATTATCACATGCGTCCGGTACTTCTTTCCGCGACTGCTGCTAGATTCCAACTGTGTTGCTCTGGCTCACACACTCCCCTGATCACACACTACTCTCGCTTACTGCTCAGCCGGCTTTTTATTCCGTTCGCTGTTGCTTGTTGCCCGTGTCAACAGCGGCGTTGCATGCTTCGTCACAGTAGGAAGCGGTGCCACGTAGCCCGGGGGGGGGGGAGCGTTGACTCACCTGCTACGTCACCGTGGCCAGAGCTGCCACGTCACTGCTGGGGGAGGGAGGGGGTGTCCTCCATAGCACAACACGTCACAATATTTTGTACTTCACTATTTAATTTCATGATGTGTAATACATACATAGCTATTTTGTGTGAAATGTGCCTCTTATTCAGAAAGTAGATTTAATATATTCAGTTGGAGATTTTTGTATGTGTGTGTTTATGTTTTCTAGTCATATCAAATCTTCATGCAGAGTGAGGCAATAAATGAAACCTTGTATATGTTACCAGTATTCCAGGGCTATAACCTGTAGCTCTAGTTTTAAGATATATTGTATATTTATAGCAAGACTTCAAAATAAACATGTTCACAGATTGCAGGTTCTCAATACCATTTGAAAATTTAGTAAGCATCTTTAGCAAAAACATTAAGCTTCGTTTATTATGTACAGTACATTATGTGTTTCAGATGTTATCTTATATATTATTCATGCATATTCATAAGGACATCAAAGATAGAAGTAAGGAGTTACATAGTGTCAGTAGGTATACTACCATAGGTCTTTCCTGTACAGCCTTAAACAGTTTTTCATTTTAAATGGAGATGCATTACTTTTTATGAGGTAGGTGTCGAACTTTTAAACATAACTTGATGGTGATATGTTGGGATTTTGGACTTTATCCATCGTCCTGGTTTTTAAGATAACAAATAAAAACACGACGTTTCGGAAACTGGATCTGTTTCCGTCCTCAGGTGAAGGAAAACACCTATTCAGTTGGGTCCCTTAGAAAGAGCTAGCCTCAATCACTGAGCCTCAGTGATTGAGGATGGAAACAGATCCAGTTTCCGAAACGTCGTGTTTTTATTTGTTATCTTAAAAACCAGGACGATGGATAAAGTCCAAAATCCCAACATATCAGTGTGTTATACACCATCGTCAGAATCCTATAGTAATAACTTGATGGATTTCACACTTCAGAGGTTGAAGGGTCATGTGTTGATCAGCAGTTAAGGGAAGTCCTTCCCTAGCATTGTCATCTGTTCTTACTTACATGTGACTTTTAACTAAAAAATAAGTGAAAGATAGCTATTATATCAATATGTGTAAGGTATAATATAGGAAAGTTCTTGTATTCAAACTGTCCAATTATTGTTATTGCCACTGAGCATCCATAATTACATTTGCTTTCATAACAGCCATGTGAGGCATGTTTGATGCACTGAAAATCAAGGAGATGCATTAGTGAAGTAATTTTTAACTACTCTTAGTTATGCTTATGGTGTTAAAGTGAAATGTGAATTCTTGATATAACATGTATATATTAAATATAGATAATCAACCATTGCATGGGAGCTACAAATTGAGTTTTTCTCACATATTGTTTGCCTTTAACTTTATTTGCATTTGTTTTGTGTTCATGTTTGTTTTTCTTTTAACTCATAACTTCAAAATATAAAGTGCATACACAACCATTTTAATTTTTATTTTTCTGTTCATAACTAATTTAATTGTTCTTTTTTTTTTTTGAAGTAACCAGAGTTTATGGTAAAAAGTGGAAATAAAGCTCACAATTGAATTTATTTCATGTTCCAGAGGGTTCTAGTTTTATACCAAAGCCTACAATTAATGATACTTACTTGAACCCTGTTGTCGTTGGTGAGAGACTTTACCTTGAATGCATAGCTCGAGCAACCCGAGGTATTAAATTCACCATTCAGTGGCATCTACCTGAAACTGTAAAGGTTGGTTAATAAATAATTATTTCTTATGATACTTTTTCTCTCACCTCATCTGACAAATATGGAAACTCATTCCTAGACCTAAGATTGCTTATGCAAACATTGGCATGTAATAGAGACATTAACTATCATTTGCTTGATCTGTGCTAATAGTCTGGTAAACTAATTATTTCACACACATATACTCTTTATATATGTGTGTATCTTCAAGACAGAGATCCTTATGAACAAGCGGAAGTTGTCCCTATGCTTCATTAAGCACAACCCCATGAATGTGCATGGAGAACACATTCTTCTTTTCAGAACAGGATGCAAGAGGTCAGCATAACTCCCTGACCTCTTACTCCCAGACTCTTCCTTCAGAGTTTGAAATCACTTTTCACAGTCATAATCAACTTTGTTATAGTACAAGCATTAAGCTCTGAGAAATTTTAAGGGGAATTTGTTACATTGTCACGCTGCATGAGGACTTAAAATGAAACCCCTTTGGTTATTGTTATGAGTGAGGAAGGATGGTCATTAGAAAGTCTCCATGGACCTTAGAAGCTGGTGTCCATTGTCACTCCAGCCTAAGGATTCCTTCTGCAGAGAATTCCCCGTGCTGCTGCTGGAACCGCTGCAGTGTGGTATAACACCAACATCATGCACTAACCAGTGCTGCAATCAGGGGATGTGCTATGAAATTCCTTTGGCAAACATGAACGCTGTAATACCAAATCATCTTATCTCCCATTGTCTTTTATTCCTAACATCATCTGTTTCTGTTTGTAATTACTTGCTAAAATACATAAGAATATAATGGCAAGTATTAGTCTTTTTGCATATTGATAAATTTGATAATTTTCATATGACTTGATCTTGGTTTTGTTCATTTTAGAGTGGTCGTGCAATATTCAGCGAATCCATTCCTTACCATAACTGTGGGCAAGATATAACATATCACTGTTCAGTGCGTTCTCTTACAATTGAGAATGTCACTCTTGAAGATAAAGGAAATTACACATGTCAGGTGACTGACCACAATAAGGTCACTAATAAGGAAACAAAACTTATAAAAGTTCATGGTAAGTAATTATTTTCTGTGTTACATGATGTTCCTTGTCTTAACTTTTTTTTTATATGTGGTTAAATATAAATTACCTCTTTGAGAAGTGCAGAAAGTTACATTTTAAAATTGATATCCAAATAATGTCCATTTTACTTCAGTTTCATTTAATATTACTGTCATATTCCTGTGTTGCTTCTGTATTAGAAAAAGTTTTTCTTTATGTATTACTGATATACCCATCCTCACATATATGAGCAAAATACTTTGTGGAGGAAAATGTAGAGTGCTCTGACAGCAGTATTTTCTTTTTGACAATGTGTGCAGTTCAGGTACAGAATGTTATATTGATGTTCAAAATTATGACAGCTATGTGAATGATGGTCTAAAGCAGCAGTTCTATAACTTTTTTATTAGTAGTCCCTCAAACAGTTAGGCATATTTCTGGGCTCCATGAAAAGAAAAATTCTTAGAAAATGCAGTACTTAATTTTTAATTCACTTATAAAATGAACAATGAACACCTTTTTATATATCATATGTATAAGCTTATTCTGAGTCAATTCAAAAGAAAAATTACACACACAGATAATAATTATTCCTTGGAATGCTGAAAATATGGGCTTACGGTGTCCCTGGCAAGTTCTTTTGACACCCATGGGGATATCAGCACCATATTTTGAGAAACACTGCTCTGATTTATAACACTAATATATTGGTCACTATACATTAATGTTATATTTTAGCGTCCTGTTGCACTGATTTAAGTCCATGATTTATTTAATCCGTCTTGCAGTGCATACACTCATTTTTCTCCTTCTCTCCCTCGCACTACATGTTTCGGCATAATAATGCCATCTTCAGGTGCTTACTTATCCACGTCAAACCAGTTCATTGCATGCCATGTTCACACATTAAAATAACTAAAATATGTATCTATCATATACATTGTCAAACGTTAAAAATATTAAAATTGTTAAGGATACCACATCGCTACGTCGCCCCTCACTACTTCAGTTATGCCCATTCTCCTTTGTTGGAGCACTCCTTCACTATCTTGTGTGTTGTGGTTTTGTTGTGTCGTGCTCCTGCGACTGCGTGTGTTATACTGTTGGGCTTCCTGGGTATGTGTGTGTGAAGGAGTGCTCCAACAAAGGAGAATGGGCATAACTGAAGTAGTGAGGGGCGACGTAGCGATGTGGTATCCTTAACAATTTTAATATTTTTAACGTTTGACAATGTATATGATAGATACATATTTTAGTTATTTTAATGTGTGAACATGGCATGCAATGAACTGGTTTGACGTGGATAAGTAAGCACCTGAAGATGGCATTATTATGCCGAAACATGTAGTGCGAGGGAGAGAAGGAGAAAAATGAGTGTATGCACTGCAAGACGGATTAAATAAATCATGCACTATACATTATCTGAGGTTGAGGTGTGTTTGATATACACGTTTTTTTTAAACTATTAGTTACTGTTGTTAGGTGTAAGGAGGCATTGATTGGCTCAGTGATTGAGATTAGCTCTTTGCAATGGGCCCAACTGAGTAGGGTTATCCCCCCTGATCTGATGGTAACAAATCCAGGTTCTGATATTTGTATGTGGATAATGGATAGTGGCTGACATAATAGTTATGTGACCATTGGGTGATGTAATATTCCTTGCTAGCATTGAAACAGTTACCATCATCTTTTTCCATTTATGTATGCAGTTTGAGTACAAAATATTTGTCATCTTTCAGAGGTTGGTCAGAGTTATATTAATTTGACAGTTGATGCACTGACTGTTCAAGTTAAAGCTGGTGTAGATCATGTTCAGTGGGTCATAAATGTGGATGCTTCACCGATACCTAGTTACATATGGTTTGACAAATCACATGAAGAGATTAAGCCTCAAAATAGCTTGAAATATAAAATTGAAGAACGTAAATGGAAGACACAGATCATGTTAATAATAAACAAGATAACAATTCATGATGCTGGAACTTATGAATTCCGTGCCTATACAGACAAAGTAGAGAAGATACTGAATCTTACACTTGTGGTTACAGGTGCGTATAAAATTGTGGTATGTATATAATTAGCATGTGTATTTTAGATCATAATAGCTCAGTCAATACAGTGACTAGGCTATGGGCTGGATGAGCAAGGAATTAGGGTTTGATTTCCATCAGGGACACTACTTCTCTTCTCTACAGCATCCAGACCAGCTTCGGAGCCCACCCAACCTCCTTTTTAATGGATACCAGGCTGTCTTTTTCTGGGGATAAATGACAGAGTCATGAAGCTGACCACTTATGTCCATGTAGTGCCAAAACTAACCCCCCTGCTCCCCATTAACTTCATGTATGGTACTTAATTAGGCACAAGGACAACTTAACTTTAACTTTAATTTTGTTTCAGTTTAATCGTAGCAAACAAGTGTCAAGAGCTAAGTAGTTAGCATGTTTATGTTCATGTTCATTAACTTCAAATTCAAGCAGATCCAGATACGGGTTGAGAAGTATATTCACAAACCACTGTATGTAGAATGAATATTACTTCATATTCAGGAGGTCCCAGGTTTGAACTTCAGACTGGAGACTGGCCATCATTATTGAGATGTCAGCCAATGGCAATGTTCATTGTCTCTGCACTTTACTGACAGAGCTGTTCTGGCCCACAAAATGTAAAAGACAATCATATTAATTAAACCTCTTTTCTTTTTGTATTAGGTTGCATAGTATAATATAATCATCCTCCCGTTAAATGCTTGTAGTTAAGAAGTATAATATGTTTAGGGTTTGGCACCTGTTCCTGTAGTATATGGCCACAGTTTTTAGTTGGCTTTCATTAGATATCAGCAGAGAATAGTTTAATTAATACCTGGAAAATACCTCACTAAAATACCTACGTTTCAAAATATATTAAAAAATATGGTTACAGGAACTTGCTAATTGGATTAATGGCCTTGATATAATGTTACTTTGATGATCTTCTTCAAACTGAATATAAAGTAAGCTCCTGGTTTTCTGGCATATATGGGAAATTGGATTTGCTAGTTACATGAATCTGCTGGTTGCATGAATCTGCTAGTTACATGAATCTGCTGGTTGCATGAGAACACTGTTACAAATCGAATACATAGTCAAAACAACATGTTTTTGCTTTAGTTCTTGTGAGGGAATCTTCCCGTTTGATGTAGTGGAACGATGGATGAAAAATTTAAGATATATTTAAACACAGTCACATATTCACTTAGCCTTTACTAGTACTCATGTGAGGGAGGATGATGTTCAGCACTGCTAGTGGTGGCTGGGAGTAGTAGCACATGGCAAGTGAACAAAGTGCATCACGAACTTGTTTTTCGTTTAACATTATAAAAAATGTCAGTTTTTCTGTGAAATTGTTGTCAGTTGCATGAGAATTACTGGGAGTTCACTGTACCGCCTTGAAGTCTTCATGTCTCTCATCAGATTACTTCTGTTTCAGATAAGCCAGCTGTGTCATTGGAAAGCACTCCCTCATCTCTGTACCAATTGAATATGACCTACTCATTACAGTGCAAAATTGTTGGTTTTCCACAGCCGCAAGTTACATGGTTCTTCAATGATTGTGACTTAATGCATGAGTGTGAAGAAAGGAATTTCAAAGAAATTCAGGTAAAATATTTATTACAGACTTGTGAATTTTGGACAGTTAAAAACTTAATTTGTGTATTGTTAAATTTAAAGTTCTTCAAATATAAACATACCAATTTCCCTGTCTTTCTTTACATATGGAAGTACTCCCTACTGGCTGAACATATTCCTGTGAACTTTGGTAATGAGAATTCTTAAAAAAAAAAGAAGTAAAGCTATTCCTCTAACAGACCGTGAAGGCCCATAGTATTATGAGATGTCGAGGCTCCCACATTTTCTCTAGACAGTTGGCTCACAGATGGCGGTAAGGTTGTCAGCCTTACATGCTGGCCACCCCTTACCCCACAAGAAGATTCCTGGTACTCATTTCTCTTATAGGATCTGTCGACCCCATGGCCATAGTCCAGCTGGAAGGATTAGGTCAATTGAAAAAATCCAGTGACCTCATCAGGACTTGAACACACGACCTTCCAGCTTGTAGCATAGTGCATCAACCAACTACACTACCCCATACCCCTAATGAGAGCTTTTATTAAACTATTACACTATCATGTCACTGTTTTATATATTGAATTTTGAGCCAATATGATGCCTTTCATTCTTTCTCCCATTTTTATAATTTTTCTTAGTGTTCTTATAATTCTTTTCAAGTATAATATGAAATATTTTAGATATAGTACACTTTTTGACAGTAAATATAAAATAAAAGAATTATTGTGGTATGTAACACTTCACCTTGTCTTAACACTTCGCGGACCGGTGATTTGAATATTTAAATCAGCCTGGGGACCGGCATTTTTACTCATATTACACTAACTCGTGCACTGTTCACTTTAAAAATTAATATAAAATCTCCTAATTAATTTTTTGAACTAAAATTTTTGGAGAACACTTACCAATGCTCCTAGAAGTGCTTGAGGGTGTGATATTTCTGGAATCTTTCCCCTCTGTGAAGTGGCATTACACAAAACTTGCATATGTAGACATACTCCTTTTTTTGTGAACTGTGCAAACACAGCATTGCCTAGAAGTATTCTTCCCCTTGGAATGTTCACGCTTCACAATTTTCACGTGGGTACTTTTCCGCATATCACTCAAGAGTCGCCCTGGGGTGTCCACGTGAGGCCTTCGTAGGTTGGGAGTAGATGGGCCCAATCATACTAAGTTTTTGTGTGACCCTGGTTCTGCTACCACCATCTAGACTGTAGCCCAGGCCTTTGTCACATTCATCAGAAATGCTATTTCAATTTTGAATCAGGGTTTAGATTTTTTTTTGGATTTTTTGCTGTCCCCGCAATGTTATTACCTGCATTATTGTCTGAGCTACTGTCACTTTTACTGTTTGTGGCCACAGTTCTTTGTTGTTCCCCGTCACTGTCGCTGTCTGAATGACAATCCATTACTACGCGTCTCACAAGGCAGGTCAGCTAGGTCATCGGAGGAGAATTTGTCCTTGATCCATTCTCCCCACTAGCTACTGGCTGATACACACAGCTTGAAGAAGGCAAAGCATTTTCCTTTATAGTCGGTTAAGTAACAGCGAGGTCAAGTTACTGACTGCTAACTAAACATTCCAGAGTCTTATCACGCATCTGCAGGCGGTTGCGTGCAATGTAGGTGGCGCCAGAGTGATGTATAGTGTGTTGCAACTTATTGTGTTCTAAAAGCCTGTTAACACGCCAATGGTCTGCCATGTTTAAAAGCAAAGAACCGTTTAAAGGGAGCGTGGTCCGCAAAGTGTTAAATAAAGTTATTTATTGCACTGTTTATGCATTTCAGGTCACTTACAGCCCTGAGGTAAGTGACAACACATACAGTGACACATTGGAATGGACAGTGAAAACACCGGGTCTTATTAAATGCTTTGCAAATAACTCAGAAGGTAGCAGCAGTGAAACTGTCAGTTTATTTATCACAGGTAAGCTGCATTTCTAATACAAATCAGAATAATATGAATACAATAAAATATACACACACAAAAATAAAAATAACATTTTAGTATTATTTTTAAGATTTGAAGTTTGGTAAATAAACATATTGTCACGTGTTGGGTATGTAACGTGACAAATAACTTCACGCCTTCTTGGATCTAGCGAATTTATTGCACATTCACTCTTACATTCATACAGTTCACAATTACACCACTGCTGCTATCTGCAGTATCACAAATACTTCTGTAGTCATTTCCATCCACTTGATACAACTCAATAACAATGGACTTCAACTGACTCTGGTGAATGCTAGACTGCAACTGACTGCTTACGCTCTCTCACTGACAAATACTCCTGTTATTTACCTTCTGCACTGACAACACAGAAAACCGTTACGTGATAGCTTTCACTGTTGCGTGATGTCATTTTACTGATTGCCTAGCAACAGTTGCTACACGGGCTCCCCTGTTGCATGACGCCATGTTTACAAAGGTGTTGCTGCACAATGCTGCATAGCAACCAATGCACTTTGGCTCGGCATGGACAAACACCTCTTTCCTTACTGTTGCATAACCTCATTTCCACTGTTGAGTAACTTGGCGACCGACCATTTATCAAGGGTCTGTTTTTGTGGTAACTCGTTCCACCTCCCGTTGCCCAGCAATGGTTAGACATGTCACAATATGTTAATCTGCAGATATTTATTTTCAAGCTTCATATGCTTAAGATGTAGTAATTTGGTACATAAGCAGGAAGTGACATCTGTGTCAGTCATCTTTGGCAACATTCCAGCTTTATGAATGTGACTTAAAGATTATTGAAAATTAAAGAACTTGTCTTGAATGATCCTTATGTAAGACTAGTAACATTTTAACAAACTGGAGTGGACATTTTTCATTCCCACCACTCAGGAGTTGCAGTGCAAGTCATCCCAGCATATACTCTCAAATCTGAAAATTCTTGCTTAGATTATACAGATGAAACTTGTTGGATGAAATGTACAGTGGCCACATAGCATTTCATGTAGATATATTCTGGGAGCCTAGTTTCTGATTCCATGATCTTGGGAATACATCTCTTTGTTGCAACTTTCTAATGATGGTGCTATTTTTTTTTTAATTTTTATTTGCAGATATCCCTGAAGATAAAGATTTCAGTATCTGGGGTAAGCCAGAAAAAGTGGTGGTTGGGGACAATTTCACCCTTCACTGTGGAGCAACAAAGTATAATTATACTGAGCCAATTTTATGGTTTGAAAAGAGAGAAGGTTATGACAGTGACCGGCAAGTTCAGAACAACTCAGGTAATTTCTTATGACATTTGTAAATGAAAATGGTCTCGAGCTTTCTTGGAAGTTCCACACTAATGTGGATCCTGCTTGTGGGCATGCACCAGGAGGATGTCTGTTGCCACTCTTTTATAGGTTCTAGTCCTTAGGTGTTTTTTTGGGTGGGGGCTAGACCTTAGTGTGTGGTTTCTCTTTTTAAGACAGGGCCACAAGAAATGTTAAGGATTTTCCAACTTTTCAGCACTATTCTCAGTTGCCATTGTCAGGGTTAATGACTTTGGGAGGGATTTTGTCAGTTATGTTCCTCTTGCATTAGGCAGTTTGTTGGAGGTGAAGTTGTGATTGAATGACCAGAGAAATGGGATGCTAAGCAGTATGGAGTATTTATGTGGTTAGTAAAGAGAGGTGATGAAACATTTTCTGGCAGTCAGGTGGTTCTGAGACAAAGTTGGGAAGAATATTTCAGTGTCCCTATGATTAGGTTGGGAGGTTGTTTATCAAAACATAGGAAAACACTCAGCATTTGATGAGATCTAGTCCTAAAAGTCAGAGCCACACATTTCAAAGATTTGTAATGTGTTTGGCCACTGAAGATGACGTTCAGATTGTTAATTGGTTTATTTAACAACCTACAAGTCGTAACTACAATTTGTTATAACACTGTTATGGGTTTAGACAATTTACAAACCATACACACTAATCTATTCACTCTATCTTCAGTAGTCTTCATGTATTTATAACGCGGGAGCTATACAAGTCTCTCTGAATTACACACTCCCAATATAACTGTACTACAGCACACACAGAGTCTTGAAGTCACACAATAGGTCTTCACTGGCTGACTTCTCAGTTATTGTACACCATCACTGATTACCACGTGTTCGGTTCTTCCTGCGACTGCTGCTATATTTCAACTTCACTGTTGCATAATCGCCGTGTTTACTGAGGGCCTAGTAATAGTCGCTGCATGGACTTCCCTGTTGCTTGATGTCCCAGTCTAGCGGGGAGGGTTGTTTACTGAGTGTTGCGTAGTTACGGGATGAATGGCGTATGTGACGTCACTTGCACTTCGTGTTGCGCAAACCAAGCGTTCACAGTGTTGTCGCCTAGCAACGCGCCGATACAACCCACAACTCTCATGTTGCATGCGTGCTCCAAGGCCTCTGTGGCTCAACAGTTCCTGCATAGAGCAAATATATCACAGATTGTTAGTGCCTTCTCTAAGGCATAATGATTACTCAGTCGTCCCCACTGATATTTGTAGTACAGGTCTACAGTTCAGTGTGAATTGTTCTCTTTGATTGAAGTACAGTAAACTCTTGCTAATCTGGATCACCGGGGGGTCATCTGGATTAACTGATAATGTGAATTAATGAAGCAAAAGATAGACATAAAAGACCCCCCAAAAACTTAGAAAAACAAATAATTGCAAAATTTAATGATATAGGTAGTGTGGCTGGTAAGCTTCTGTAGACTCTCTTTTGTCATGGACAGGGTAAAGTTGGTTGCAGCTGCTCACTGGTGAAGGTCAAGTCGGCCGCAGCTGCTTATATTGAATCATCTTTTAGCAATTCTGAAGGGTAGTCGTTGACGATGTAGCCTCACCTTTGTAGTTACCTTGGGCGCCACCCCAGTCAGGGAACGTGACCATTAAATGGGGCTTGGCTTCAATGAAGGCGGTCAAACAAAACTCGGGACAACTTCACAACGCACATACACTTTACTTAACTGGTTAATTACGTTGTCGTTATATTTAAACTTGGGACTATACGTGTATAAAGTCCTTTGTTCCCACTTTGAGGAATGATGTGACTACGCATTGTGGGAGTCGTTGATGATCTTCACCACGCGCGCTTCCAATCACGTTGGGGTAGCTGGCTGGTCCAGACGCTTTGGATGACATTATCAGACACCTCTGGTGCGAGACTTTTGAGGTACCTCAGGAACTGGGACGTCTTACGGTCGCCAATTTCCTCGACCGTGAGGAGTTGCCGGATGCACTGCTCTGGTGATGGGGATAGCTGCCTCACAAGCTCGGTCCTCAGTAGGGTGTAGGGGCCTCGTTCGGGCGGAGAGGTGATGATGTCCTCTACTTCCAATGTGTAACGTTGGTCCAACTGTGAGATGACATGGCAGAACTTGATCCGCTCGCTGTTAATGCTGGCCAAGGTGAATTGTGCCTCAGCCTGGGCGAACCACATGGCTGGTCTCTTGGGCCAGAACGGCGGGAGCCGCACAGCCATTCTGGGCACTTGTGCTGATGAACTGTCTGCAGTTTCCATGTTCAGTCGGGGTCACCAATGTGTAGTGCCGAGGACTATGAACTCTCTGATCGACGAGCTGTACCATCCCGCAACATGGTGTTGAACTTGGCTTTTGCGATAGCGAGTCGGTCCGGTGCCAGTCGCCATGGTCGGCAGGTTACTGGTGGGCAGGTACAGTCCTGATGTGGTGGACGGTGTTGTGTCGTATCTCGCGCTGGACTCCAGCTGGGTGGGTCAGGTCCGGGAAATCTGTGAGGAGGCTGTCGATTGGTGTGTTGCTGCTGATTGTCTTTACACTGGGGATCAGTGCGTTGGCTGCTGAGGCCGGGACTGACAGCGTCGTGACCCCGTCCAGAATGCGGTTATTCCAACAGTCCACCAGGAGACCGAAATGCGACAGGAAGTCCACGCCAATGTAGGATGCGGGATGTCGGCCACCATGGCGTTTTTACTGTTTGAGTGCTAAGCGTTGTCTGTCTTGGAAGAAAGAATTGCATTATCACTCTACTGTCACTAGGCATGACATCATATAGTAATGGGCGTTTTTCATTGGTCATACATTGTGAAGTACCTCTGTGAAGTCCCTGGCTCTATGTGCTTGGGGCTTGCATCACACATTACAAAAACAAAGGCGAGCCCCTGGACTATAAATTTACATATGAAATCACGCCACCTTGCATAAACTGCTACTTACTGTATGCCTTGTGGTGTAATATAATGCGTGATGATTTATGCAATTCCCTCAAATTCATATTTTGAGTTTTGTAAATTACAGTTGTTACACAAAAATATAAATGTATATATAAATTGGAAGAAGTATATTACTGCAAAGGAGTAATCGGTTACAGTAGTGCTGATGAAAGTAAATAAAAAAATGTCACTGCATAAATTTCTTCCTCTGTCAGAAGCTGAAATCTGGGGTCTCCTTCATCCACCTCAACTCAATCTTGGTTTATTTTCTTGCATGGCTTCAGTCTCTCCAGCTGCCATCAACACAGTCTGAAAGATATTATGCTTCTAAGTCCCATGTGTTTGTACTTAACTGTGAACAGAATTTTTAATTTTTCATATTTTGATCCAGTTTAACTGTAACCAGATTAGGAAGGGTTTACTGCAATATAAATATTGAAACTTATTGTGGACCTGTGTTCCAGAATGTCATGGATTAAATTCTACAGGTACTTTCATTATCATCATCTTAATTGAAGCATGAAACAATGTTGTTTTTGTTACTGTGATGGATTACTTACTCCTTAAGTCTATGGTCCCATAAGAACCTTGACCTTCTTTACAACAGATGACATTGTTCTTTACTATTTGCTTTACCTCCATCTCTTCACCTTCAGCTACATAAATCACTCTTTACATCTTCCAGCTATCTCACTCTGGGTCTTGCTGTATTTAATGGTTCTGCCCTGAATAAATAGATCATATTCCAAGTAGCAAGATGTAACTCNCTTTACCTCCATCTCTTCACCTTCAGCTACATAAATCACTCTTTACGTCTTCCAGCTATCTCACTCTGGGTCTTGCTGCATTTGGTTCTGCCCTGAATAAATTGATCATATTCCAAGTAGCAAGATGTAACTCATTGTTGTTGTAAATTTTCCCTAATCGCCTTTCTGAATTATCCATTTGGAAACCATCATTAGATTTTTTAACATATTGTCACATATTAGTGACTTGTAGATGGGGCTTGAATTGGTGAATCAACTCATACTCACAAATCGTAACTATAAACAATTATAGCACAATCAAGATTACTGTACCTATAACACATGAAGAAACGTCTTCACCACTTTAACTATTGAAGTGCCTTGTTCCAGGTTTTACGACTGAATGAATCTGGTTAAGACGTCACAACTGAATCCCCATAACTCCTTTCCATGGCAGTTTTGTGTCCTCAACTCACGGCTTCTCAGCTGTGACCGACTGTCTCACACATCACTAACTTGTCTGACAGTTTCTTTATTACAGTCCGTCACAACACAACAATATAAAGGTCAAGGCTAAAATTAGCTTCGCTACATGTTTCGGCTGTTAAAGTCATCATCAGGCAAACACATGACTACCATATTCACTCACCACTGAACTGCAATTACGATAATAAAGCTGGACACTTGATAATACACTATAAAATACATGGTATACAAGTACAATGAAGTACAAACTTATTAAAACGAAAGTTATGACCTAAAATAAGGTTAAAACTCTTATGTGATATTCACTCACTCAGTTGCAATCTATATTCCCTACAGAATGGATAAATACACTGTAAGATGAGGTCCGGCTAAACAATTAACGTCTAAACTATATTACATTTATACCACAGGCCTCCAAGCAGTTTACTACATGTATACAAGTCTGAATATACCATTATGTCTGCGGGAATATAACAAAATTGCAACAAAGTGACTTAATGATATAGAATATCACATAAGAGTTTTAACCTTATTTTATGTCATAACTTTTATTTTAATAAGTTTGTACTTCATTGTACTTTTATACCGTGTATTTTATAATGTATTATCAAGTGTCCAGCTTTACCATCGTAATTGTAGTTCAATGGTAGTCATTGCTTGCCTGATGATGGCTTTAATAGCCGAAACATGTAGCAAGCTAATTTTAGTCTTGACCTTTATATTGTTGTATTGTGACAGACTGTAATAAAGAAATTGTATATAATAACACAACATGATGCACGAAATGAAAATTAACTCATCTGACTCTGAGTTTGAGTCTTATGTTACAACTGATGGTCAGTCAGCCAGTCTGTTTTGGAATAAAGCACCCATATGTGGCTTACAACCAGATTTTTACTACTGTCAGACAGTTGCTGGTTAGTTGATGTGGGGCACTCTTTCTGACGAGAGGACGAGCCTGTTGTTTACAATTGCTGCTGGCTCTTGTCAGCTCAGTCATTCTTGGGTCTGAGTCCCATGGGACTGACGACCATATTTTACTGCCTCAGAATCTAGGTGTCCCTTTTCATCACCTCCTATGACTTGCAGGGCTATAATAGGGGGTATTCTACTCTGCCTTCAATGCTCTATGTTTTATAACTTTGAGGGAACCAAATGATAATGGTTTCTAAGGGTTTCACTTTGTGTATTCGTTATTTAAGAAGTAGTTACCATGTATATGCCTCCAGCAGTTCAAAGAAAACCACAGTGACAGTGCATTTAGCAAGCTGTTGCCCAGCAACACACATTTATTCTTGTTTGATTATTCCGGATTTCAACCGCAACGTCACAATATGTTTACTGAGGTGAGGTTGTTCCCTCACGCCCAACCTCTAACCTGAAGACCAAGGGCTACCTGTCATCTGGCTCCTACACTTCAACCTGTCTAGCAAGAATGATCCTACCAGGAGCTTATGCCCCTTTCTGCTTAGTTCTCTGGGTGATCAGGCCACACATACTTCCTCACCACGTTAAGGTAGTAGCCAGGGCACAGACTGTGATGCCTCTCAGGTGTTAGAAGAGTCAATGACTGTACAAGATAGGTGTTACTCAGTCAATACATTAACGGGATATAACTATCGTGAGATGCTCTTACCATTCATAGCTTTTGTTATTCTGTTTCAGGTTGTTTTGTGTCCAGGAATGATACGGAGTATTCGTACAGGATAAGCATTACCTGGAAAGACATCCCCGCAAAGAGTGATGCGGCTTACATATGTTATGCATCAAGGAATGAAGATGGTATGACAGACGCACGTGTGGAATATGTTCATGTTTATGGTAAGTATAGCATTTTAAGAACATATTTCTGGAGGAATTTTCCATGTAAATGTTAAACATTAGCAGAAGTCAGTCATTTCATTTCACATAGATGCTGTCAGAGCTCCATTTTCTTTGTTTCTGGTAGCCATCATTGTCAACATACTTATCACATAAAAAAGAGACTTTTTTGCATAATAGACGACAGGTGTGCTGAAGCCAGGTTACATCGGTTCACATAAACCAATTCCTAAGAGTTACACCAGTCTGTCCAAACTAGTACCAAAAGATTCAAAACAGATGGGAAAAAGTCACTGGTAGTGGCACAGTGAGTTGATTTTAAATTATTTATTTTTTGGATCCAGTCTGAAAATTATTGCTGCAATGATTACTTACGAGTATTTCTTACTACTGGTACTTTGTACTCTTATAACTTCTTAGTTAAGCTCCATGCCATTTAAACATATGGGGGAATATGATCTAATACAGTAATTATATTCCAGATCCTATATCTATAAGCCTAATAACCAATATGAATACCTCTGAGGTGATAATGGAAAGTGGAAGCAGTCTGGAACTGGTGTGTATAGCAGAGGGACTGCCAGTCCCAAAAGTGAGGTGGTACAAGGTCTGTAAATAGTGAAATTTGTCTATCTAATTGTAGCCTCATCATTTGTTCCATTGTTTGGTTAATTAATGCTGCTTTGTGAATGCAGGTACTCTTGTTATATATGATTTTAAAAAATGTGGTTTCGTTTGAATGCAGTCAGCTAATTTTGGACTGATTTAAATTAGTACCATTTGCTTTAAGAGTGAATCACTTGCTGACCAATCCTGAGAGACTGGGAGAAGAGTGAGTAGAGTATTGCGTGAACTTGCAGGGGAGAAATTATAAAGGAGAAGTGAAAATTATGTTTGATTTATGTGATATCATCCTTTTTTATTTCTTTTTTGGAACGCAGCTGTGACAAATTGAGGATTATATGTTTTGTAATCATTCACTCACTTTCAGCTCAGAATTGCCACAAATAGTTGAATACTTAATATGTCTGTATATAAATGTTTAATGTATAGTTGTCTGAATTTCTTGTAACGACTTTGACAGGATCAGGCTCCAGTTTCTGCTTAGATGGTTCCAGTCTGACTGGTCTTTTTCCAGAATAAATGGGGCAAAGGCCAATAAATTAAGTTACCTCTTCATCTGTAAGCTGGATCACGCCTGCCTTCTCTTGTTTATAATGGCTACCCAGTATGAATATTGACCAGTTTTCTGTCATAGGTCTAGTGTGTGTATAATCTAAAGACATACAACACTTTCAATTTTTCGTGGAACATTGTAATAATCTAGTGCAAATTAATTTTAGAAAAACTGAAGAATACTGTCCTCTAGTATGTGACATTGTGTAGTCCAAGGGACGTTCACCAATGTTTCAAAGACATGTACTGCCTCCATCCTGAGGGTCAAAGTGTAGGCCAAGCAATTAACCAGCAAGGAGTAAGCAGCAAGCAGACCAGCATTTCAAAGGAGTTAACTATTCAAGTGCTTTTAAACAGCTGAAAAATTCTTCCTAGAACTCTGTCATACACATTTTCATGTGCAGATGTTATCTGTATAAAATATTTCTTCAAATTCAGGATGGAATTCCTATTGGTGAAGACCCTCGCATAGAACTGAAAGATAGAAATCAAACGCTATTTATTCAGTTTGCTAAACTGGAAGATGAAGGAACATATAGGTGTGTGGTCTCAAATCGCCTTGAAGAGGTCAGCAGAACAACAACACTTCAGTTCAAGGGTAAGTTATATTGAATTTAATTTTCCATATTGGTAACTCTTTGATGATTCATGATTTTGGATTCTTTTTGAGTCTTCTGAATTATCAAAATGAAAAATTGCTAAACAAGAAGCAAAGCAGTGGTAACTGACTTGACGTATTGGTTTCTTATAGCATATCACTATTTCTTTAATTTCATCATGATCTTGTATATATTCTTCAGCTCTTCTTCACTTATGTCAATGGTATGAAGTTGAACTGCGAAAAACTTTTCTAGATTACCACATTTTATACTAGAGCCACTATGTTTTGACCTGACACTATTTGTATACTGACAGATTTGCATATTAATAGATATTTTATGTGTATTTCTTCTTGACCTGTGCTTGTTCATGTTGCATGTTTCAGATAAACCAGGAATAAATACTCCTTTGGTAATTTTTGCTGTACTCGTTCCTGCAGTTTTAGCAGTGTTGATAATATATCTTTGTATCAGGATCCGCGCAGATAGGGTATGTATCATATTTATGGAAGTCTTACTTTTGTTGTTTATCGACAATCAAATCTTGTTATATATTATATTTACACACATCAATCAACTCTCTACTAAGAAAGAAAAGCTATCCCTGTAACAGGCCGTGAAGGGCCATAGGGTTGCGAGACGTTGAGGGTCCCACATTATCTAGACAATCGGATCAAAGGTGGTGGTAAGGTTGTCAGCCATATGTGCCGGCCGCGCTTTACTCCCCAGGAAAATTAGTTAATTAATTCCTGGTACTCATTTCTGTTAGAGTCTGAGTCGACCCCAGGGCCATAGTGCAGCTGGAAGGATTAGGTCAATTGAAAAAAATTCAATGACCTCATCGGGACTTGAACCCGCAACCTTCCAGCTTTTAGCATAGTGCTTCAATCAACTACACTACTGCGTGCCCCAATTCCCTACTAAGGACATACAATTTGTCACACATTGTGAACTTTGTAGCAAGAATTCAGAATTCCCTTAGAACATCCATTGGTAATATTTTTATAGAGAGTGCTAGGTTAGGCTCTTCTCATACATCTCCTATAGTCAGCGGCCTCTCAAGCCGTTACGCTCAATTTCTTATATTAGGTAATATTACTACAAAGGAAAATTTAATACCCCTGAAACAGAAAATCAGGAAAATAAATAATTAAACTATTGGTCAATTTCAGTGCCTCTTAGAAAATGAAACATGGGAACCTGTTTGTAAAGATAAGGATATAAACTATAAGTTTTAACACCTTTTTACATACTTTTCTAAATATATTTGAGGCTAGTTTTCCTTTTCAGAATAAATAGTAGGTAGTATAAAAATGACTGGATTGCATATATGTATATAATATATATTGTCACATGTTGGGTATATATCGCGACAAATAACATCACGCCATTCTGGATCTAGCGAATTTATTGCACATTTGCTCCTACAATTACACAATTTACAGTTCCACAACTACTGCCATTGGTAGTATCACAATTACTTCTCCTGCTAGACTGCAACTGACTGGTTACTCTCTCTCTAGTAACTCACTACTCACTAACTGATCACTCACTAATCACTACTGAATAGTGTTCGCTGCTCCTTATTTAGCCTCGGCACGGACAACACAGAAAACAGTTACGTGATAGGTACCGCTGTTGCCTGATGCTGTGTTTACAGGTGTTGCTAGCAACGCTGGCGAGAGTTGTCTCCTGCTGTGTAGAAACCGCGGTATCCCTTGGTAAGAACACAGCCACTCCTCTGCCCACTGAGCGTTGCATACTGATGGAAGGAGTGGGGGTATGTGACGTCACTCACGAGACCACAGAGTTCACGTGACCCCCACTTTCTGTTGCGCCTTCCATGTCACAAAATATATATATATATATACATACATACATACATACATGCATAGCAGGGACAGTAATAATTCACAGACAAGTGCACAGACGGCGTGAACTTATTTGTCGCGTTATACGCCCAATACGTGACATTATATTAAGTATTACAAAATCCTGATCAGAGTTATAAAAGAGGCTAAAAGGCAACATTACTGTCAGCTTATTGCAAAATCAGGTAATCAGATAAAAACAACCTGGAATATAATAAAACATGAAACAGGTAAATTACATCTGATGGAACAGATACCACCTCTCCATATAAAAGAAAAAAGTGAGGGACCCAGAAGAAATTGCTAATGCCTTCAACACCTATTAGAAACAAGTGGACTGGCATAAGTGTGGCTATATAGTGTGATACTTTGTATCCTGTCTCAGAAATGAGAGAAATATATGAGCCTGTTAACCGATCAATCATGACAAACAGGTGAACCAAGCAGCTGCCTGAGGTGGCATTAATTTAAGGGTGGTATCTTTTATTAACCTTTTTTTTTGCATCAAATGAAAATTAATTTCTGTTGTTGTTTTATCGTGTACAATATTTTTAATATTGTGACCATTAATTGTCAGTAATTGAAAGACTGTACAGACTTTTAAGACTCATGACACCAATAATTGTTTTTCTTCACAGTATTAGAAAATTTTCTGTTATTAACTGTGATGAAGTTTTTAGAAATTAAATCAGTGTTAACTTGATGGTGTATTTCTCATCACCTACAGTGGCGTTTGGGCTTGTGCCAGCCCACCACAATAATGGTGTGTTGGTATCTTATAACTTCCAGAGATTATGCCCTTCTTTTATTGGATCTGCTATATAATATGGAATAGTCTTACCACTTCTCTGCAGTGGTCGTTTTCATGTGATTTTATGTTCCTTTACTGTAGAAATTACGCAGGGAGTTGAACATAGCAGGACTGGCAAATTTTGAAAAGGGTGCTTTGGACAGCATAAACCCTGAACTGTCTGTGGATGATCAAGCTGAATTACTACCATATGACAAGAAGTGGGAATTTCCTAGGGATAAGCTGAAGTTAGGTGAGTTCCTGTACTTCATTCCAGTGGTAAGAATTCACCAAGAACAAAATAATTGAGTGTGCACCTCAGTATGCATGCTGTGCAGTACAGTAAGTCCTTAATGTTGTTGCAGTGAATATTGTTCTGTTATTACACTGATACAATTTTCATACCAAGGCCCTGTACAGTGTTGTGTTAACTCATTATATCATTCATCCCAGAATTTAAGAAAATGCTCAAAGAGGAGGGTTAATCGCTTAAACAAGTGTTTAATATTGGCTGTGCCATCATCTACCATTCACTCTCTTCAGCTTTATACACTGGTGAATACAATGTTTCATACTAAATATAAAATAAATATAATTATATTTTACAATTGCATGTATTTATAGCCAAGAATATACAAGTATTTACAATTGCTTTCATGTTTTCTGCATTATAATGCACAATATGAGGATGAAGAAAGGCTGAGGAACCTACATACTCATATTTCTTAAGTGTCTTATGGTGAAAATGGATCCGCTTAATGTCGTTTCACATAATGTCATGATTTACCAGAAGGTATCCACGGCATTAAATGGGAATTACTGTCTTGCAGGAGGATATGGATGTTTCGGAGGAATATGCTGCTTTCATCTTCAAGGTAGAAGTGTGTAGGGTGAGGAATCAGCTGGATTGAATCGAGAGATGAATCCTGCATAATGTTACCTCCCCAAAGAGGTTACTGATATAACCCACTTGATTTCCCAGCCTATACAATTCAACCCTGAAGTTGGAGTGAACGTGTTCCTCCAAAACTTTGGTATCCCATTTATGAGACTCTGTGGTGTCATAACCCAGAGGGCCACAGTCTGAAGAGTGACCTTCATGAAAACTTAAAAATTTATGTAAGATACAAAACCTTTAGTGCTATGAAAACTTAAAGTAATAAAGGATTGGATTTCTTTGAAAATGTATTTTAATTTTAGTTAATGTAAAATATAATTTTCTAAAAACTTAATATCTAATTGCTCTTTTGGAAGTTTAATTGTTGCAACATTTTATATATACTGGGGCATCTGATCTGTATAGGGTCACACATTTTAAATTCAATTAAGTCATAGTAATTTTTTGTTAGTAAATGAAACCACAACATATTCTGCCTTGGCAGTCTCTTCTTTAAACTATTATGTAATGAAAATAATTATCTGAGATTTGAGGTTCTATGGCAGCAAATATTAGGTTACAGTCTCCTTGAATGTTGTGTACTTTGGTAGATGTGTCCACTGTTATGTAGGAACTGCTGCCTCTTGTTTTCAGACTAGTAGATGGGGGCAGTAGGTTCCTTAAAACTGTTAGTTCCCATCTATGAAACTGCATGGCATCATATTCAGAAATCTGTAAACTTAATCGGTCTCTTGAAGATGACTCTCTGATGGTATGTATATTATGCTTCAGGAAAGCAGTTAGGTGCTGGAGCATTTGGTGTAGTGCTGAAAGCAGAAGCTTGGGGTATCGTAGAGGGAGAAATGAAAACCACAGTTGCTGTGAAGATGGTCAAGAGAAATGCGGACCGTACATACATTAGAGCCCTTGCATCAGAACTCAAGATCATGGTCCATCTTGGTAAACATCTCAATGTAGTCAATTTATTGGGAGCCAGCACCAAAAATTTGGCCAAGAGTGAGTAAATATAAAAATATTTTTGTAGTACTTTTTATGGCACACTGTCAAGACTTTATATTCCTTCTCCATAATAAGTAGCTGACATGTAACATCACTTGTGAACCAACTGTAGTAATCAAGTTTGTGAATTAATTGCAGGTCTGTGGAATGTAAAGAACCATACCAAACTATCCCTCCTGATGCAAGCATGTGGAAGACAGAATCTAGGTTATTGAATTTTAATTTTAATGCATCCTGGTTTGACCGCCTCTGTGGTCTAGTGGGCAGAGTTCCTGCCTAGAGATCCTGAGGCCCCAGGTTCGATTCCTGGCACTACCAGATTTTCTGAGAAGTAGTGCGTCTGGAACGGGGTCCACTCAGCCTCGTGAGAATAATTGAGGAGGTGTTTCAAGGAACTAGCGGTTCCAGTCTAGAAAACCGAGATTAACGGCCATGGGGATCTGTTGCGCTGACCACGTGACACACACTGTCCACAAAAGTGGGCACTAACTTCGCTGACAAGCGGCAGTTGCTCAGTCGGTATAGTTTGCTTGTGGACTGCAGGCCACGGAGTTTGTTTGTTTGCATCCTGGTTTATGTAAAATTGTAAATGATATCACTGTACAGTTTTCACAGAGACTTTATTTATGTATGGTATAGTCAGTGGAACTGATATAAAAAACCAGTTACTTAAGAAAAATGTTTAATTTTTAAAGTCAGTAAGGCAGAGGCAAAGTTGTCCCTGTGGTTAATTAAGTAGGCAACTAAACACTATGCCATGAAGATGTATGGGGGAGTGGAGGTATAGCCCCACCATTCTTGACCTCGTCACTAGATGGAAGTGAGTGGTCAGACTCGTGCCCTGCCACTTTACTCATGGCGAAAGAACCCCCAGCTGCTGCTGGATAGAAGGATGGGTGGTCCTCAGAGCTGGTCTGGACGCTGTGGCGAAGAGAAAAATCTCTTGCCCCTTCTGGAAATCGAACCCCTGTAATCCAGTCTGTAGCCTGTCACCATACTGACTGAACTATCCCAGCTTTCATTTCGGTACTTCAGTAAAAGTTAAAGTTGTCACTGTGCTTAGCCTTTATCATCCATACATTGCTCAGTTATGCTGGCGCGTGCTCTAGTTTGGCATACCCCAGCACCCAGCAGTCCTGGCCCCACTTTGCTTAGAATATGAATCCCATTACTAAGCTTCATACTAACAGGAGATTTAAACCTGGATCACTAAGCCAATTAAACACCTCAACATGAAGATGTATAACTCCATACATAGTCTTGGTATTAGGTGAGCATGAGTGGTCATGTTGACACTGTTTGCCCCTAAGGAAAGAGCCACTTGTACATATTGTGTAGGAGTCTGAGTAAGCCCCAAAGCCAGTCTGGATAGTGAGAGAAAAAGAAAAATGTAATAATGATTTCTCCATTATCCAGCATGTGACATAGTCCCTGTAATTCATAATTCATTATTTATTTACACCCATAAAATCTTACACAAGTAGGTGTATGACTGAGATATGCCAGCTGCTTCGGTAATCAATATAAAATTGTCACGTGTTGGGTATGCACGCGACAAATAACTTCACACCATCTTGGATCTAGCGAATTTATTGTACACTCACTCTTACAATTACACAATTTACAGTTTCACAAGTACTGCCATCTGCAGTATCACAGTTACTTCTCCTCCTGTAGTCATTTCCATTCACTCAGTAACAATGGACTTCAACTCACTCTGGCGAATGCTAGACTGCAACTGATTGGTCACTCTCTCTCTAGTAACTCACTCACTACTCACTCACTTACTACTGAATAGTGTTCGCTGCTCCTTATTTAGGCTCGGCACAGACAACACAGAAAACAGTTATGTGATAGGTACCACTGTTGCGTAAACATTGTGTTTACCGAATGCCTAGTAACAGTGTAACGGGCTCCCCTGTTGTGTGACGTCACAGCCTAGCGGGGAGGGGTGTTTACTGAGCATTGCATAATGATGGAAGGAGTGGGGGTATGTGACGTCACTCGTGAGAGAGCAGAGTTCACGTGACCCTTACTTGCTGTTGCGCCATCCACGTCACAATATGATATTTGATTTCATTCTTCCTTTCCACACTGATATTTACTAATGAAATAGGAACGCCTCATTGAAGGTTTGCTGTTGAAGACAGTCAGTCTTATATGCATAAGGTGCAGGCCATGGACATCTAAATAGTGCTGTTTACTCAGAATATTGTAATATATGCTCTTCTCTTGTTATTTGTTACTATAGATACTATGCATGTATCATATTCTATGAAATGTTTAATGTTTAATATTTTGAAAATACCTAGAATTAAAATTAAGGTGTTAAAATTTTGAATTTATTACAACTTAGTAGTATAGTTTTACTCCCTGTTGCTTACAGCCTCAGAACTGAATGACATATTCAGTTTTATACAAAATTTTTTCCAATTTTCTCATTGGAAAAACGAGTGGTCACCTTATATTCAGGCTTATATGAAATATATGGAAGAGATGCCAGAATGGTGTATGGTCAAGCATTGCCAGAATGAATGCCCTTAGAGGAAGAGATTTTAGTATAAGTCTAAGGCCCCTTCAGTTCTAAATAAAGATGTTGTGCAGTGAGTGTCATGTGATGGTGATTTTTGTGTATGTATTGTTTGTTTCAGTGGAGTTGTTAGTCATAGTGGAATACTGCCGTTTTGGTAACTTGCATAATTATCTGCTGCGTCATCGTGAGGACTTTATTGATCAACTGGACCCTAAAACTGGGTGGATAGATCCAACAATAGGAGTGGAGCTTCTTTCAAGAAATGAATCAATTAAAAGCAAATCCAAGTAAGGGAAAGTCTTTCTTACAGCTGCATGTATGAGAAAAGTTTATTGCAGGCAGAATTCAGCCTCTATTGTTCTGTCTCACTAACCAGTGCATGTAGTACTCTTGTTAGACTACTTTCCTAAAATGGGCTTATGTGATCAGCATGTTGTCTGTGTGTCTGTGAATCCCCCCTTATTAACTTCTGAATGCCTGAACCAGTCATTATGAATCTTAGTATGAATGTCATGGCACCTGAGCCCTTATCAGCAGTGTATTTCATAAATCCCTCCCATCAGTCTCTGTCTGTCTGTATTTGTATGCCTTATATCGTTGCTAGGTAAAGGCTTAGTAAAGTGTATCCCTCCTTTTCTTGCTAGGTAATAGCTCAGTAAACACATTCACATGACAATGAATACACGCAGCAATAGAAGAAATATTGGGAACATGTGTCTGTGGGTCTGTCTATCCCCCTATTGATGCTAGGTAGCAACTAGGTAAAGATGTTCCTGTGGAAACAGTTCATTTTTGGAGGTGTCATTTTCTATGCAGCCTGTGTCATATCAAAGGAAAGGAGACAATTAGTTCTTCCTAGAACTTCTTTTATCTCTAGTGTAATGGCTACCTTAAGGCAACAGTGAATTGGAAAGGATATAGAAGGAAGACATTTTGGCCTAATTTGAGGTACTGCCCTAGCATTTGTTTGCAGGAACTTAGGAAAACCATAAAAATCCTCAGTCAGGATTGTCAATCTGAGAGTTGAAATTTGAACCTGGGACACAAAGCAGGAGTGCCACCCACACAACTGCAATGTTTGGTTATGTTCCAATATAGAATGTGGAAATTAATATTGTGGGTGGTGAAATACTGATATGACTCCGTGAAGTCACACTGGGGATCACATGGAGTAAATCAGGGAAATAATGTTGAGTGCAAATCGTTTTAAACATTCAGACATGTATGGAGAATGTTCCAGAAGATGCTGCATATTATACATTATTTCCTTTCTGCTGTGAACAGTGTTATCTTCTGGGATATACAGTCATGTAATCTGGTAGAAGTACACCAGTGTCTTAGAGGAATACACTGCTTCCATCTTAGGGTCAAAGAGTAAGCAAGCAAGATACCAGCTAGAAGCAGGTGGCCAACAGCTGTTTGCTGGTGGTTGCTTGCTCAGCTTATTTTATGGACCCTGAAGATAAGGCAGTCCATGCCTCAGAAACGTTAGTGGACTTCTACTAGACTGCAGGACATTACATCCAAAAAGATAGTTACTTTTCATAGTCACTGCTATGATAATCTCAAATCCACAATATTTCTGCTAGTTCAAAGAAAACTCATCACATCATTCAGTTGCAAGAAAAGGGAGAGGAAACTTTAATGATGTGCTGGTGCATGGTTCTACTGTTCTAGCTTTATTAACTAACTTCAGTCTGCATGTGCCTGATACACTAACTGACATGTTGGTAGGGTGAAATATGCAGCATTATCCTTCTCCAGCAGCAGTGGAGGTGATAGTCGCTCAGATGATATGGCCGTGGATTACAGAGCTGCTTGTGTCCATCCCGGTGACCGATCTCCAGCAGTAGCAGGTGGTGATATCGAAATGAACCTGATCTCCATGACTCCTACAGGTGAGTGTTGAAATTATAGTTCAGTTGTCTTCATAATATAATTTATATTCATGCAATGATAAAGTGTACCATCAGACCAAATATGGTATAGAAAAATGCATAACAGGACAGAATTTTAAAGATAGTGGAGGTCAAAAATGATATTTACATCATGTAATGCAACTTATGTGTTAAATAACTCAATATGGTATAGCTGCTTTGTTAGTTAAATGAGTAAATGGGTCCATCAACACAGTGTTAATATTTTCAAATGAAGATGAAGGTAGATATTGTCATATCACTATTATTTATAATGTAAAATTGTTGTTGTTGTTGTTATTCAGTGGGGGATGATGATCCTAAGATGATTGTATTGTTCTTAGTCTTGTGTATCATTTTGTACATTTTTAAGAGTTGTTGAGTTGTAGTGTTTTAGATGTTTTAAACTGACTTGTCCAATTGTACTTGTGTAAAAGTTTATGGATGTAAATAAATTATGTATGTATGTATGTATGTATTATTATTATTATTATTATTGCTGATGCTGTTAATAGTGATATGACAGTATCTATTTTTGCCTTCATTTGAAGATTTTTACGTTGTTGAGGAATCCATTTATTCCTTTATCAAATACACAACAGGATGCAAACCATAAAGAATGCTTAATTAGTTAAATATACTGTGACGTGTTGCGCTATGGAGGGACCCCCCCCCCCGGCCAGCGGTGACGTGCTGAGCGGAGCCGAAGTGAGACGAGTCCAAGAACGCTGGTCGCTATGCAAAGCAAGTAAACAGCGGTTGCTAAGCAAAGTGACTAAACAGCGGTTGCTAGGCAAAGCGAGTAAACAGCGGTACCCATTATGTAACATGGAATGCCACAGTTTCTACGTAGCCGTAAACAACTCCCAACAGGGTTGCTAGGCTATCGGCAAACACGGCGACTACGCAACAAGGAAGCGAGGCATTTCCCGTTGTCAGGCTGAGGGTTTATAAGGGAACTAGACAGCCGCTGAAGACAGTTCTCAAGGCAGCAGCCACCGAAGACAGTTGGAGTATAGCAGCAGTCGCGGAAAGAAGAACCGGACGTGTGTGTAATTGTGTAATTTGTAGTGTGTAACACAGAGAGACTTGTATAGCTCCTGTACTGTGAATACATGTAGGCTACTGAGGACAGTGTGAAGAGATTTGTGTGTAGGGTTTGTAAAGTGTGGAAGCCCATAACATTGTTGTAATTAATTGTAGTCGAGACTTGTAGGTTGTTAAATAAACCAGTTAACAATCCGAACGGCATCTTCAGTAACTAAACACGTTACAATACATTTGTTACCTAGCATGTATTGGCTTCAGTAAGCCATCCCAAGCTGTGTTATACGTTCTTAGTCTGAAAACTTTATTACTTTGCTATGCAGTAGGCATGTTTCAATATTCTGAAAAGAAAGAAACATTAAGAATATTGTCACATGATTGTGACTAAACTGTAGGTATTGAATAGTTAGTGGATTTATTGATTACTGATTTCTCTTTTCTACAGATAATAGCACAGTTTACAAATATTCACTGTTATTGTGTTGTTGACATGTCGCTACACTATGGGATCAGACAATGGAGACTCCTTTAGCCTGCATCCTGTCTGCGTATCATTTTATTTCAGACCAAACAGAAATCACCACTCCCCAACAGTTCCTTGATTGTTGTATATGTATTGGGCTGTTTGGGTGCTTGTCATTGGTTGGTAATGGATGCTTCTGCAATATTTCCGTGATTTCAAGATCCTAAACTTTTAGTCAACATGTCATAATGTATTAATGGATATTAAAATTACTACAATCAGTATACTTATGTCTGTGCTATATTTTTTACTTCTAACATCTTTAAAATGAGAATGTACAGTGTGATTCACTGTACACAGGGCTTTGGTAAGGAGTACTGAAGAACTTCCTATTGTATAGTGTGAAGTTTATGTTCATATAAATGCATTTATCATTTCATAAATGAAAGCAGCACATTGGATTTGGCTTGTATGAAATCCAAGTCATTTGGCACACTGTTCCAGCCCCTTACTCCTAGACATCTCTGTCCACAATCTGCTTACCCTAATGTGAGTCATAGTCAGAAGTATGCAATAAGGGCCATGGTCCCCAGTTGTGTACTACTGAAGTTACAGGCAAAAAAAAAAAAAATGCATCCATATATATTTATCTGTGAAATTCTCCTTTTCTATAATTCAGATTGAGTTTTTGAAGCCCAGTTTGATGTTCAGATAAACATATAAGTAACTAACTCCATAGAGCTGAGCCCATCTTAAAGAGCTGCCAGTAACACAATTATTCAAGAATTATGTGACATTTTATGGAACCCCGTAGTTTGCTACTGTCTTCACAAGAGCCCTCTACTGATCCCTATCTCGAGCCAGATCAATCCAGGACATAACACCTCATACTGTTTCTCAAAGATCAATTTTAATATTATCCTAACTCCTACATCAGGACTTCCTAGTAGTCTCTTTTGTTCTAGCTTTCCTACCAAAATCCTTTCTCATCTTAATATGCAGACAGCATTTTATTTTTGTGTTTGTACATAATTAGTTAAACACTTTTAATTCTTAGGTATGAAGAGGATTTACTACTAAGTCATGAAAGGATTTCCTGTAAGAGCGTTAGCTTAAAACTGGGTGGACGTATGTAGAATTCTATAAATGTTTTGTTTTATTGAAGGTGAGCAGGATGAGTGCATGTTAAGTAACAACAGCATACAACCAGAATGGAGATCAAATTACCGAGGTGACTATAAGGGCACTACTCGTCCCGTTTGCACTCATGATCTGCTGTGTTGGGCATTTCAAGTGGCAAGAGGCATGGATTATTTGGCTTCCAGAAAGGTAAATGTGGTCTTTGTGTCACACCTACCTCAGAGAAGATCAAATTTTGACTTGCAGAGGAGGTGATCTTAGTATCTCAGTTTGGAGTATAATTTTTCTGCTATCCATTGATTTTAAAATTTAAGTTTTTAATGGAAATGATGAATCTGCTAACTCCATGGAGTGATACATTTTAGAGACAAACTTATTTGATGTTGATTCCAGAAATATTTGATAACAGTCTTCTCTGAGTACTTGATACTCAGTGGACAGTACTTAATCTGACTGATTGAAATAGTATTCTGTAAATTAATCTGTGTTAAAGTTATTGTATTCTGGGATGTCTAGTTGGTTAGCTATTTAATGACGCTGTTAGTATCGAGACTATATAGCTTCTGGGGTGTAATATCATGTACTCTCATAGATAGTTACCATTGTTTTGGAGGAACTTGTCCCTTCAGTGTTCAGGTTCTCTGTAAATGTTGATAGCTCTTTCCAAAACTGTGCTGTATCACACCACAGAAGACTGTAACTCGCTATTCACCATTTTGAGAACACTAGATCCCACTTAAAAACTAATTGAATGGGGAACATGATCCTTCTTTAGAAAATGATAGTGGTTCAGTTAGTCAAGAAATCGGAGCATCTTAGGGAACATGAAGATTCATTACCATATTCGCAAAACCTCTCCACTGGTCCCTATCCTGAAGCAGGTGAATCCAGTCCAGAATACAGGAGCGTGCCGCGGGTGTAATGCGGCATTACAAGTGATGCGCGGAGTGATTTGGTGCACCTCGAACAAGCGATGTGCACGCAACGAGCCGTCTGAATGGAGCGCGCAAGCCGCGAGCCCCTCAGTTCCATTCTGTCTTTGCCATCCACACGACCATGGAAGACGAGGAAGTGTCACTTTTTTTGTTCTTTTTATAATAATCATTTTCTCCGGGATTCCACAGTAGAGGGAATGATTTGTATGCCTCTATGAGCCCCAACATATCTTCTTCTGACCGCTCCATGGTTGAGGCATGCATTCTTCACGAGAAAAATGGCAACCGAACCCGACCACACTGCGGCAACAAATCCCTTTGTGTTCGTTAGAAAAACCGACATGAACTGGATCGCTGCGCGGCATTTGAGGCGTGCGCTGCGCGTGTTCAAAGTCACGTACACACGAGCAAATAAGTCGCGAAACCAGTTCGATCTGTGTTGCATTACAGCAGCGGTGCGCTCGTGTATTCCCACCTTTAGATTCATAACTTCCCATCTGTGCCTAGGTCTTCCACGTGGTTTCTTTCATTCGATTTTTACTATCAAAACTTAGCATTTCTCTTCTCTTCCATGTGTGCCCCATGCTCTGCCCATCATTCAGTACTACTGTTTGTATCATATGAAGAACCCAGGATATCAATGCCCAGAATCTGGTCACTTACTTACTCACTCATGGAGCTGAGTCTTTTGGAGGAGCCGCCAATTCTGCAGCTACTCAAGAATTTCCCAGCATTTTATGGAACCCGAAGGTTCATTACCATGTTCACAAGAGCCCTTCACTGGTCCCTATCCTGAGCCTGATCTATCCAATCCATACCATCCCATCCTACCTCTTTGAGATCCATTCTATTATTGTCAACCCACCGACACCTTGGTCTTCCCTGTGGTCTCTTTCCTCCTGGCTTTCCCACCAATATCCTATATGCATTCATCTTCTCCCCATTCGTGCTACATGACCTGCCCACCTCATCCTCCTTGACTTGATCATTCTAATTATACTTGGAGAAGAATACGAGTTATGAAGCTCCTCATTATGCAGTTTTCTCCAACCTCCTGTCACTTCATCTCTCTTCGGTCCAGATATTCTCCTCAACACCCTGTTCTCAAATACCCTTCAGTCTATGTTCCTCCCTTAATGTAAGAGACCAAGTTTCACACCCATACAGAACCACAGGCAAAATTATAGTTTTGTTTATTCTAATTTTTATGTTTTTGGACAACAGACGAGAAGACAGAAGGTTCTGGACTGAACGGTAGCAAGCATTACCCGAGTTCAATCGCCTCTTAATTTCCTGCTGAATCAGGTTTCAATCTGTTATCGTTGTTCTCAAATATCTGAACTGTGCCACATTTTCAAAACGTCTGTCACTATATTATTTAAATGTATTTAATTTTCAAGAATGATTGCAAGCAATTCACATTATTGATACCATTATTGTAATCCTGAAATATCTTCACTTAATCTAAAGATCAAGGCATTTTTCAATTGCAGGTTATGCATGGAGACTTGGCAGCAAGAAATATTCTTCTGGCAGATGACAACATTGTGAAGATCTGTGACTTTGGCTTGGCCAAGAGCATGTACAAGTCAGACAATTACCGTAAGAAAGGAGATGTAAGTGAAAATTCACTTTCTTCTTCCTGTTATACATGTTGAATTTGAGGTTCTCACAGTTGTGACTATGAAGAGTACAGCCTTCTGCTGTTTGACGTGGATTCCCATAGAAGTTCACCAACATTTCAGAATAACGTACCAGGTCAGTGTGAGGTCAAAGAGCAAGTAGCATGCGAGAAACCTGCAGCAAACAAAGCTGCAAATAGACTAATTTTTAATTACATATAGACATTCATAGCAGTATGACTGCTGAAATGAAAGAGCATTTGGAAAATAATTTCCAGCAGTGTTTATAGGCACAGCAAAGAGAGGGAAAGTGGGTATAAATTCTGAAGACCGGTGGTTTGATGAATAGGTACCAGTGTCAGAGGAAGGTGGTGCCATCTTCCGTACCACATGGTGTTGCAACCTAGAAGACGGTAATTTTCTGAATTGACTTTTTTGACTGGTGACTGGAGAAAATGAACATGTAGGAGCTCTCTAGTGGTAGTGTAATGAAATATGCATGATTTACGATGCATTTTTGCTTTGTATATATACTGTTACACTACGAGCATGTCTGTTAAGTTATGAATTGTGTATTCCATAAATCTTGCATACAGGGTCCACTCCCAGTGAAATGGATGGCAGTAGAATCCATCAGGGATCGCATCTTCTCTACTCAGTCTGATGTGTGGTCATATGGCATTGTACTCTGGGAATTCTTTTCTCTTGCAAGAACACCCTATCCAGGTAATTAATTTCTGAATATAATGTTTTGTTTATTCTGGATTAAATATGCCCCCAAAATAGCAGCTGTTCATATTGTCAGGTGTAATAGTGACTTGTAGATGGGGTTTGGATTTCTGAGTTGATTTATTTGATATTCATCAGTCATAAATACAGATAATTATACCACTCTCAAGATTGCTGTAATTATAACACATGTAAAGTCACACACTAAGTCTTCTTAGGCTGACTTCCAATTCTTCTTCAACTAACAAAATTCCTGTGTGTATGTCGTACTGGCAACTGACTCTCCACTGCTTCAGTCCAAGTCCAAGTCCAAGTCACATTGCGACTGACGGTCAGTCAGCCAGTAAGTCTTGGTATCGAGCACCCTCCTGGGGCTCATGACCAGATATTTATTGCTCCTCGACTGTTACCGTCTTGTTTCTGTGGGGCGCCCTCTCTGACGAGAGGACGGGTCTGTCTTTTGCATATGCTGCTGGTCCTTGCCAGCGCAGTGTTTCTCGGGTCCTAGTCCCTTGAGACTTGCGACCATATTTTACTGTCTCACATTTGAGACTTCCCCTTTTCGTTGCCTCCTACGACTCGCAGGGTCACGGTGGAGGGATTCCACTGCTTCAGTTACTCTGGGAAACTCATTATATAGCCTTGGCATGGACCACACAGAAAACACCTCTTCTATTATGAGAACCATTACGTAACCTAGCAGCTAGTCACAGAGAACTCGGTTCCTGTTGTTGCTTGGTGAAGACCACATAGAAAACACAGTTTCCCCTTCATTGTTGCATGTTGGAAAGTGTTTACTGAGCCATGCCTGACAATGCTATGATCAAATCTGTTACAATATCGAAGAATTATTGTGGGAAGGAAAACACTCTTTCAGAATATAAGCAGCTCATATACATGCTGTTCTACTTAGCAGTCACTGGTCGCTTGATGGGAATTTATTTTCTCCAGTTAACTGTCAATGATCACTCACTGTTTTATGTACATGTTCGTAGGTCTGCATATTACTGTTGGACTGACTGATGCTGTTAAATGTGTAAAAAATATTCATCACATTTTATGCCAGATATCAAAATTATTTCCTTCATCTGTTGTACAGGTTTCACATCCTTGTTCTACCAGGGTCACAAGATAGGACTGTTTTAATTACTTCCAAATACATAGAGGCCCTACTAAAGCCTGGAGAGAATCTAGCATAAAAATGCAGATTAATGGATTTGTGGGGTTCTTCGTCAATTCGTTACTTCTATGACAACCCACTTCTTCGGAATAGTTTGTAGGTCCTGAAAAGGACCGTGGTTGCTGAGATGCTTGGCTGTTGAGATAGAGCGGCGTGTGCCGGTAGGAAGGGATGTTGGTTGCGGTGTGTGGACTGGCCGCAGTGCGGCCGTTCCTTGATCGTGGTGCGGCAGATGGTGGAGGTTGCTTGATCGCAGCGCAGCAGCTGCTGGTGAAAGTCTGGTCATCGAGCGCGGTCGCTGGAGCGGAGAGGCGGTAGCTACGCCAGTTGCCCAGTGTGTTGGACATGACTACTGGCGAATCGAGGCAGCCTAGTTGCCCGGTGAGTCGGGTGCGACCGCCGGCCAGCCGTGGCAGTCATTCCTGGCGCAGCGAAGTGCCGATGCCTCCGTAGACCGAGCACTGGCAACGAAGTGTGCTGATTGCTTGTAGACTGCTTGAAGACTGACCGAGAACTGATGACTTGCGAGCTTGCGCTCTGCCTTTTATACAATGCTCGGTGGGCCGAGCGAAACTTGAAATTGAGGAGCAACAATTTGCAGAGCGCTGATTGGCTAGTGAAAATGCGGAGTGGAAATTTGCAGCGCGTGCTGGTATAAATATAAATGAAACGTCCGGCAATTCGATATTCACTAAGGAGTGAGTGTTGTCTGAAAGACCGGTGGAAACAGCGTGCTATGTGGGATGTCCCCACAGATTAATACCTAAGCAAAAATGATTAATGAAGCTGATAGTAACTTAGTATGGAAGGTGTATATGAAGTTAAAAGCACTTCCTTGACTGGTTTAATTAAATGTTATTGAATAAATACATGTTCTTTGTTAGCATGTTCTCATCTAATTATTTTACTTTATTTGTAGGCATGGAAGCAGATGAAAAACTGTATAATAAGTTGGTCAGTGGTTACAGAATGGAACAGCCACAGTATGCCCCAGGAGGAATGTAAGTGGACTTTTTGATGGTTAATTTTAGCCTAAATACTGAGCCCAGAAATTGTCTCATCATCATCATCATCATCATAATCATAATCGTCACCACCACCCCCAAGTATTTAATTAATCCCTTCATTCATTCAGCAGAAGTCACATAGAGACCAGTTATGGAATGGGCAAATATACTTTTATTGAACTCTACGATATTTTTGGTTCTCACAGCATTGACTATGAAGATTGCAATCTTCTATGATGTGATGCCATGCAGTGCAGTAGATCATTATCAGTGTTTCAGATGAACCAACTATTTCCATCTTCATGGTGGAAGAGTAAGCAGAGCACAATAAATCATAGGGATATAGGGAGTGGGAGGACAGGGGAACTGTGCTTTGTTCTCTGCACTTCAGTAGAAAAGGACAGAGAACTTAGCAACTTGGCTCTCTCGATGTGAAGGGTTCCTAATCTGCAGATGCTGCATAGAGTCCCCTCCCCATTGGAGATTACTGTTTTCTGGGGTGGGACATCCTGTAGTTTGGCAGATTTTTAAGAGCTGCTCCCTCAGGCCCATCCTTATACTTTTGTCTATGCTCCAGCTTTTACCCTGAAGATGGAGGCAGCGGGTTATTCTGAAACGTTTGTAAAGGTCTTTCAGACCACATGGTGTCACATCCAAGAAGACAGTGATCTTCTGTGTATTGAACTATATATTTTAAACATTACTGTTTATTATGTTTGAATAATACATTGGGGTATCTGTATTCATGTACTTCCAGTTACAATATAATGATGGAGTGTTGGGAAACCCGTCCCATCCAAAGGCCAAGTTTTGGTGAACTTGCAGAGAAACTGGGATGTATGCTAGAAGAGAGTGTGAGAAGGGTAAGGTATTCAGTAGTATTATGTAACTGTTATCTAGTTTCATAAATGTAGGATTGTAAATTATTAAGCATATTGATCACTTATCTTGCTCATAATAATAGTTAACTCTAAGTGTAATTATATTGTCACATGTTTAGTTATTATACATGGGGTTTTGGCTGGTAATTGGATTTATTGACCACTTAAGTAAAGTAAAGTAAAGTTATCCCTGTAACAGGCTGTGGAGGCACATAAAGTTGTGAGATGTTGAAGTTCCCACATTTTCTAGACAGTTGGCTCATAGATGGCGGTAAGGTTGTCAGCCTTATGCACCGGTTGCCCTTTTTATCCCCAAGAATATGCCTGGTACTCATTTGTGTTAGAGGCTGAGTCGACCCCAGGGCCATAGTGTGGCTGGAAGGATTAGGTAAACTGAAAAAATCCACCTCATTAGGATTTTATCCTGCAACCTTCTGGTTTGTAGCATAGTGCCTCAACCAACTACTCCCGCATGCCCCTTTTTATTAACCACTGATAGTTCGTAACTACAAAGAATTATAGCGCTATTGCTAATTCACACACTTTACAGGTCACTGTAGCACCCACAGAGTGTTCTGTGGCTTCACTATGTGTTGCCTGCCAACAGATCCCAACAATGTCCTCTTCTGTTCGTACCATTACCAGCTGGTGACTGCCTCACCAATAACTCATGTCTCCAAGTGTCATATTCTTGACTGCCACTGCAACTCACAACTAACTGGCTATCCTTGGCTCTCACACTAGCTGGCAACTGCTAAATTGCTGCTGATCCTTGCCAACACAACTGCCTCTCTGGTCTCCTTACATAGCCCCAGCACTTGCTCATTAGAAAACAACACTTGCAACAGTTCTTCTATTATGGTATGTATATCCGTTGCATGGTAGCTTGTTTTGGTTGCCATGGAAACTTGTTTACTGGCCATTCTCAAGCAGTTGCCATCTCTTCTGGCTCCACTATTTTGGTTTCAGCTGCCATGTCACAATATTATTCCGGCATACTCACATGGCTCAACCCTTTAATGAGCATAATATAAGGAACTCTTACATCACTCTCCTCCTCCTTTACTGGTGCTAAAACGCTGTGTTGGTCTTGTCCCCCTCTAACATGATATTTTTGTGGGGTGGGGTCATTAGCTCGACACTGAATCCCCAACCTGAATGACCAGGGACTACACTTTGTCTCTCCCCTACCTTTGAAGGGACAAGAGATTTTTCTTTTCTCTGCAACCTTCAGACCAGCTCTAGGGCCCATGCGGCCTCCTATTCAGTGGGTAGTGAGGGCTCTCCCTCAAGAGTAAAGTGGATTGTATGTCTGTCCACCAGTCTCCATCTGATGCCGAGATTAAAAATACTTTAAGCTATATCTCCACTTCAACATACATAATCATGGCATGGTGCTTAATTAATTAAGCACAAGGACAAATTTATCTTTCACTTTACCAAGGACATATGATTGCCATCTATACATAATGTACTGCTTGTCTGTGTTGCTGTATCCTTAATTTGATCAGCTTTCCTTGTGTGATAAGCATACAGAATTTTGATAGGTATACCTTTTGTAAGACAGACACTTGCAGAATTCAGGAGATTGGAGGATACAGTTTGGATGGATCTTAGGGAGACAAGCTTTGAGGACGCAAGCTGGATGGAAGTGGCCGAAGATTATGTATAGTGGTAGGTTTTGGTATAAGTGGTGGCTGAACTTTCAGGTTCTTCTACTAGAGATTTAATTAGTTGCCAAGTGTGAGCCTGACAACCTTACCTACGTCTGTGAGTCGACTGTCTAGAAAATGTGGGTGCCTTGAGATACTACAAACCCATGGGCCTCCACGGCCTGTTACAAGGATTGCTGTACCTCTTATCATGAAATATAATGTTGTATGTTTCTAATACTCATAACCAGATTTTATTCTCTTGTGATTTCAGCATTATGTTGATCTCAATAATCCATATATTGATATGAATACTCAATGGATGCAAGGACTTCAGAATGATTATCTGAGCATGATGAATTCCCCATCATATGGTAACATGGTGTCTCCAACATTGGATGACAGTGACCATGAGTATGTAAACAGGTGAGAAAATGTACACATTTTCCAGTCAGTGCTTTAGATATGAGTCATAAGACACATTTTACTTCACCCACATGAGTACATAAAGAATAACAGTTTATGGTTTCAGACATTCCAATTGGAGCCCTCTGCATAAACCGGGTATTGGATACAATTTTTCACTGCAGTCTATCCTGCCACATTTTTAAATCTCAGACCTCAGTTATACCATATTATCAAATCTGAAACCTCTACTGTACTTATTTCCAAACTTAACACATCGTAGACCAGCGATTTAAATATTTAAATCACCCTGGGGACCGGCATTATTAACCTACTATCCTAACTTGTGCACTGTTCACTTTAAAAATTAATATAAAATCTCCTAATTAATTTTATGAACTAAAATTTTTGGAGAACACTTACCAATGCTTGAAGTGCTTGAGAATGTGGACATTTCTGGAAACATTCCCCTTTGTGAAGTGGCATTACACAGAACTTGCAAATGTAGGCAAACACAGCATTGCCTAGAAGGATGCTTCCCCTTGGAATGTTCACTCTTCACAATTTTCACGAGGGTATGTTTCCGCATATCACCTGAGAGTCGCCCAGGGTGATCCACGTGAGGCCTGCGTGGGGTGGGAGTTGATGGGCCTGGTTGCACTAAGTCTGTGTCTGCTGCCGGTTCTGCCGCCACCGTCTGGTCTGTAGCCCAGGCCTTTGCCACATTCATCAGAAATGCTTTGTATTTCAATTTTGAATCAGGCTTTAGATTTTTGTAAACCAAAAATGAATTGAAAATGGCACAATTTATAAGCTACAAGGCAACTTTCTTTGTCCACTTTATTATTTTCCTAGGAAGATAATAATAGGCCAAGTATTGATCGGCTTATGTGTTAAGACTTCTGCTCTGCTGCGTTTTCAATTGTGGAACCTCCACTTTACTTGTTTACAAACTTGAGACCTGTACTTCTGTCCTGCTGCATTTTCAAATTTTAACCTCATTCCAATTGCTTGTGCATCACGTCCTGTCTCACATGATACTGCTTCCAATATCTGAGCCATCCAGTTCTCACCCACTTCATTTCTGTTTCCAGTATTAATGTCATGTGAAATTCAAGTCAGTTTTTATGTCATCATGTAATATCTTGAGCGAAATTAATTTACAGAAGAACCTGTATAGATCTACATAGTTACATTATTAGTTATTACAAGAATTTGTGGAGCCTTGTGTGTTGATGAGAATTTTTATTATACTTCCCAGGCATGCTGGATGTTTAAATCCCACATTTAACTGACAGAACATGTCAACAAACTATTGGTCTTTCAATTGGTACAAAGTAAATCTAGTTGAAGTAGTTGAACAATTTCAGTTATGTATAGAATGGCATGTATCTTTCAATCTCAGACTTCTGACATTACAAACACTGTTTTGTGGAGGTCACTAACACTCAGAAGACAACCCTACACTTTTGATGCAGTCATGTCAAGGGTCAGAGGTGGATGACCAAATCTTGGTGTTACTTTGTTGAGTTAAAGATGGCAATGAAAATGTATCTTAAAAAATAATTTATATTAGCTTTCCATTATATATTTATTTTACTAAAGAAACATTTGTCTGATAAATTTCCTATCCAGAATGGTCTAAGACAAGGAGATGCTTTATTGCCACTCCTTTTCAACTTTGCGTTAGAATATGCCGTTAGGAAGGTCCACGAAAACCAGGTGGGACTGAAATTAAACGGGACACATCAGGTGTTGGTCTATGCCGATGATGTGAATCTACTGGGTGATAATATAGATACTATAAAGAGAAACACACAAACTTTAATTGACGCAAGTAAGGAGGTTGGTCTAGAAGTGAACACAGAGAAAACTAAGTATATGTTGCTGTCTCATGACCAAATTGCAGGGCAAAATCATGACATAACAATAGAAAACAGATGTTTTGAAAATGTGACACAGTTCAGATATTTGTGAACACAATAACAAATCAAAACCTGATTCAGGAGGAAATTAAGAGGAGACTGAACTCGGGTAATGCTGGCTACAATTTAGTCCAGAACCCTCTGTCTTCTCATCTGCTGTCAAAAACATAAAAAAAAATATACAAAACTATAATTTTACCTGTGGTTCTGTATGGGTGTGAAACTTGGTCTGTGACGTTAAGGGAGGAACATACACTGAGGGTGTTTGAGAACAGGGTGTTGAGGAGAATATTTGGACTGAAGAGGGATGAAGCGACAGGAGGTTGGAGAAAACTGCATAATGAGGAGCTTCATAACTTGTACTCTTCTCCAAGTATAATTAGAATGTTCAAGTCAAGGAAGATGAGATGGGTAGGGCATGTAGCACGAATGGGGGAGAAAAGGAATGCATATAGGATATTGGTGGGAAAGCCGGAAGGAAAGAGACCACTGGGAAGACCAAGGCATAGGTGGGTGTACAATATTAGAATGGATCTTAGAGAGATAGGATGGGATGGTATGAATTGGATTGATCTATCTGAGGATAGGGACCAGTGGAGGGTTCTTGTGAACACACTAATGAACCTTTGGCTTCCATAAAATGCTGGGAAATTCTTGAGTAGCTGCAGATTTGGCTTCTCTTCAAGAAGGGCTCAGCTCCATGAGTAAGTAAGTAAGCAAAGAAACTGTCTTGAATTTCTTGCCTGAGTTGAGTGTATCTGTAAGAAACATTTGAATGTCAGCTTGTCAAATATGCTAAAATACTCGTAATATATCTTTATTTTTAAAATGACAGCAGTATTATAATCTTTTATGTCTTTCATGGCATCAGACAGTGGTAAATATGCCTATTATGCTCTTTACTTGCCGGGTAACACCTTTTATCAGAATGTTTTTAATCTTTACATGAAGACAATTAGACATATCTAATGTTGTGCATTATATTAGGACTTAAGTTTTAGAATTTTGTCATTTTGGAAGAAACTTGTTTTGCCCCTAATGGCAGTAAATATCTCGTTTTTTTAGTCATAACCCTTTTTCATTTATTTATGCAACTGACACTTCCATGTAGGCTTTCCTGTAAAATACAGAGTGGGAGGAGATTCAGAACTATGTTGAATTTTAACACAGTTTTTACGTGTACGTGGTTGCAATCCAAAAGTTCCCGAAATATATTAATAAAAACTATTACATCTTACCTAGATCTTATTCTGCACCATCACCTTCAAAGTAGTCCCCTTGGGAGCACATACACCGATCCCAGCGTTTCTGCCACTTTTCAAATGCATCCTGGAAGTCTTTCTTTGTTAGGGTGTTTAGTACCGTCTGCGTTTCCACTTGAATTTTCTCAACTGTATCAAATCTTCGCCTCTTCAACTTGATTTTCATCTTGGGGAAGAGAAAGAAGTCGCATGGAGCTAAGTCTGGCGAGTACGGTGGGTGGGGAACAACTGCCATCTTGTTTTTAGCCGAAAATTCCTGCACAATGTAAGCCGTATGTGGTCGTGTGTTGTCATGGTGGAGTACCCAGTCGTTCGTGCATCACTTCTCTGGACGTTTTCTCCTCATGTCCTCCCTCAAACGCCTTAGAACATCGCGATAGAACTCTTTATTGACTGTCTGACCAGGAGGGACGAACTCCTTATGAACAATCCCGTCAATATCAAGAAAAACAGATCAACATGGACTTAATGTTGCTCTTGACTTGTCGAGCTTTTTATGGCCGAGGTGAAGAAGGGCTCTTCCATTGCGACGATTGCTGCTTGCTTTCAGGGTTGTAGCCATAAACCCTACTTCCGTCACCAGTGACAACATTCGAAAGAAAGTTTGGATCCTCTTGAAGCTGTTGCTGAAGTTCCCTGCAGACTTCCAAGCGATGCTGCTTCTGTTCATTTTGCAGCAGTCATGGCACAAACTTCGCCGCAATCCTCCTCATGTTCAGTTCCTCTGACAAAATTCGTTGACATGTACCATAACTTAGTCCCAAGGTGTTACAGAGGTCTTGGATGGCCAGTCTACGATCTTGCAGAATCAGATCCCTAACTTTCGCGATATTTTCTGGTGTTTTTCCCATTGATGGCCGTCCCAAACAATTGTCATCATCAGTCAGTGTTCGGCCATTTTTAAAACGCTTATACCAGTTATAAGTTTGTGTCTGGCCTAAACTGTTTTCACAAAAAGCTTGCTTCAACATTTGGTGAGTTTCTGTAGTGGTTTTCCCAAGTTTGAAACAAAACTTTATACAGACACGCTGCTCTTTCAGGTCAGCCATCGCAAAACCACAAACTCACAGAAACACAACAATGGAAATACGTTCACCAACAATAAACCCAACCACTCAACTCGACGCCACTTGCCACACTGATTCAAGAAGAATGTGTGAGGAGACACCTAGCGGTATTTCGATGTACTAATAACCATTCGCGTGCAAAATTCAAATTTTGGAAACTTTTGGATTGCCCCACGTATTTAATTGACCGCCTTTGTGGTCTAGTGGTCAAAGTTCCTGGCTGCAGATCCAGAGGTCTGTGTTCGATTCCCGGTGCTACCAGATTTGCTGAGAAGTAGTGGGTCTGGAACGCAGTCCACTCAGCCTTGTGAGGATAACTGAGGAGCTCTTTCAATGAAATAGTGGCTCCTGTATCGAAAACCGAGATTAATAGCTGTGGGAACCCGTTGCACTGACCATGGGACACCCTCTATCCTCAAGAGGTGGCACTAACTTCGCTGACAAGTGGCGGCCACTCGGTCAGTATAGTTCCCTTGCGGACTACAGGCCATGGATTTTTTTGTTTTTATTTAATTTAAAGCAATTAACAAGTTGATATGATAATAGTGTATTTTGCATTGTTCATTTGCCTGTATATTATCTGTTGGAATTACTGAATTTTTGGATGATGTACATTGTCTAATATTCCAAATAAATTTTGGAATCAGATCCAGTTCAAAGTCCAGGAACTCCTACCACTGTCAGAACCCTTTAGAACTGATTTCTTACCTGTGGTTTAATTCTAATAATATGAACTAAAATAATGTTGATATTCTTAGCCCACCACATACAGAAGGAACATTACTAGATGGCGGAGATATTTCTGGATACCTGCACATGAAGAGTCCTGGATCTGAAGTTATTTTCAGTCCAAAACGCAAGGAAGGTAATGTGTTCAACTTCTCACCACATCTGCAGCAACAGCGGCGACAGCGTAACACTGAGACTGAGAAAGCTCAGGGTATGGAACAAAAACCAATGCTGAGCTCAAGCAGAAATGGCAGTGAGTCTGATGTTGAGCCAGATCACCTCAGTGACTCAAATAGAGGTAGGTTTGGTATTCACATTTTGTTCCTTGATCTTCAACATTTAACCAACATTAATTTTAAAGCAGCATGTAGAAACTGAAAGTTTTTATATTGTTTTGGTAATAATACATGGTGCGTTCCATATATAATGCCTCCTATTTTTTTGTGTTAAAATGTAACGTCTGAGCTGGATATTGGTGGGGTTATAGTAAAGGTTGAACCTTCCCCCCAATGTACTGTTAATTTGGTTGTCGTGCGACAGATAGCGACAGCAGAGCAGTCTACCAAAATGGCATCTGACATAGAAGTGCGTATAAAAGAGAAATGTGTTATTGAATTTCTCACTGCCGAACAAATTGTACCCATTGACATCCATCAACACTTGCTAAAGGTGTATGGAGACAATACAGTGGATGTCAGCACAGTGATTCGGTGGGTAGTGCGTTTCAACAGTGGCGGAAGTGAAGAGCATGACAAGCCACGCCATGGGCGTCCCTCCTCAGCTGCCACTCCTCACAATGGACAGCGCCTCATCTGAACAGATCAGCAGATAACGACCAGAGACTGTCAATTCTGAACGCTACAAGACAATGCTGACTAAGCTGAAAGCCCGTATTTCCCGAGTCAGGCCAGAGAAGCAGACAACCTTTCGCTTGCAACACGATAATGCTAGACCCCATACCAGTTTGGCGACCACCGCGCACATTGCAAAGTTTGGCTGGACTGTCCTACCACATCCACCTTATAGCCCCGATTTAGCACCTTCAGACTTCCATCTCTTTGGGCCTATGAAAGACGGACTACGTGGGCAACATTTTCCAGACAACGATGCTGTCATTCGAGCTATAAGAAAGTGGCTAGCCTCTGCTGGCGCAGACTTTTATGAGCGTGGCATACAGGCTCTTGTTCATCGATGGTAAAAGTGCATAACGAATGGTGGTGATTATGTGGAAAAATAGCTGTAAGTAGCTGAAATCGTGTTCCATTTAACTGCATTATTATGATTTCTGTATCTGTTGTAGTTTTCTTTAAAAAAAATAGGAGGCATTATATATGGAACGCCCTTAGTTTGTAAATAAGATTGTCACTCTTCAACTGTGCGAAACATTATCACTACCAAATGCATGACTCAAATTCTCTCACACAAGGAGAACAAACTAAAAAAAGAATTTCCCCCTGAAGCGAGGTGTAGGATTTCTTTTTTATTTTCTTTATTCTATGTTATTAATTTGAAAATCTGGCAAAGTTATTAGGAGAATTGTACTCCTTACTGTGCTTTCAGAATAGTTTACTCTCATTGGTTAGCCAGAAGCTGTCAGTGTAGTGACTGGGCTATGGATTGGATGACCATATAACTTGGGTTCGATTCAAGAAGGGGTTGAGATTTTTCTCTTTGTCATTGTGTCCAGACCAGCAGCACAGCCCACCATATCGCCTGTCCAGTGGGTACTGGGGGCTTATCCTTTGAAAGTAAAGTAGTTGAGACACACAGTTAATCATTCCTCTTCATCTAATGCTGAAAGTTAAGAAAGACTAGAGCTGTACCTCCACTTCCCTATATATCATTCCTGGCACGGTGCTTAATTAAGCATAGAACACCTTTACCCTTACCTTACCCTTACATAAGTCCCTATATCTCCTAAGTTCCATTTAATCGACATCTGATTCCCTCATGCAATATAGCATAGACTGTTACAATAGTTTATCTAATAATAATTCTTATCTGCTCTGGAAAGATAATTGATCAGTTATTTTCTGTATTTCACAGGTTCAGACTTCTCAAGCCAAAAGGAAGGAGATGAACTGAAGAACAGAAGACAAAATGGCAGTAACAGTTCTGAAATACCAAGTTTTTCAAATCCATGTTATCAGTCAATAATACCAATTACATTGTCATCTGACAATTATATAAATATGCCACAGCAGAAAAAGTCAATGTATGACAATAAGAGAAGTCCTACTGAATCTCAGAATGAAAATGAAGATGGAAACATTTCAAATCCAAGTTTAATGTCCACGACTGAACATGAGCAAGATTTAAGCCACAAAACTTCACCCCATTCAGCAAAACTGGAAGGGGACTTGCACAATGGAATGAAGTATCAGAACACATTCTTAAATCCTAATTACCAATCACAAATTAAAACAAAGAATTCTACTTATGTAAATGTTCCCAGACATGATCATAAAACATCTGATGCTTCTAGTGGTTTCCAGTCTGATGCTGATGATTGCTTGTTTGTCACTTGAAGGATCTTCTAAAGAAACTACTTATGCCTGGTGTATTTTAAAGAGGTTTTTATTTTTAAAAGAGACTTGTATATAGCTGACTTCTAAAGTGTCTGGTAAACATGCCAACTACAGTTACGTAGCATACGGTATTTTATGTCTATTGTTTAGCATATACTGATCAAGAATTTTAAACTGTAAATCCAAATTTTCATGACATAAGGACTATAGACAATAGTACTCAATGTTATTAATTAAAAAAATTCGCTTAGTGGGGGGTGGAGTCCAACTGGGTCCACTCGGCACAGTGGCCACTGATTGGCCTATTGTAGCCTGCCCTGGGTGATTATGATGATGGAGAATTTGGTGGAATGAAGATTGTCAAGGGAAACCAAAGTATTCGGAGAAACTTGCCCCAGCGCCACTTTGTCCACCACAAATCCTACTTGACCAGACCCGGGATCAAACCCAGGCCACCGTGGTGGGAATTGTACTACTTTTACATTACCATGTAAAACAAGTATAGTTGGAAATTTTTAACAGGGCAGTCTTGGTGTTAGGCTAAAAGAAGGTGGATAGAACGTTGTGATTACTAAGGAGTACTGTTTTGTGGAATGTGACTTTTCTTATAGAAGTTTATAAGTGGCAAGTGACAAGTTTGCTTGCCCATTGCTTGCTCAGCCTACTTTTTGACTCTGATGATGCAGGCAGTATGTTCCTCAAAAATGTCAGTGAACTTCTGCCAAACTACATGGAGTCACATTGCAAAAGATAGTACTCTTCATTGTCACTAGTATGAGAACCTCAAATCTTGCAAAGTGATTCTTGTCATTATGTTTCTGTAGTTGGTGCCAGGTGTATAAGATTAGCTTTTGGATTTGAGCTAGGCCATTGTTTTGTTTTAATTATGTTGATGGTTTCTCAGATTCAAGGATGATATTTGTGGATGTTTGCGATAATTAGACACTCAGAGAACATCAACCAAGGAGACAGATGCAAAACTAAATAACATTTGAGGTTAAAAGTTAAAAAGGTAAAGCTATCCCTCTAACGGGCCGTGAAGGCCCATAGGGTTGTGAGATGTTGAGGCTCCCACATTTTCTCTAGACAGTTGGCTCACAGATGGTGTTAAGGTTGTCAGCCTTATGTGCCAGCCGCCCTCTATCACCCCAGGAAGATTCCTGGTACTTATTTCTGTTAGAGGATGAGTCGACCCCAAGACTATAATCCGGCTGGAAGGATTAGGTCAGTTGAAAAAACCCACCTCATCAGGGCTTGAACCTGTGACCTTCCGGCTTGTAGCATAGTGCCTCAATCAACTATGCTACCATGAGCCCCCAACATTTGGGGTTACCTCTTTCTTTCTCACTTCGTTCAAAACTTTAGCAACCAGTCCATGAGCTAACATTCATGAAAGTACATTAAGAAATCGTTCTCTCCATGTGTACCTCCCTTTCTGAGAAATGCACCTGTCATTAACTCCTTCCTATCTGTGACTTTCTGTCTGTAGTTGGCAATTGCAATGCCTGTCAAAGCAGAAAAATATTATGAAATGACACTACTCAAAGCTGAAAGCTGCTGTTATACATGAAAGTGACATATTTTGTTCAAGGTGAAATTTTACATGAAAGTGAAATTCCTGTGCACAGGTTTTCTGTTAGGTTCCATAACTCAAAAACTGGTGTCCACTTAGTTCTTTGTTGTGGCATGTATTGACACAAGAAGCCATCAAAGTTAGGACCTACAAAATTACGGTTATATAGAATCTTTTGCCTCAAAATTGTGAGCAAAGTTTGCAAAATTGGGATGGTTAATGGAATTAGTTTTCTGTATCTTATGTCTTGTGCTTTTACTTTTTGATGAAGCGTGGGAAATCATTGGAGCCCAGGTTATGAGTATAGCTGCATGTGCATTAAGGACATCAGCTTTATCATATGTCTGGAAGTATTGTCTCAGAATCCAAGGCCTGCTGCTTAGAAACTGGTCAGTAAAGTAAGATAAATGAAACTGATGGAGACCTGTCAGCTGCTGTAGAAGAATGATTTTGTTTGCCTTGTGATGCTCAGCCCAGCAGTTAAACAGATACACTGTAGAAACTGAAATCCAAGATAAAACGAAAAAAGAAAATGACTGAAAATTGTTTTAGTAGATATCATCAAGGGGTATACAGTTATATACATATTCATCAGTTATGTATACTGAATCTCGTTGCAGCAGTGAGCAAACACCAAGACAGTTTAAAAACTGAAAATCCTCGCTCAAATTCCAGTTGAGTGCCAGGTCAGAACTTAAGCTGAAATTGAAGTGATATGTTGATTAGAATTGTTGCTCATCTTAAGGGGCTGAGCATTTAACATCAGAATAATTAAAATCAATACTGGATGTTATAATCATAAGCATATTAGCAGATATGGTGCAACTAAAAATATTACTTTTTTATGATATTGATCCCACACAGTTTCACCTACTACTTATTATAAATATATTTATAAACTCTTTAGCCAAACTGAACTGTATTGTACAGAACTATAAGGTTTATTTTGGGCTCTATCCATCGTCTGGTATACATAAGACAAAAAACCACAACGTTTCAGAGACTGGATCTGTTTCTGTCCTCAGGTGGATGGGGCAAGATAGACCTACTCAGTTGGGCCCGTTAGAAAGAGTTAGTCTTAATCACTGGACCTCAAGTCCAGTCTTACTCTCTCTCTCAGATATTCATCAATAAGAAACAAACAGTATTTTGTTTTGGTGTAATTCTGTTGTTATATTATGAAGCCGTTATATAGTTACATTTTACAGTTATTGACTTTTTGGAAATTTTCCATCATCCTGTTTTTTATTTAAAACAACCCTTCAGAGAGTGGACTCTTGTCTCTGTCCTCAGGTTAAAAAATAACCTACTCTGTTTGGCGAAATCAATAGAGCTAGGTCCTATCTCCAGCCCATAGTTACATTTTAGCTGAGTAATTGTGTTTTATTTTTTTAATTAGTCCATTATCTACAGGATGCAAAATAAGGTTCAGAATGAATTTCATTGTCATAAATTTCACTATACTTCTTAGAAACATGTTGTACAGACTTATTTACTTCCTTAGATAGAATTTTTTGTTCTGATTAGCACTGCATTCTTTGTATCAGTGTATCTTTGCACTGTTTATATAATACCATGGTAGTGTAAAGTGAAGGAAATGGTGAGAAGAGAATTTAGGTTAGTACTGGCATTAAGTGACTACTCTGTGAAAATAAGGATACATAACGATACTGAATCCGAAACATCAGGGAGCTTCTTTATATATTCCACAGATCTTAAGTATCTTAATATATATTGTCACGTATTGGGTGTATAACGCGACAAGTAGATTCACGTAGGCCTCAAATTAAGTAGAACCTTTATTGCTCTTCCGCTTACACAATCACGAGTACAACTACTATTCACTGTGACACCTCAACTATCTTCTGCGGCGGATGTTCCACGACACTCTACTTCGAAGGCTGGATAAAGGCTAACTTCTCCGAAGGCTTGATGACGACTGGCTTCTTAGACGGCTCGACGGAGACTGAAGACTTCTCGTCGAAGCTGGGCTTTTATAACCTTGGCCGCTGCTAGGTAACGAACCCTCTGTTATAGCGGTGGAGGCGTTGCCTTATTGGTTCTGCGTTTCCTACGCAATAACCCATTGTTATCGCGTTGTCTCTGTTGGAATGCTATGCGTGTTTGTCGTAACCGTGGAGATTCCTGTTAGAACTACAGTAGAGCGAATGTTGTTTCTTATGCAACGGTCTGTTCTAGCGTTTCCATAGAAGTGACTCTTCTGGATTCCAGACACGTTACATTGCTCCCTTCTAAAGGTTGTTCGTCCCCGAACAGCCTAAAGGTTCTCCCTCGGTCTCGATCCTGCGGTGTTCTGCTGGCAGCGTCTGCATTCGGTCTTGGTGTCTGCTGGCATCTTTGTGCGCTGTTCGCCTAACTGTATCCGCCCCTCTCTTCAGTTGTGCTCGTCCCGAGCAGTTCCATGGTAGGCCGCGAGCCGGTCCAGGTGTACTACCAACATCCTCGACCTCGGGTTCTTTTGGATTCTGTATACCACATCATTTATCCGGGTCACTATTTTGTAAGGACCCTCCCATGATGCTTGTAGTTTTGACGATTTCCCTTTCTTTCGGGTTGGGCGATAGAGCCAAACTCTGTCGCCTTCGTCGTAACCTGCGGAGATTCCTGTTAGAACTACAGTAGAGCGAATGTTGTTTCTTATGCAACGGTCTGTTCTAGCGTTTCCATAGAAGTGACTCTTCTGGATTCCAGACACGTTACATTGCTCCCTTCTAAAGGTTGTTCGTCCCCGAACAGCCTAAAGGTTCTCCCTCGGTCTCGATCCTGCGGTGTTCTGCTGGCAGCGTCTGCATTCGGTCTTGGTGTCTGCTGGCATCTTTGTGCGCTGTTCGCCTAACTGTATCCGCCCCTCTCTTCAGTTGTGCTCGTCCCGAGCAGTTCCATGGTAGGCCGCGAGCCGGTCCAGGTGTACTACCAACATCCTCGACCTCGGGTTCTTTTGGATTCTGTATACCACATCATTTATCCGGGTCACTATTTTGTAAGGACCCTCCCATGATGCTTGTAGTTTTGACGATTTCCCTTTCTTTCGGGTTGGGCGATAGAGCCAAACTCTGTCGCCTTCGTCGTAACCTGCGGAGATTCCTGTTAGAACTACAGTAGAGCGAATGTTGTTTCTTATGCAACAGTCTGTTCTAGCGTTTCCATAGAAGTGACTCTTCTGGATTCCAGACACATTACAATATAATAAGAACCCTCTTTATCTTTCTCTTATAACTGCGGATTTCGTCAGGCTAAAAATATTTTAAACAGAATTTAGGGACAGAATATTGTTGACTTTTCTTCTCCTGTTGTACACAAGCAAGTTATTTCAATTTCTGCCATGCCGTGATTTTGTAACATTTACTCAAAATACGTAGCTTTGAGCCATGCAGTCATGGTTCAGTCTTCTTCAGTATTCTTCTCTGTACCACTAGGTATGCAATTCTGATATACAGTGGGTGGTAGAGGGAGGAAGGAACACAAACCAGACAAGTACCTTGAACAATTGTAAGAATCTAGAAATGCAAGCCTTCACAAGCTTCATATAAGAGCCCTTACAGCTTAATGTTAATTATAACAAGTTAAATTTGGAGGGACTGAGGAAAGCCGTGAAATTCCTGTCAGGCAATCCAGTGTGCCAGCTTGAGCTGGGCATCTCCCAAACACAAGTCTAGAACGTTACCTGTAGACCAGTCTGTTTACTAATAAACATGCTATGTAGGTTTGTCTGTGATATTGTGCAACAATTTAAATGAAAATATTCTGAAACTTTTGATATCAGTGATGGTTGTTGCTGCAGTGTCCAGAAATTGTGTTGTTAACTTTGATAGAGCCCTAGTTTATTTTATATATAACGTGTCTCTCAAATTTGTTGTGTTCTCTAACACTGGCTTTATACTGCTGAAGGTTTGTTTTTGCAATCTTAACATAAGCATAGATTGTTAAGTCATTTAGTGATAAGATGTTGATTGTAGAACATCCTAGTGTTTAAAAGTATTATAAATTATATTTATTACTGAGTGGACAAAATTTCAGTCTTCTAAGTCATATTTAGATTCTGATCATGGTAATATAATTTCAATTAATATTATAACGAAGTTATTAGTATGTATGTGTCTGAAGATTTTGTTCCTTGCCAGAATTGTAATTATGGGTCTTGTAAAACTGAATTAAAGAATATGTTACTAGGAAGAGATGAAATTGTGTATATTTTTAAATATAACTGTGAAGTACAAGGTGCCATAATTGAGTCTAGTTGCTAAACTGAGGCCATTTTGTTCACCATTTGATTAGTTAAACTTTTGAATTTACTACACATTCATTTTGAAGCAATGTTAGATTCAAGTTTTCTTTTAAATTTGAAATTTTTCTTTTTATTTTCTTTGTCCTGGTGAATGAAACTGTAAATGCTTCATGTCAGTAGCCGTTAATATTAAGAACCTAATTTTATTCATGTATAACTGAGTTTCAGAATTGGTCAGAAATGTTACATACATTTTATACTTTTCATGTTCATATATTTCAGTTATGCATAATGCACATGTCGATGAGAAATACATGTACCTGCTTTTGTTTTAGACATGAAATATTTCAAACATATAACTCATTGGTATTGTGAGATGAGTTCGCTATATTCTATTCAGAAAATATGTGATAACAAAAATACAGTGCCATCACAATTTGAATTTTTAATGTAGTAATTCATTCATATATTCTTATTACAAGATGTATTTTATAATATGATCATTTGTAAATTAAAATGTGCTTAATACTTTTTACTGTTTTGTTCATAATGTCCATAACTTCCATCAGGAAGGTGGAGTAGTATCTGTGTATATATCTGTTCTCTATAATAACTTATAATATCTGATTTTCATTAAACTAAGGCTATACATCATGCCATTTAAGGCTGTCCCATATTTGAATATTTTCACCCCTTACTGTTAACCAGTACCAGTATAAGGGTTGTGTTTACTTCTGAGGTGGACATGGCACTGGAGGACATTCTGAAATCTTGTACGATGAGAAAAGTCTTAAAGAAAATGCAACTTTTGTGTAGATTATTTATGTTGAAATGGAAACTCACAATATTTTAACACTTTGAAACAGATTTTCTCTTGTGACTTGATGTTAACTGATGAATCTTTATAGCTAAATTCATAAAATTAGGTACATCAAGAGAATATTAATATATCTACAGGTGTTATGTTATATATTTCTTTCTGTGTTAAAAATTACAAAGAAACATGATGTTTACATGAATTCATGGTCTAGTCAATACGTATGGAATGTCAAGTGATGAACCAACAGTAATGTTGTGAGATTTGAGGGTCCAGTGGTGGTGATCATGAAGGTTGTTATCTGGGATGTGATGCCATATGGCATGATAGATAAGTATCAACATCTCAAAGAAATCTTCTGTCTCTGTCTTCAGGATCTGAAATATTGATACTTATCTACCAAATTACATGGCATCACATACCAGAAGTCCATCTTCAACTGTTATATTACTAATAAAGCTCTATTGCAAGAAACAAAATTATCAGTTACTCTAGTTTATGTGCTTGTGCTGCATTATAATTTTATAGGGTTTCAGACTGTCTCATAACACATTCAGATTATACAGCTCTGTCTTACAGTACTGGATTTTAACCAAAAATACAGATATTTATTCAGTTTCCAAATGTACTCCTAAAATTCTAAATAGCTTGTCTCAAAGTAATTTATGTTCTTAATTTCCAGGTCAGTTAGAATATGTTCCTACTGAAGTAAGTTGTAAAAATAATGTCTGTATTGTATTGACAGCTGGAGACTTCTTGCATTTACTTGGAAGCTGATTCTGCTTCAAGATAATAATCATTGTATTCATTACAGGATGGTCATGTAGAGTTATATCAATACCTATTAACTGAGAACCTCAAATGTCATGTGGATATATGAGGTCTGACAACTGGATTGATATTTTGAGCAACAGATGAATTGGCCAACAGTGAAACACATGACTGCATTTCATTCACACACTATACTTCCATCCACAGTGCAACCCATTTATTATTTCCTTCTCTTTCCACTACATGTGTGAATGAAGAGTATATAAATGCAACAGGATGCTTAAATACAGTACATGGCTGCGTTATTTTAGCTGTTTTATGTCAAACAGTCATTTGGTTTTAGTTTTGTTTTTTAAAAAGTGTTCTGTCTGCAAATGTGTTGCATTTTGTTCATGGTTTATTTAACAGTTCTGTAGTAGCCCATATTATAGAGTATCAAAAAATAGAATGATGTATGAACTGTGAGCTGGAAAAGATGCAGAATGAATTGGAAAGCAGTGGTTGTAACCTAATTTAAAGTACTATAATTGCATTTGGTTTAAGGGACTGAGAAAAACACAGAATACCTCAGTCATGATAGTTGGTGTTCTGACAGAGTTTCTAACCAAACATTTGCTGAATACAGATCAGATATACTATGCTTGACTATCTTGCTTGTTGGGAGGTGACAGTGGTTGATTCTCAGAAACATACATAGGAAAGGAATGGAGTGTAATCGGAGAGAACCTGACCATTTGTAGACAATAGTGACTGGTACGGGGACTTGGACCTTCCAAAACAAAACACTAAGGTGTTGAATAGAAAACTCCAAAGACTCCAAGATAAAATGAATACAGGAAAGTGATTTCTAACTGGGTAATGAATACCAGGTCCATTTTAACGTTATCATCCCATCTGTGCCTAGGTCTCACAAGTGGTCTCTTGTTGTTAGGTTTTCCAAGCGAATCATGCAGTATTTTCTGACAGATGGATTTCATAGGCAGTCGTCAGTAAACTCAGTGCAGCTTTAGAAAATCATATTTCAGTTCGTTATGAAGTTGAGATTGATATTTATAAGGCTGAAGTTAGTAAATTTTTTCCTGGTGAGGTATTTTAAGTTAGAAAAAGAAAGAGCCTTAATGGTTTCATGAATTTAAACTGCTGGATTTTCTGAGTATGTAGAAAATGAAAAGCAATGAAATGACTTATGTTTGTTTTAGTAACCACATTACATTAAGGTAGAATTTTCCATTTAATATTTTTATAACAGACAAAAGAGATTTAATTGATAAATGTGTCACAAACTCAGCATAGGCATATTCATTTCAGATTAATTGATTAACTTATTTTTTCCGCATAAAATGTACATTAATTATTAAAATTATATATTTAATAAGTACAATCACATTTAAGACATTTATAAACTGTAATAGTATACAACATATTATGTTGTTATAACATCCATCTGCTACCTGAAAATTACATAACGGCATGTGTTGTTAAATAATGAATACTGAGAATGTAAGTAAAAAATGCTTGTAGCACTGTGTGTTATGTACTAATAACAACTGGCAGAAGTAGCTCTGTAAATTGCATTGAATGAATACTAATTTTTGTCTTCAGAGTAATATTTCAAAAGTGGTACTAGTTGCTCATTTATTGTATAATTTCACACCTTCCTTAAGTCTGATGGAATATGGGACATCATGGATTGTTGTATCACTTTGAATATTAATCTTTCTGAGTATATCTTTAACTAGTTTCTCTTGATAGTCAAGCCATCTTCGCTGAGTCAGAAATTCTTTGAATAACTGCTTTTTAGTTGGGAGATGTGTATCAAGAAAATGCTTAATCTTCTGCCATATATTAGCTTTGCTGTGTTTCATAAGCCAATGATATGGACATAATAGGCATTCCACTTCAGTTGTAGCAATTATACTTCTGTCCTTCAGGTTTTCTCCTTTAAAAATAAAAGAAAAAAGTAAAATTCCTATGTTTATATTCTTAATTTATCTCTCTGTAGAATTTTATTTTGAATTAGCACAAAGCACATTGAGATTTTAATGGGAGAACTGAGAGTTCTAATCTCTAGCTATGGTTTTCAGAGATAACCCTTCCATTGGTTCACTCTTTTACATTCTAGCCCTTGAGGGACAGTGAAATGATGATGTCACTGAATATGCTTGCTATGAACTTTAAACGTTCTGGAAGGAAGCTTTTCAGAATAAACACTGCTGCTAGATAGCAGTAACTTATTGTGTGGGTAAAGTTAGACTGTGATATTGACCAAATCATAGGTACCTCTCACTGCAGTTTATTGCTTCCATCATTCATCTGTCAACTACTAACAGGACTGACTGATATATAATGACAGATAGAAAGCCTTAGCCTTTTGGGCGTGTGTGTGTATGTGTTAATTTAATTTTAGCCACTATTATTCTCTACTTAGCACACAAAATAATTCTATGTTTAACTTTTTTCACTTCTTTATTATGCTAAGGGAAAGGATCATGGGGGCTTGCGGTAGCATAGTTGGTTGAGGCACTATGCTACAAGCCTGAAGATTGCGGGTTCAAGTCCCGATGAGGTCATTGGATTCTTTTCAATCGACCTAATCCTTCTAGCCGCACTATGGCCCTGGGGTCAACTCAGCCTCTAACAGAAATGAGTACTGGCACATAAGGCTGACAGCCTCACCCCCATCTTTGAGCTGATTGTCTAGATAATGTGGGACCCTCAACGTCTCGCAATCCTATGGGCCTCCATGGCCTGTTACAGGGAAAGCTTAACTTTTACTAAGGGAAAGGGTCATGAAACAAAAGAGCTGGTGAATAGTACTACATGCTTTCATCCCACTGACAGCATGTTATATAAGTACCATGAAAAGTATTAAATTGAAGGCACATTTTTTGCTTCAGAGCGTAGTAAATGCAAATGAACACACACAAGCTAATGTATTGACATAGCGGCCTCCGTAGTATAGAGGTAACGTTCCCACCTCATGACGCGGGTTCAAACCCGGCGGAGGTCGTGGAATTTTTAAGGGCGGAAAAATTCAGGGAACAAGTCCTCCGGGAGGGACTTTAAGCCGTGGGTCCCGTGTTGTAGCACGTAAAAGAACCTCATATCTCCTAAGGAGGTCACTGAGCCAAATTCAAGGACATTTCCCGCCCAACAGTAGTCTCTAAGGCCTCTGATAGATGGGGAAGCATTATTGATACCGCCAAGCCAGTAGAGGCCGAACTCGCTGGCTTGGTAGGGACTGATGGTACGCACCAGTATCGGTATGGTATAGAGACTGGTAGAATATCATAGAGGGAAGCACAATAGATCAAACTGGTCGCAGTGCATGGGGAAACCCACCCTCTCTAAATAACTAACTAATGTACTGACATATGCTAAGAATGAGAAGTCTCATTTTGAGATTGGTTTGTTAGGTTCCAGATACAATGCATGCAGAATATACAGCAAATGGCAGATTTACAATCTTCTCTACTGATGTTTTAAATTCAGACTTACCTATGTCAAAACATTCTCCTTTATTCATGAGACACACTTGCATTAAGTATGACTCTAAATGCTCATTAGGTCTCATTGAAACTTCTTCAGAGTGCAGACGGAAATACTTATGCCTATTTATTTCACGCACAGCTAATTCCAGGTGTTGTATCATTTGGCATTGACCTTTTAATATGAAGTACACGAAGTTCTGTTTACCTTTACCATCACCTGCAGGAAAGTAGTTATCTTAATTACCATTATGAATATAAAGTGTATGTAATGTAGGTGGTTGAGGCACTATGCTACAAGCCGGAAGGTTGCTGGTTCAATTCCCGATGATGTCATTGGATTCTGCAATTGACCTGATCGTTCCAGCCACACTAACCCTGGGGTCGACTTAACCTCTAACAGAAATGAGTACCGGGAATCTTCCTGTTGGGTAAAGGGCAGCTGGCATGTAAGGCTGACAATGTCAGTGCCATCTGTGAGCCAATTTTCTACAAAATGTGAGAGCCTTGACATATCACAACCCAATGGACCTCCATGGCCTGTTACAGGGATAGCTATATCTTTTTACTTTTATGGGATAATGTGTGTGCAGCATATGTTATACAAACTTTTCATACATGTAGCTTAATCTCTAAAAAATAAAATCTTTCATTTTCAGTTTTTAAATCCATTCTTGTTATTGATGACTGCTTGTGTGGATTGTCCGTGCAACCTTTTGGCCTACTGTTGCTTCATATGATGCATTGCACCTGTACGAACTATTGATCCTAATTGACCTAAACTGCATATCCATAATTTTTAGACCTACACACTTCAACATCATATATAAACTTTATTACTGTATTTTTGTCTCTTTAGAATTTCCATCTGGTAACACATAACATACACTCCAACATGTGTATACATGTAAGTGTAGTTTAAAGAGAGTCATTATTTCAATTTTTGAAATAGTGCTGTGTTAACGCTTTCCCTACCAGCTGAGTAATGGTCCCATGAAGCAGGTTATGTTTAACATACAACTTCCCCATCCACCTGATATGCAGAGGCTGATCTTATTGTCTGTGAATTAGCCCTAGAAGTTTTATGTAACCTCTAGTGTAGGCTGTCACAGTGGTTACTAAGACTGTTTGGCATTAATTAATATGTTCATCTTTGCAAGGTTTATAGAGAAAAAAGTGCTTAACCACCACATTATGAAGACGTATGTGGGAGTGAAAGTAAAGCTTTACACTTGGACATTTTATTCTCCGAAAAGAATCTCTGGTTCCTGTGAATAGGAGGCTAGATATGCTCTAGAACCATATTGTAAATCCCCATTCCTGCCTGAAATCAAACCCCAGGCATTCAGCCTGTAGCCATTCACTTCCAGGTTCTTAAACATTCCTGCCTGAAATCAAACCCCAGGCATTCAGCCTGTAGCCATTCACTTCCAGGTTCTTAAACAAACAAAATTACAAAATGTTATATGTCAAACCACTCAGGACTGGGCAGTCCATAAGTTGTCTGGAGCATCTTCTCCATGGTATTACCAAGTATGGTCTGGTCCAGCTCATATCTCTCAATCTTTGAGAGGGCACAGCACTCCATCACGGTGGCATCACTCCAGGTACCAAAGTAAGGAAACATTCTCAGAGCTTCTTTGCATTTATCCAATTGTTCCTGCTGAGTCTTCTGCAAAACACTGCAAAATAATCTTGTCTGATAATCTTTATCATACAGTTTGCTGTAAGTTAAATATACTTACATCTCCTTAAACATTCAGTATGGACTTGCCATGCTATTAATTATATGAGTCTGCATCTGATAGTTCTGACATGAAATTGAGGTATAGTCAGAGATGTTTTGTGGGGTTGAGCTCAGAAACTTGATACAAGATTTCATTTTTTATGACAGATTTTGATTTGATGATATACTTCACTTTAAAAGCCATCATCCTTGAAGTCTCAATTGTCAGAAAATTATAACTTCATATTATATTCTGTATGATTTATACAGCCCTTTGCTTAGTTTCTCTCACCTCCACAGCTGTCATATGATTGCATACAGCTATGAAAACTGGTATTAAAATTAAAATGGTCTTAAAGATATTTGCTGGCTCTTATATCGTATAATTTTTCCTCGGCATGCATATTTAAAAAATGTAGGTTTCTAGTTAGATGATTTAATTTTATAATTTAATCCTGTGTTTGAGGTATTTAAAGCTTTCTCACATACAGTTATATGTGGTGGTAAATACAGATACCAACTTTTTCTTTCCTAAGCAAAATATCTCAAAACTCTGCATTAAAAAAGCACCAAAAGTCTGCTATAAAATTCCTATAAGATAATTTCTGGTATACCACTAGGCTAACACTCTGTAGCAGTTTCAAAGTAAGTTATATATTCTAATTAAAGAAGTACATTCTGTATTACATCATCCTGTTGCACATCTTTATTAAACGTCCCTATATTTAGTCCATCAATAATGCAACAATCATTAAAATATTCACCATTCAATACCAACACGACATGTTTTGGCCACAGATGGCCATCCTCAGGTGGTTTGATGCGCGCTAAAATTGCGCATTGCAGTCTACTTAAATTAAAATCTTTCGTAAAATCCTATCCACCTTGTAAGGGGCATTGTCCACTTGTTTAAAGCTATGTGATGCATGTATTCCAGACAGTTTTTCAGCAGCTACGTCTGTGATCTGCAATATGCCCCTTGTAAGATTTGAGGCTTTCACGGCAGTGACTATGAAGAAAGCAGTCTTCTGGGATTTGGCACCGNCTGCTTTTACCGGTTCTCACGGTCTCTTCGCTTGCGGATTTGTTATATTTTTCCTTCTACCCTGAAGATGGAGGCGATACGTTCCTCCGAAACGTTGGTTAACACCACATATACATGGTGCCAAATTCCAGAAAACTTATTTCTTCAATATGCCCCTTGTTTGTGTGTTATTCCCTCAGGTATCATGTGATGTGAAGACAAGTGAAGACAACACCACACAATGCCCGAGGGAACAATAGCTATTACCAACATGACTTAGTAATTAAGTAACCACAGGATAGAGCAGTTGTTTTTAGTATGGACTCTTTGGAACCTGAGGGTTCTATGGAAGTCCTTTCAAAACATGAATGGAAACTGTATTAATATGGCAATTCTTTTAGATTTATATGACAATTTGTTAGCTATTAAGTGTGATGCTGTTCAGTCTGTAAGGTTTGTAAATAATATTGTAACACAATACAGAGTTAGTTACATAAGAAAGGAATTTTGAAGACTACAGGCATTGGGGATAAAGATTTTTTGGGGGGCGGGGGATCTGGCTTCACATCTCACAAATTTAGTTAACTTAAATTATATAATGGTTATAACTTAAATGTAACATTATGAAGTATAATTGCCATCCATTTACTAATGTAAATGTAACTGTAAAGACATACAGATCATATTTTCCAAATGCTGTCCCTTTAACATTCATCTCCATAGTAGCTTTTTCTTCAATTTCTTTGATATTTGATCTACGTTGTACTGGTATGTCTCCTCTCACACTCAGTTGAAATATGTCTTCTTTCAGTCTTGTGAACATTTTTATTTGTGCAACTTCTTCCAACTTCTCATCAATTTCACTTGCTTTTGTTGCAGGTGTTTCTCCATCAGACAGATCTCCTGATTTATATCCTCCATCTTCATTTATGTTTTGACCTGGACTTCCTTCCATTGTCTGTCACAATATACACTGAAAAGAAAACTGAGTTCTGGTTAGTCTGCTGGTAGCCTTGAGTGAGTTTGATCAATAACTGTGAAGCCACCACCGTTCTTGAATATAGAGCTTGAAAGAGTATTGATTGAATGCTGGTAACCTTACTGAGAAATTTAATAATTGTTTTAAAACATTAACACAGATTTGCTGCCATAAAGATGTGCTTTTATAAGTACATGTGGACAATGAACTGAGCAGATATCACAAAATATTTATTATTACAAAATGTGCTGAATTTAATAAATTGTGTAGAACAGTGAAGACAGCTGAAGATATTCCAGAAATGTATCAGCTCAGATTCAAACATGGCAGGCTAAAGTGCAGATTGATACAGCAGTAGACTCAGAAGGTACTAAAGCAAACGGCAGAGTAGGTAGTTAAAGCAGAAACATGACCTTCCCACCATGGACATATACTGTTCATGAGAGCAAAGCAAACCATGGTTAAGGAATGAAATCAGAAGGAAAAATGACCTCCTGGAAGACCAAGGCATAGATAGGGCAATAATATTGAGGTGGATCTTAAACAAATCAAAACTGCAGCCATCTCTATTTGTCTGTTATAGGTGGCAGCAGATGTTCAAGCGCAAATTATCGATTACGAGCGACAATCTGGTTGCACCTGGAAATCGATAGATACTAAGTTCGACTATTCTTTGTCGTGTGCCTCGTAATGCTTTTAATGCTTGTAATTGTGTTAGTATACTGTGTATGGCATGTTGGTGAGTGATTAAGCGTGGTTTAATTGAGGAAGGAATTATAGCGATTATAGCTGTGTGGTGAAAGTCGTAAGTAAGATGGTAAGTTATTTTTCAGAATGGCGTGAGTAAATATTATAGGTAGATCACAAAACTGAAATAGCAGTATTTTGTTGTTATTGATTCTAGCGTATACCGAAAACAGCTAGTATAATGACTTGCAAAATGTGTCCAAAACGAGACCGAGTTTCCGAATCTCCTTGTTACAGGCATTAAGTGCTTTGTGTTGTAAAAGTGTTCCAGAAATGCGTATGTAAATGTTAGGAATTGTAAAAAGCGCCAAAAAAGTTAAGATTATGAAAGAATGAGGTTAGGATGGACGGTAGGTTATATTGTGCTTATATATAATTATGTTGGGCACCGGTTTGGAAAACTTAAAGCAAATTTACGTTTCTTATGTTGTTCTCTGTGTTTGCATAGATATAATTGTTGCGTAGTGGCAATCTCATGGTTTATTGGAATTGTGAGAAGTTTTATGCATCTCAGGCATGATACTAGTAGATTTTATGTATATTCTTCATCTTTCCCATTTTCTACTTGCTTCCCCGTAGTAGTACAGTTAAATGTCCGTTGTTCAAATAAATATGAGATGCATATCTTAAATAAATACATATATAAATATTGTTCTCACTACTGTTAGATTGTTGTTTTTAAAATATGTTTTAGGGTGATGTAGTCTCTTCCACGTTTCATCTCCCTTCTTGCTCCTTATATCGCTTCTCATCAGTCTTTCCACCATCATGACAGGCCATTTTGAACTTCCCATTAGTTCCTACTAGATCTGAAACATCTGATACATCATAGTGTCTGTGGTAGTTAGCACGTAATACTGTGGCTGACTGTGCACAGATAAAGCGCTGAGAAAGAGAGTACTTGGGGCTGGAGGGAGCTTCTGTTTTCTATAAGGTAGTTGAAGGCCTTCAATATGGCAGTAAGTACCTCTTACACCAGTAATTAAAAAAGTTGAAGAGATAAACTAAGAAAGAAAAAAATATAATATAAAAGATTTTGTTATAAAACTTTGTACTTTGGGGAGAACAGAATCTCTTTTTGTTTCTTCATCTGGCCAACATACAGCATTCTACCTAAGGATTGCATTTCAGACCAAAACCAGTAATTTTTATAACGTTTCTTTCTATCCCCACACAGAGTTTTGGATTGCCACCTTTGAAACCCAAATTTACTGGCCCAGAGAGGATTGATTTGAGTGAAGGAAGTTATGGTGTTCCAAATGTTATGACATGTGGGTAAGTTACAGTGTTTTCCTTTTTTAATTTAACTGCTGTAATTTGAAATTATCAATATTTATGACAATTCATTATTAATTCATGAAAACATAGACACCCGCAAGGCGACAATAATATTAGTATAATTGTAGAATAGTTATTTACTGTGTAATGTTCATTTGTATCAGCTCGAATGGATGCATCTTAATTGAATGCTCAAGTAAAAGTATAATAGTTCCTTCTTGGAATACAACACACGTGGCAAACAGTGATAAAAATTAATTTGTGGAATTAAGTAGTATAAGAAACCTTGGTAAAAGCAAGTCAGAAGACATACTGAGAACAGTGCCTGTATTGTAGACATTTATGAGCATGTAACCACTAGTAACATGCAAGAAAGTGAGTTTTCCTCTTGTTTTTGCTAGTATCTTACTTGGCTTACTTTTTGACCTAGTACAGAGGTGATATCTTGGGTTTTGTCGAACTGCACTGTTCGTAGTCACCACCATGAAAATCTAAATCCAGCATTATGAGGGTTGTTCGAATGAAACCTGTTCAGCGTTTCTTGCGGGCAGTGGTTTAGAGGCTGTTAGAGATGGTCTTTGTTAGCACTGAGGCAGGCAGGTGGGGGATCTCCTATAGAAAGAGCTCTGGTCTGTGGCTGAAAGTTCTGCATCTCCATGACCTTGACACTTACATCCACCATGAATCTGCAACCCTTTATTGCTTTCTTGAGTGGGGCCAAACATGCGAATGGGTTTCAGCTGAACAGTCCCAAAGTTCTTCCTGACTTTAAGGTAGAGACATATTTGAGTGTAAATAATGAACTGATGTACAAGCCAGTATAGAAAAGGCAAAACTGTTCCTGTGCTGAATTAATTAAGCACCATGCCATGAAGACATGGGACAGTAGATGTATAGTTCCACTGTTCTTGACCTTGGCATTAGATGAAAGTGAGTGGTCAGCTTCAAGCCCCAGCCCTTTACCCTCAGTACCCATGGAATGGGAGTTTAGATGGGACTCACAGCCAATCTGGACACTGTGGAGTAGAGAAAAATCCCTTGCCCCAGCCATCCAGGAAATGGCCCATCACTATATCAACTGAGCTATTCTGGCTCCTGCAAAATCCAATGTAGGCTTTTGTATATTACATCAGAAAATTAACAGGAAGTTGTGGAAAGAATTGATTGCCTACTTGCCTTTAATATGGCATGTGCTGCACAGAAAATGACTTGTTCAACAATTCTTCTATTGTGGTGTGTGTATTCATTGCCACAGGAACATGTTAGCAGCAGTAAGGGGATACACAGACAGCAAGGTGATCTCATAAGTCTACTTTTATTTTTTTTAAATAGAAGAAGTAGGTTAAAAACATTTGGACTTCACCACACATACACAATAATATAAAGGCTGTTTCCTAGCAATGGCAGTAACTTGTTTACTGCTGTTGCCTAGCAGTGGCCATCTCCTCTGTGTCTTGCGTGTTACACTAAGTGTTCTGTCTTTGGTCCAACATGATGTATTAGGTAGAAATTAAAAACAGACAATATTGGTTCTGCCTGAAAGAGAGGAGGAGATGGTACACTGCTCTGCTCACTTGTGAGCGTCCACTGAAGAGCTGCACCCTCCTCTCATGTAAGAGGAGACCCCATTTTCATAACATATAAATGTCTTAGGGGAGAACAAAAGTCTTTTGGGTGGTACGCATAGTGTTCTTAATCTGATCCGTTTTCTTATGTAGACGTTTAATACAATATTCAGACTCTGTCTGAGAGAGAGGAGGAAGAGGTCAACTACTCTTCTTAGTTGGAGTGCTTACACTGAAAGGCCAACCCTTCCATTTCTCGAAGAGCAGATCTCATTGTCCAGCAGTATTGCAAGAGACAGACAAACAGACAGGGTATAGACTGCATAATCCTACGTTAGGAAAGGAGGCTAAAAATGTATTCGGATCGTGAAATAATTTTTCACTTAGAAACTGTAAAATGATGATTTTATTTATTTATTTTTTCATTTCATGCATCCTGTTGTGTTATAATATACAATTTCTTTATTAAAACCATCAGAACACAACTATATTGAGGTCAGTGCCAAGTTTGGCTCTGCTACATGTTTTGGCTACCGAAAGCCATCATCAAGCAAATACATGGCCAATGAGTCGTTGTTTACATTCCCTACAGAATGGACAATACTTTGTAAGATGAGGCACCGACTAAATAATTAACATTAATATTACTGCATCTACATCACGAGCCTCCAAGACAATTTATTATATATACACACAAAAAAATAGAATACTCCAATTTGTCCGTGGGAACACAACAAAATCGCAAAAATCAACATCTGACTCGATGATGTAAAGCATCACTTGAAGAATCTTAATCTTGTTTTATACTATAGCTTTTGTTTTATATAGTCTAATTTATTGTACTTTTATGCCAAGTATTTTAATATAATTAATATTATTGTATCCAATTTTACTAGTACTGTTGGCCATGTATTTACCTGATGATGACTTTTGGTAGCTGAAACATGTAGCAGAGCCAGACTTGGCACTGACCTTAATATAGTTGTGTTATGATGGTTTTAATAAAGAAATCGATGATTTTGATGATTATGTGGGTGGGAGTATGCATATTATGTGGAAGTGCAAAATTATGTTGTGTTGTTAGAAATGTAAAAGTGGATTTATATTTTTAAAATAAATATTGTTATTGTTTACACATTGCAGATTTGTCTGGTGTTTCTTCCCCGAATGTCTCTGTGTAATTGACTTTGTTTCAGGCTTCAGGCAACAAAATCTAAACTGGAACCTTCCCATCCCCTGCAGATATCTGAAATGAAGGTAAAAATATTTGCATTGTGTGTGCACACGCTCTAGTTCTGAAGAAATATTGTACAGAGGTATATTGTCATGTGCTTTCTGTCAAACGGAACATATTATAGTAAGGTTCTAACACATGCCATGGTCTTTATAGTTGCAATAATTCTGATCTAGGTTGTGATCTCACATAGCAGTAGTTGCTCTGTTCATCCTTTGTAGAAGAATGTGCTATTATTCTATTATAGATTACTACATTGAAAAATCCTTTACAGTTTGCAGAAAATAGAGAGCGGATGGAGATGGTAATGCTGCGTAACACCCAGGGTCTTCATGCCCCATTACGAATCAAAATGGAACTTCAGGCAGCAAAGAAAATAGGACGATTACCGTTTTTGCCAAGTTCAGGATTTATGAGTGATGTGCTGAGAGGTCGTGATGAAGAAATTGGGTTCGAGGACATCCTCAATACAGCAGAATTTCGTGAACAGATGGCATGCCCACATGCAGTTGTTGAGAGGCAACTGGGTTTAATATAAACATATGACACAATTTTGTTATGTAACATGTTTAAATTAAATAATAAAATTAATTACAATTCAGAGTTTTAGCAATTTAATCATTTTTGTGTCTTCCTATAAATGTGTGATGTAGCGGTCATGTTGTAATGGTTATAGCAGTGAGAGTTCACAAAAAATTGCAGCTCTGGTGAATTCTGTATGAACTTTCACTGTATAATTTTGGATTCAGTACTCGAAGTAACAGGTTGATACTGGGTGGAAACAGATTTTTCAGACAGGCAAGAACTTATATCAGATTCAATTCTGTCAGCTGTTGCCATTACAGGAGATGAATGCATATGTATGTCATCATTCTTGTGGGTAAAAGGTAAAAAAAGGTAAAGTCCCTGTACTTAACTAGGTAAAGACTACACCATGAGACTACACCATGAAAGTATATAGGGGGTGGATTTATAGATCTACACATTCTTGTGTGTGAAGTACTACTTTCCAAGGCTTTATTCATACACAGTTTTTACAATTTTTAGTGATCAAAGGTTGGATGTCATATGTACACCAGGATATATGGAAATGTCCGTCATGAAAAACTAATGTGATTGTAAAAGTCAAGAATGGATAGAACCTGTATTTAGTTTGTTGATAATAAAAACTTTTATCATTTGTTTATTGATTTTTTTACATTCCATAACACATTTTCAGTAGATACAAATTGATATCAGTGTTTCGTCTATCATTTTGTGGTGGAACACAATTTTTCATGTGTTGCATTCATGTGCCATCAAAGTCATTCTGTAAATTATGATGTACAACAAGACAATGACTATCAAGCATGTTGGCAGTAATGCTTCTCTCTTGTACTTGGTAGGTGCCTGATTTGAATCTGGCTAAACACTGACAATCCCAAGTGAAGTTTTTTATGGTCTTCATATCCCATCCAGAATAGTATCTTAAGTTAGACTGTGAGTGCAGCCTTCTCCATCCTTTCTAATTTATTATTCACTGTTATTTGATAATTTGACGCTGTATAGTCTGAGTTCCTGATAAGTGTCATTAAACTACAAATAAAAATAATGTGAAAAAATGTTTGCACCAAACTGCTCAGGACAGTGTTTTCTTGCTCACACTTCATGCCCATGTAATATTTTATACCATCCCTTTCAGACTTTTTATGAAGCTTGTAACGTTCATCTTTCATATATGAGAATGGATTCCATAAACTATACAAGAATTTCTTGTAGTTCTTTATTTACAAAAGAATATGGGGACATGTGTGAATTATGCAATTAAGTACAGTATTTAGAGCAATGTTATACATATCAAGTTAAGGGTAGGTTAATCCACTGCACTGCAAGGTTGCTCTCTGTGTACGTAGTTATAGTTGATTTGTGTGGTTAATTCAATAATATTAACCTGTAATGACCATGTATGATAACATAAGTTGTAAGTGCTCTGTGTTACAAATATTAATATATGGATTGGCCCCTTGCAGGGTCATTGATTTCTTAATTTGGTGTTAATTTCGCTGACTATCTTACTCAGAATGTTACAGGTAAAGGCATTCCTGTAACAGTCTGTATAGGCCCATATGGTTGCGAGATGTCAAGTTTCCCACATTTTCTAGATAGTTTGCTCACAGATGGCAGTAAGATTGTCAGCCTTATGCACTGGCCGCCTTTTACCTTCAGGAAGATTCCTGGTACTCATTTGTGTTAGATGCTGAGTCAACACCAGGGCCAATGACCTCATCAGGAGTAGAATCTGCTGCTTGCCAGGTTGTAGCATAGTGCACCAACCAACTACTTTGTCTACTGACCAGCGTTGTATGTGTCTGGGTAAGTTTTATGTTAAAGTGATAATGGTAATTACATAACCTAATTATTGAGACAAGGATTGTAGTATGTTCATGTCAGTTGAAGATTGTGTATGGAATTAAAAACTGAAAGCATAAATTTGTATTTAACTGTGAAGATATGAGAAGGAAATAATACTTTACAATCCTTTTTTTTAACTGCAGGATTAATTCACTTCATGCCATTACATTTTTGTTGTATGTTTAGTGGAACTTTGATAAACTGCTTTCTGTAATATGTGCTACAGTTAGCCAAATCAACCTAATCCATAAGTGAACCCTCTCAAATTTTCTTGTAATTTCATGAGATTGTAAACTGCAAATCTTTGCTTCTTATGTGTTCCAGTTCCTCAAGATCAAGGCTTCAGAAACTGCAAATGATGACATTTTTTGACTTAATTATCAAGTTACTGTGTTACAAACTTGCTCTCTTTGGGTGCTGAATATATTGCAGTGCTTACAGATTGCTCTACTTGCATCTGTCTAGGTAGGTATCTAATGCCCATTTTAATGCAGACATAATATGGCATAGTTTGGAATGCTGTAACCTGTTAATGAGGTCAGACTCAACAGATTATCCTGGAACATTTTTTCCTTTTAATTGGTTAGCTGTGTGTTTGTTTTGACATTATTATTTTTTGAGTCACTGTGTGTAAAAGAAAGATAGCTTGAATTTATAGAATCGTTGATGGCCATTGGATGTTCAAGTATCACCATTAACATATTTTCTATTACATCAAAATCAAAACTGAGTGTTAATTGTGACTTTCCAAGTAAGTTTCAGCTCTTCGGAATCACTTTCAACTCAGTATTAACTCTTTCACACGTAAACGACAAATCTTTTTCACTTCATTTATGCCATTTTCAAGTTCATCTTGATAGGAATTGTGCATTCTGGTTTGAAGACCTTGCAAGATAGCTGCTGCCTTATTCTCTCGAGCGCATATTACAAATGGGAAGCCAAACTTCTCTCGGTAGCTGCAAGATACATAATTAAAGGATTATAAATATTACATGTAATGTTTAGCTTTATTTTTTTTTTGTCATAACACTACACCAGTTATTTTCTAACTAAATGATTCTGCACAGAATTATTTGTTTTTGGGACTTCTTCCATTGTCTGGTATTCTAGAGAATAGAAAACATGACGTTTCAGAAGCTGGATCTGTTTCTGAAACGTTGTGTTTTCTATTCTCTAGAATAACAGACAATGGAAAAAATCCATTGTGTGTGTTGTACACCATTGTCAGAACCCTTTAGAATCTAAACGATTCTGAGTTGAAAGCTTTTTGATGATGGTATGATACCTTGCTTAAAAATATTATGTTAGTATTTGTCCATCATCAAAGTTTATTAAAGCTACCATGTTTCAGAAACTGGCTCTTTTCCATCTTCAGGTGAACAGAATACAAAAGAAAACCTGCTCTATTCTGTCCGTTTGTTTGGAAGGAACCCTCTCACAAAGAAGGTTCTTGGTTTGCCAGAAGATAGAAATAGAGCAAATTTCCAAAATGTATGGTTTTAATAAACCATGGCAAGGAACAAAGTCCAAAATACAAGTAATATATGATATTTGATGTTCTCAGGATAGTAACTAAGATTTCTGTAATGTCACACCATGAGTGTGTTAGAAATTTGCTGATGTGAAACACTGGTAAACTTCTATCAGGCTCAGTGTTGCCACATCTAAGAAGCTAGTACTCTCCAAACTGATATGGATGCCAGGTCATGAGGGTATTGTAGGGAATAAAACCGCAGATCAACTGGCAAGAATAGGATCTGAACAGCCGTTCATAGGACCTGAACCAGCTTGTGGCATCTCAATTAGAGATGCCAAGAAAGCGATCAGGGACTGGACTAACAGAAATTACAAAAAGCACTGGGATTCCATAACTGGACTCAGGCAGGCAAAAGGATTTATATCAGGACCCTCTGCCAAAAGCAGGAGGGACTGGTTAAAATTAAACGGAGATCAACTCAGATGGGTGGTAGGATTACTTACTGGACACTGCCACCTAAAAGGACACCTTTCCAAACTGGTACTGACACAGGACCCAACTTGTGAGAGGTGCTTACAAGAAGATGAATCGGCCACACACATCTTATGTGATTGTGAGGCTGTAGCTTATTTAAGATATTGCAACCTGGGTCAATTCTTCATGGAACCAAGTGACTTTTATGATGCCCTCATAAAAAAATTGCTACATTTCATTCGAAGTGTAGGAGGAATGAAGGGTTAATCCAAAGTGGAAATACAATAGACCATTGAAGGTCGCAATGCTAGGGCTCACCCCTCATACTCATACTCATACTTATAGTACTATCCAAAATATTAGTTGAAATTTAACCTTTTGCAATCACTTCAGCTTTTTTTTCTGTCATATAAATTGTATAGAGAATAAGCCATAAAATTTCATTCAGTAGGAGCTGATGGTAATATATCATGTAATTCCTAGGAGCATGAAAAAAACATCAACAAACAAATTTTATTTTGTAATGATTGAAGAGCGATGTCCGTAGCTTAATGTTCCTGTTCACCTGTTGGGCGAAAGCGGAATGAAGTGACAAGGTTTGGAGGAAACTGCATAATGAGGAGCTTCATAATTTTTACTCTTCAAGTATAATTAGAATAGGGCCACACCATAGCTCAAGTGGTTAGTCGCTGGCTTCCCACTGCAGCAGCCCGGGTTCGATCCTGGGTCTGGTCAAGTGGGATTTGTGGTGAACAAAGTGGCACTGGGGCAGGTTTTCTCTGAGTACTTCAGTTTCCCCTGCCAATCTACATTCCACCAATTGCTCCACAATCATCCTCACCTATCATCTGGGGCTGATACAATAGGCCAGAAGTGGTCGCAGTACAAGGGACTTAGTCCCACCCCACTAGCATTAAAAAAAATAGAATGATCAAGACAAAGGGGATGAGACGTGCAGGATATGTAGTATGAAGTGGGAGAAGAGGAATGCATATAGGGTATTGGTGGGAAAACCATAAGGAAAGAGCCATTAGGAAGACCAAGATGTAGGTGGGTGGACAGTATTAAAATGGATCTTAGAGAGGAGGATGGGGTGATATGAACTGAATTGATCTGACTCAGGATAGGGACAATTGGAGTTTTCTTGTGAACACAGTAATGAACCTTTGGTAGCTGCCCAACCAGTGGCTTCTCAAGAAGGGCTCATCTCCATGGAGTTAGTTTAGTTAGTTGCTCACCTGTTTGGCTCTTAAGAATAGTGAGTGTATGAGAGCAGTTATCAATGCTTCTTATGATGAAAAAGAGAAAGTATCAGTTGTGGCCTGCCTTGTAAGTATTAGAATATAACTGTATAATTAGAGTCGACTCAAGCCTAAATGTTGTTGTAGGTGATGAGAAATTCCACTGTCCCCCTCACATAAAAACAGAGCAACACTATCAAAACTGTGTTAAAATAACACCAAATTTCCAGATGTGATGAAAACTGTGCCAGCAATATCCTAATTTTTGTACAAAAAGTTTCCTTGCTCTGTAACCAGCTAAATACTGGTTCAGAGGTGAAGCTTTGAAATTAAAGAAATAGGATAGATGATATTTACCTGGTCAGGGCTATTTGCACACCTCAAAACATCTTATGTTTACTGTCAGTTAATGGTCATGACAGGAATAAACTTTCAGTAGAACTGAATTTTTATAAAAATAAAGGTTTGTAAATTGTTCTGCCCCTTGTGGCTGCTCAGTGTGCTTGTACTGTTGGATCAACCATGGCTGTTAGGGAATTCAGCATGGATGTAGTAAAGGTAAATTTGTCCCTGTGCATAACTGAGGAGTATGCCATGAAGACATATGGGGGAATGGCTTTGTAGATCCATGTATTCTTGACATCAGCACTAGTTGGAGGTGAGTTTCTATGGTTTTGTTCCTTGAACACTTACATTCAAGCAGCTTACCTGCCATTGAGCTGATTCATTTGGACTTTTTCCTCTGGTGTCAGGTTGTGTAATCCTGCACTCTGCTGTTCCCTGGTGGAATCTTTGGTTAGCCTGCCTTCGTCATTTAAGCGCCCAGCCAAGTCTGGATGAAGTCTTAACACTTCTTCTTTACCTGAAAGTACCATGCTTATGTAGAGCATGTGGGCTTCTGTGTATATGGTAATGAATGTGCAGGTTCCTTAAATACCAAGGAATTTGTTAACTGGCTTAGTGACCATTAGTTCCCAAGAAGGATGTTGCTGCATAAAGGTAATTATGTAAGAGTTCATTGTGAAAAAAGTAAAATTGTGGTCAGAGTGATAGCACATTTTGCTATTCAGGAGGTCCCAGGTTTGAAACTTGACCAGTAGACTGGTTGTTGTTATAGAAGGGTTTTATGGTTATGCTTAATAACTCCATGCAAATATAGTGATTTGGTTCTTAAGGTATGAGTAAGTCATGACTGCTGTATTCAATATCCTTTCCTTTTCACCATTCACAGAACACCCATTTAGTACTGCATGCCTGGTAAATAAATGAATTAAGCAGTAGCAACAGAAAATAAACCACTTGTGAAACCATCTATATGTATGTGATAAAAACTACAGTGCTGGTAAGTTTTGTTTCTCTTTCACTTTGTTTAAAGATTGTGGTTCTTTGTATGGTTAAAGATATTTTTATTTTGTCTCTGTACATTCATGTTTGTGGTTTTCTTAAAGGACAATGAACAAAAGAAAATCTCTTGCCTTTGCTAGGAATTGAACCTAAATTTTTTGATTGGCCACCTTTTAGCCTAGTCATACTAACCAAACTGTCGTGACTCCCAGATGGGTCTTAGGCAAATAAATCTGAAGATGTGAATTACTTTAAACTGCCCCAGGTACTGTCCAGTGTTGGACTTTTGTGATCATAGTGATGAACATTTGAGTTCCATGAAAGCAGATAATACCTTGATTGGTTGAATAAATACACTACTAACTTTTCAAAGCTAATATGGGTGCCAGGTCATGAGGGTATTGTAGGGAATGAAACCGCAGATCAGCTGGCAAGAACAGGATCTGAACAGCCGTTCACAGGACCTGAACCAGCTTGTGGCATCTCAATTGGAGTTGCCAAGAAAGCGATCAGGGACTGGACTGATAGAAATTATAGAAAATGCTGGGAATCCATAATGGGTCTCAAACAGGCAAAGGGATTTATAGCAGGACCCTCTGCCAGAAGAATGAAGGATCTGATGAGATTAAACAGAGATCACCTAAGATGGGTGGTAGGATTACTTACTGGACACTAAGTGTAGGATTAATAAAGGGCTAATCTAAGGGGAAGCAGACTAGATCATTGAAGGTCACGGTGCGGGGTCTGGCTTTTCATGGCTCACCCCTTACATACATACATACATACATACAACTTTTCAATGAATTAATTTTAGAGAATCTTTGTAGCTAATATGTCACTTTATTAGATGATAAAGACAGAATTTTAAATTGTAATTGAGGTTGTTACCATGAGGTGGCAGTAGATTGAGGTAATTGCTAACAGCGTCTGCAAGATGGTCTGCACTGATAAATGGGCGTTGATTACAAATGGCAATGGCAGCTTGAGGGTAACTTTCCACAATGTTGTTGAATATCCAGACAAACTGTTCACTTCCCAGTGCATTTACCTCTTCCACTCTAAGTACACCATCCATCTTGTCAAGATTTTAAACGAATTCACTGAAATGTAAAAACAACTCTGTTCTGTCACTTCAGTACTAATGATTTGTAGATAACTCTGAAATTAATTTCACTTTGCATTATAGGAAGATGTTCTAACAATATTTTAATCTTTTCTTTTTCCCTTGTAATATTTTCTTTTCACAGAATTCCATGGATGACTTTAATATAGTTGCAATGTTATTTTAAATATCTCAGTCACATACTTCCAAACGAATTTCTGGTATTATCATAGATATTTTAAGAAAACACAATTTTTAATCCCCACCCAGTATCTGAATCTCACTTCATTTTACTTAATGTTGAAACTCATTTTTCAGAGTACCCCATGCCCTCATTGGATCTTCCTCATGTTTATTTTATTTGTAGTCTATTTAACAATTCTGTCTGTAAATCAAACTATATAACATTGAATTATTGGATGATAGTCAACAATGAATTGGAAGTGATATAGAAGTGCATGGTCATGGCATAATTTAAGGCACTGACCTGTCAATTGACAGGAGAGACTGAGAGAAATCATGAGATGTCTGTCAACATAGTCTTTGCCACAGCCTGAATTTGAACAGGCACATTCTGAATACAAGTAAGAAATGTTATCACTTTAACCAGTTTGTTTGGCAAAAATAATATTTTATCATCAGGAAATGGTAAGGTATGAAACATTTGTACCTAAGTAAATATTTATATGAGAGCATTCTTTATTGTTGTGTTCAGATGCTATTTGAAATAGACATACAAAATGTATTACATACTTTTCTTACTGAATACTTTTGCAAGATTATATATTTTTAGCAAATTTTTATTACATTTTATTTCTATTACTGCTAAAAGGATTACTTAAGAATATTATATTGTGGGTTGTCATGCTTTAAAAAATTGGACACAGCCCAATGTGTAGGAGGAATATATTGCCTCTGTCTTGAAGGCTGCAGAGTAAGCCAAGCAAGAAACTAGCAAAAATGGGCAGCAAATTAGTCTGGCTTACTTGTCAACTCTGAAGTCTGAGGTATTCATCTGAAACATCAGGCTTTCTCTATGGTGTTACAACCCAAAAGCCTATACTGTTCATAGTTTTACAACCATGAAATGCATCTCTGTGTAAGGGTGAATCTCTTCTTCAGTGTTTTCAGAAAATAACATATGGTTACTGCATATGTGATACTAGTGTCTTTGTTCTTAGAAATCATGTCTGTCAGTAACAAAAGCTATAAAACTGCTCTGGAAACAAGAAAAACAGAGTAGCAGCTTATGTAGGAACTGTAGTCTGTCATATATGGAAACTAAACTCTCTTGCAGTAAGGTTGCTCTAAAGGAAATTAGATTTCTGTACATATATGAGTAACCTGTTAATTAAATAACTTGGTATGTAACAGAATTTGTTCACACTACTACAAAGAATGATATACAGCTCCAACAGGGCCTTCCCAATTAAAATAACCATTCACCATATTATGTATTTAATCAGATTACCTTGAATTAATGCTCCCACTCTCTTGAGAATATGTGACTGCAATGTTGAGAGAGTATGCATACCCCATCATACTATCTAACTTAAGTATGTGCTAGATAAAGCAAAGGTCAAATGTGATGATAATGTCACTGATAAATTTGTCACAACAGCACTCCTTGAAAACGTGTCATGCAGGGATCTTAGTTCTTGGTAGGTTAGCTTCTAACTGAATTTCTAAAATATATTCCACATTTTAACACATTCTGTGAAAGCCATTTTATTTACCTTAAGATTTAGAAATAAAACATTGCTTTCCTGTATTCAAATCCGATTAATAGCATACTTTTATGTTATGCATTATTGGATAATTTTATATAAATCAAAAGTCTGATGCAGTAGTTCATTCTAGAGATAAGAGTAGATAAAAATATTATGCATTGTTATGAATTTAATGTCTTTAAAAATATTTTGGAGAAAGTTTGTACACAATTCCTTGGATATGTTAACAGAAATAAATATGGTGCATTTTCTACAGTGAAAATGGAACTTAAGAATGAAGTATGAAATCTGTATTCAGATATATCTTCTCTATTTATTTAGTGATGAGGATAGAATATTTATTTTCATGCAGTTATGTCATATGGTATAATCTAATTGCCCTTATAGCGTCAATATATTTAAACTACAAAAAAGGCCATAAGAATTATTACAAATTCCAGAAATAGGGATTCCTATAGGGAGTTGTTTAAGAAACTAGATATATTACCGTTTTATTCTCAGAATATATTTTCATTACTAATTTTTATAATTGATAATATCTCCTTATTTAAAACAAATTCAGAGCTATATAATATCAACACCAGAGGTACAAATAATTTTTACCCTTCACAACCAAGGTTGTCTGTCTATAAAAATGGCGTTTATTATATAGGTATAAAGGCATTTAATCACTTACCTCCTTGCATAAAAAATTGATAATAAGAATAAATTTAAAAATACTCTATAAACTACATTCTACTGAATTCTTTTTATTCACTGAAGGATTTTTTAATAGTAATTACTAATTTTAATGTGGATTTTTAAGGTTTTATGTATCATAGGTGCTTTATTTTGGCATAAATATGTTATCATCTACCTTTTGGTATGATGATTTTTTACAATATTAAATTTAAGATGTTATGTTTAATGGTAAAGTAGGAAGATAAACAGTTTGGTTTGTTGTTTGATCTGACCTATGCTTTTTTCATAGCATGTGTATTTTAGTTACTTGTTCTGTGACAGTTTCTCTATCTGTCAGGCGTATTTGTAGCCTAGATTGGATCGACAGAATTTTACAGTGGAATAAATAAATAAAGTATAAATGTTGACAGAGAAAAGATATGTTAAATAAAGCTTCTGAGAAATTTTGAATGAAACCTTTTGCTGGTGGTTATTTAAAATTCAGAGACTTATTGTTATATGTGCCAGGTTTTCTACAGTGAAGTTCAGTATGTTCTTTATGATAAGAGATTTGGACCCTGGCTCCAAATTAAGATATTTTATCTTGTGGAAAGGTGCCTTAACATATTTACTGATTTTCTGGGTGGGGTTGTATACAGACATCCAACCATTCAGTAAATAAAAATCCCCCATGGCTGAAGGGTACTGGGGACCGTTGAAGAAATGTGCAATTAGGTACAATAATGTAGAATATTTTATTCCTTGCTGCGCCTGCATTAGTTTGAAGCTAGATGGCCCTGAAGAACAACCCAGCCACGCATTTTGTCACGGAATCCCACCCAAGTTGAATATCTGTTTCAGTGATTTTTTTTTTTCATTTGATAAATATTAAAGAGAGATGTCTTTCCGGCAGCAATAACTCAATTTAACCGTATAAACTTTTGTTGATAAATTTTCAGGGTTGGTTGTACGTTTGAATATCGGCAGATTCAGTTGTAATGACGAAAGTTCATCACGTTTAAGGTATTCTATTTGTTTTTCACTCTGTGAAAGGATAATAGCGGGAAAGGAATGTATACAGTCGGTATCGTCGGTATATTATAGGCAAATACGGAGTGAATCGCGGTCATCGCGGTAATCCCAATCTATCGCATCGTAGTCATTAGCGGTCTGAGAAGTTGCTGTCCTTGTTAGATTGTGACATGTTACGGAATGTTGAAATTAAGGCTAAGGTTAGGAATTTAGACGACATTGTGAGTAGAGCCAAAAAATTAAGCAAGTCAGAAGGAACATGGATTAAACAAGATGATGTTTTCTTCAGGGTACCGCAGGGCCGGTTGAAACTTCGGACATTTGAGGTTAGTTGTAGAAATACAATTCAGGTTTCTAATTTTTTGTTGAATGCGGGAGTTGTGTTTCTAGAAAACGTCACTAGGGACAAAACAACTTTAGGCTAACTCATATTTAGTACGGCGAGAGGTGCATGTGGATGTGACATAACAAACGTTTTTTATTGTAATTCTACGTACCAGCAAGGTAACTGAATATGTGTTTGCTTAATTAAAATGTTCAGACTGTACTATGAAATTGTAGCCCCCCCCCCTCCGCCTGCGTTACAATTTTATTTTTAAAAACAGTCCTAAACCTAAACTAAGGTTTAGATCATTTAAGGGAGCATTGGACAGTGGTCAGTTTTTTACGAGTGTCGTTGTATACTAGAATTTAATCGAGTATGCACTAGCTGAAACATGTGACGGTTGTTTATTAAAATATATCAGTTTGAGGTTTTATTTGTTGTTCGTGTAACGTGTTATACTGTACGAGCATTTTGAGTTTCATAGCTGCTACAATGCTCCATCTCTTTATGAGCAAATAGAGTATGGGTTCCCCGTCATCACATTTCAGGGAAGTTTTTGAGCTCAGACCATTTCTTACTGATTTGTTTTGTTTGATTATGTTAGTTTAAGTCAGATTAACATATTTGAGTTTAAGGGGCTGCATGTATGAGGAAGTGAGAAAAACTTCAAGAGGTGCCTTCTCAGTTGAGATTTGAAGAGGTTGCTTCCTGCTAATGAGTACACTATGATGTTTGTAGTGTTAGCTTTGTAGAGTCAGTGGCAAATGCTCCACTCAGCTAATAATGCATTGCCAGACCACTAGAACCAGAAAATACTCCTATATCATGAAATAATCTTGAGCGTGTAGTTTACATGCCCTAGCATTTATTACCTAGTGTCTGCTAGGCCAGAGAAGCAAGTAGACCCGTTTGGCTAGGTGTTTCAGAACTGTATTTTTGACCAGGTAAAATCATAGTATGTAAATGTGGCTGATAATATGCTGGGTGCAGGCTAGACAGATAGTGTGTGGTGTTCTGGATTGTGACACTATGTAGTCTTGTAGATGGATATTTGAAATTAGGCCATGACTGCTTTCTTGCATCTCCGTTGTTCATTGTATTCTAATTGTTTGATGCTGTGAAGTCTGAGTTACTGACAGTATCAGTAACTGTAAATCCAATTCAAGTAGTGAGAACTGATTTTTTTATTTGTATGCTTTTCAGGATAGAACTGCTGAGCTTATATTTTATGACCGGCCTGAGGGTGATGGTCCCAAGTTAAGTGAATATGAGAAATACACTTTTCCAGATGGTTCTAAGATAACATCAATACTTACTCATGCATTAGGTGTCAAGGGATATGTCAAGAAGGACCGACAGCTGTTCATGGTCGGGCAGACAAGAGTGCATATCGATCATGTTGAAGATTTGGGAAATTTTATGGAACTTGAAGTTAGTACTTAATATTACAGTAAGTTTTATATAGAAGAAGAGGAAACTAGCAATTAAAGCTATTAACAGTTAAGGCTGTGTAGTGCTGATAGCACTGGACACACAGAGAGCATTTATTGTTCAGTAGTGATAATATAGTTATGAGTGTAGTGTCAATTGTACATTTTGATTTTGGCATGTGTATTTCATTTGCAAACCCATCCATTTAGTGTTGTTTCTTATTTGGTAATTCTTTTTATTAAACTTTTATAATGCTATGTCATATCACTGCTGTTGTTTAGTACTTCAGGATTTTCATTTTGTGACTAGAAAATTTATTCAGAACGTATGAACTGTAATGCCTAATCCCCACTTCCCAGCAAATCTTTGGAAAGGTCTTGCTTTGATATACCACTTTCAAGAAGCAGCAGGCTCTTCAGCTTGCAGATTCTCAGAATTAGTCAGCAGTTCTTGTGAAAATGATTGTAGGTGTAACAAAAACAGTTCCATGTTTACAGGTCATTCTGTCCAAGGACCAGACAGTGAGTGAAGGACAAGTAATAGCAGAGTCACTTATGACTGATTTGGGTGTGGAGACGGAAGATTTGATATCAGGAGCATATGTGGATTTTCTGCTGAAATAAAACTTAACATTAATTCCCATCAGACACACACATGAATAAGTGATATGCACGAAATGGTAAGTTGAGAGTGAGGTATTTTGAAATTGCATTTTTATTAATTTCAAGGGGCGAGGAAAACTGTAATCATACCCATGAAGATGAGACGATGGAAACCAATTCTGCAGGGTCCTAAGAGCTTTGTATTATACCTTCCTATCTCTGGATGTTGACTATCATCTGATATTGTAAATGAGAACACATTTCAGCAGTTTAATCTGCTTCTGTCCTCAGGTGAGGTTCAGTTATTAGGATTAGCTCTTTCAAATGGATTAAACTTTGTAGGTAGATCACAATCGAGGATGGAAACATTCAGCCTCTGAAACATTTGAGTGTTGAGGTTTTAAAATATTGAACAATAGACAAGATTCAGAAATCTAAGCGACGGCAAGTTAAACGAAAGGTGTTTGTGAACAGCTGTAGCTTTAAATCATTCACCATTTGTATGTGTTCACTTTGATTTGAGTTTGAAGAATACTGTCTGTTTTCACTGATTGCCTATACCCATAAGACAAGAAACTCTACTCTTGGTGAGCTGGAATGCTGGGAAAGTACCATGAAATAGACCATGATCATTTCTCCCCACTCCTCTTCCAGTTCAGCATATATAAGCATCCTCTCATCTCATTCTCTTATAAATATGCTCAGTGGATGCAATGCTAAATGGTTGAAACCAGACTTTGCTGCCATTCAAAAAATGAAGTAAAATGAATAAGTGGATGACAAGGTGAGGCTTACTTGAAATTTCTATTTAAATTAATATTGATCAATAGTAATTTAGTTTGCTTTGAAATTGCTATGCTGCATTTGTGTTTTATATACATTTATATATATATAAATTTTGTGAATAATTATAGCTAAATGTCTGAAATGTAAAACAGGATCTGAGAAGACTTCGTGCTTGCCACATGGAAAGAAGACATACAAAAAATGCACATCTGGATATCTTCGCTTTTTACAGGCACAAAGGATATCTGAGGATTGAATGATAATTGATTTACCTTGCAAGGCGAATATTTAATAAGCACTTCAGATCTTTAAGGAGTGGGGTGTCTTAGTGATTGTAAGTGCCTAAGTTTAAATAATTACAGATTGATAGACCTGATGTTAGCAACAAGTACATTGTATGTGTAATAAAGATGCATAATGTTTTATGTATTATGTGAAACAAATATGGGGAAATGAACATGCAGTTTTTTGAAGACATTGTTGTGAATCCTTAATTATGAAGATTTAATTTAGTTTATGTTTGTAAATCAAATGCTGTTCACTAATAAAGCATGTGTATGACTGACCTCCAGTGATTGTCGTCACAGCCCAGTAAGTTTCCTACAAACCGTTTCATCCTGCATATCTTCCCAAAAGAATGTCCCGAGTTTTATTCCTTAGTTTCCTTAGCTTGAAAATACAGTATTGTAAAATAAGCTACCTTTGTTGTATGTTACATGGTCTGAAATTATCATGTTTCCCTTCATTGTGTTTTAAAAACGTTTGTCTGCTTAGAAAGGAATTGATGTATACATGTCTTCTTTGTTTGACTTTTCAGTTATGTGTGGGACATCTAGCAATCAATCCTCTACACCTATTCCTGTGCTCCTAAAGCTTCCGATCCACAATTTCCTCCCACATTCTCTCTTCCTCCTGTGATGTTTGTGAATGTATATGACATAATTTGCATATATGAGTATTTGTATGGTGGTGAAGTTGTAGAGTTTAACCTTATATATGAGGTTCTTCAATGCTTGACATGTAAGAAGTCTTCTTAAAGTATGCAGAATATTGGTTCAAGATACTTGAATATATCAGTGATCCTGTGGGAAGAATTCTTGGTTTTAGATGCTGAATTTTGATCTATGAAATTTCATTCCATAGAAACTTAAGAAATATAAAACTTTCAGTGGGCCTACATTTACTTTTGATAAAGTCCATAAGCATTGTGATTACTTAAGAGAAAGTACCTTATGGTTTAAGCAGACAGTGAAAGAAATAAATTTTGTGCCAAGCATGGTGCATAATATAATGTTGATGTGTGTTAAGTGTTTTATTGTATTGTCACATGTATGAAGTGACTAGGGAGGGTATTTTTTGACTGGACAGTGGATTAATTGACCACTTTGACACAACTCGGTAATTACGCCTAATTATAATGCCATTGCTGATTTTACTTTACTTTATAAATCATGATAGCACACGCAAGTGTTCTTCTCTTACTAGACGTCTCCATTGAACGGCTCCAATTCCTCTGCTTCCGTGCTCAAGACCTTTCTGAATGGTGGCTCCCTTCCAACTGCCTTTTCTTATCAAAGTCAAAGACACATTGCGACTGACGGTCGGTCAGTCAGTCAGTCAGTCAGTCTTGGTGTTGAGCCCAATCTGGGGCTTAAGACCAGATATTTATTACTGTTTGACAGTTATGGTCTTGTTATTGTAGGACGCCCTCTCTGACGAGAGGCTTCTTCTTGCTTCACTTGTCCTCTTTATAACCCCTTTGCATGGACTGAGTAGAAAACACCATTTCCAACAGTACATCTATTGTTGCATGTGTATCTGTTACTGTGGAGCTGTGTTTACTGAGCCATTGCCTAGAAACTGCTCTACACGCATGCCATGCATTGCCCTAGTTACTACTCTAATATGGACATAAAATGTCCATGGTATGGCATGATGGAGATTGGTGGTCTGAAGACAATGAACATGGAGGAGCTAGAGCAAGGGTTTGTGTTTTCTGTTGTTCAGAGAGCCATTGAGATACTAAACATGTGTTAGGTTGTACTGAACATACAGGTTGGATAATTAATTTAAAATTCAAGAAATAGCTGAACTGTAATGGATATAGGATGCTTATTAATTGTACTAGGACACACAGTAGAATAGTTGGTTGAGGCGCTATGCTACCTCCCGGAAGGTCACAGGTTCGATTCCCAAAGAAGTCTTTGGATTCTTCAATTGACCTAATCCTTCCAGCTGCACTTTTGGCCTGGGTTTGACTCAATATAACAGAAATGAGTACCAGGGATCTTCCTCGGGTGAAAGGCAACTGGCACATCGGCTGACAACCTCACTGCCATCTGTGAGCCAGTTGTCTAGAAAATGTGGTAGCCTGGATGTCTGAACCCTATGGGCCTCCATGGCCTCTAACAGGGATACCTTTATTATTTTTTAACAATTATATTAGTAGATATAATTACCATATTGGTAATTACTGTTTTATGCACTGATATCCTGTGTTTGGGTGATAGCACCGTATAGTGGTGGACTGTTTTGCCAGTGTTTTGGAGATCCTTACTATCTCCACATTTCTGTGTACAGGAAGCAACTATCATATTGCCGTTGCTGATGTTTGAAGTGTACTGTTTGGTCATTAAGTGGTAACTGACAGGAAGCAACATAAGGGAAGAGCTGATCTCTTTCTTGCAGAGTAAATGGTTGAAATTTTTGGGAAGCCTGTATAGAAGATATGGGCTTCCCCCTTTCAAAGTATAGGTATCCCAAGTAATTTCTTCAGGTTTTCGGGTTAAATTTTATTATCTGCATAATTTCTCTAGTGTGTGTGTGTATTATCTTGTTCATTTCAACCTCTATTTGTTCATCTTATGATAAACAGCAGAAATTGTGAAGCTTGTTATGTAATTTTCTTCATCTTCCTATTACTTCCTCTCTCTTGGATGCAGATATTCTCCTTTGCACCCAGTTTTCAAGCACTGTCAATTTGTGTTCTTTCCTTAGGTTGCGGGACCAAATTTCACACCCATGCAGAAGAACATGTAAACTTAAAAGTTTATTGTGTTAAGTTTTTGTGTTTCTGTATATCAGATTTGGTAGACAAGGGTTTACGAGCTGAATAGTAGCAAGCATTCCCCAAATTTCATCAGCTTTTAATATCAGTATGAATATAGTTCTTCTTTGTAATGATCATTCCCAAATATGTGAACTGTGACATTTTTTAAGGATTTATTAACCATATTTTTGTACTATCATCCAAACTAGAAACCTTCAACTTGTTCCAAATCTTCTCTAGTTCATAATCACAAAGTATCCTGTCATTGGACACCATAGTCTGAGCTGCTGACATCATTAAATAATCCACAACCCAATCAAAGCACAAAATTCAATGTGGTGTAACAGAGTTAGTACTTCAAGCAGTGTCTGAGTGGACCTGGATTTCAGTCTTGGCAGTGACCTATTGCGTCAGGTCTCTCATGGTTTTCCTTATGCAGCCCAGGAAAGCTCAAGATTAATGCCTAATAATAGGCCACGACTGCCATCTTCCACATTCTTCGTAATTTGTCCATAATCACCCTTCTGTTCATGTATAACCTCAGTTAAAGGAGTCAGGAAATATAATTTTAAAAAGAACAACTTATGTTTCATACATTTAAGACAAATGACCACGGGTTTTGAGTTCATTGGCCGACAAATGTAAGGTTTTCGCCTTGTCAACGCGCGCAAGCAGGTTCCGGGACCCACCTAGTGATGGACAAGGGCATTTTTTCATTGCGAGTAAGGCCGCCCTTATCTTGAAGGTTATTGTTAGTCTAGTTCCGAAGTTAATTTGTGGAACTTAACCTTCACATCCACTCTACCTCATAATGCTCATAATAACGTGGAGCTTCGGCACTGGCGCAAGCTTACCGTTCACGAGAATACTCCATTTGTTCGGTTTGCAGTTTTGCTTGCATCGCGATTCCATCTTTTGGTCATCACGTAATCTCTTCCTGGGGGCACCGTCCACGTTTTGTTAAAATTTCCTTGTTCCGTTAGAATATGTGAAGATGGCTACCTCGCGGTCGGGTGGGTAAGCTATCTGTTTTCAAGAGGTCCACGGTTCAAATCTTGGCCCGGAGACATGCTATCATGACAGTTTTCCTCTGTCTCTATAGGCAAATACTGGGATAATGCCTCAAATTAGGGTACGATCACTTCCTTTCGCATCCTTTCCTATTCACTGTTCGCTAATGCCAGTCGTCGCTACTGGAGCCTTGGCAGTGTCCTCAATTAAATCGCGAATAAATAAATAAGAGGCATGAAGTCGCTTCCATATCTTTTATCCGTAACATGAATGTAGTTGTAGGTTTAGTTCAGAAAGCAGTGTCATATACTGTCTTCACGGTGTGAGGAAACCCACGTCGAATTTGTTGGCCGAGTCCCGGATACACGAAAACAAGAACTGTGACGTATTAAGAGTACTGGTATTTTCTCATTTCTACATATAAGCAGGATTTTCCTATTATTGTAATCTATGGTTGTAAAAGGAGTGATGTGGGTTGAAAATGATAAACATTGCTGGCTTTGCAAGCTACTAGAGTTTGCATTCTGTTCGACGATAGGTAACATTTACGCCATAAATCATACATAATGCTTGTAAAAGCGACAACATTAACCCAAGTATCTGATAGCTAGTTCACGCGTCAAGGATCTCATAGGCACTATACTGATATTTTTGGAGCATGTGTATGACAGAAAGTTCATGTCAACCCGGCTAACACTTACGTAATCCGTTCCTTACTTACGGTTTTTTTTTTCGTTTTGATCATTTTACAGACGGTAGGACTCCTTGGATGAGTGATCAGCTCGTCGCAAGGCCTCTACCTAAACACAGGACAACACAAACACAGAATAAACACATACACATACCAAACATCCATGCCTTGTGTGGGATTCGAACCCACGATCCAGGCTTCCGAGCTAGCGAAGGCAGTACATGCCTTAGACCGCTCGGCTGCCGTGACCGGCAGCTTACACTTTCAAAGGGAAAAATAGAAATTATTACTTTCGTGGTTCTGTGACACTCCTTATGTTGGCAGGTGAAGCGATCAGGTAATTTGTGGTCTGCCACCACCGGCCAGCCCATCATAGGCGTCGTTAGCCACTTCTTTGAGGCTTACGTTAGCTGTTTGTGAGCGCAGGCGCAACGAGACACCATATTGTAGGTTTTAGGGATAGAAGGGAACCGGTAACATTCCAAGCTATTATGTTAGCCAGACGAGGACTGTTAAAATGATGACACTTAGCGTCACCACCTTCACCTGCCTCGGAATTTGGATAAATATTTTGAAAAAGTTACGCTTTGACTCTGGCATAGAGTCATATTTCAGACTGAATTTTATTTAAATTAGTAAAATTTATTAAAATTCCTTACAATTTTCGATAAAGTCGCCGGTATATATAAACATTTGTGTTTGAGTATTTATAATTTGAAATTATATCAATACCCACAGGGCAACTGTACAGGAAGAAGCTTATGAATATCAAATAATTCGATCCAAGGAGTGATCATTGCGAAGCCGATACTTAGGTGATCATAATATTCCCTATGTTTTATGGAACCCGAAGTTTAATTACAATTTTCGCAAGCAGCGGCCACTAAACCCTATCCTGAGTCAGTTGAATTCAGTCCATACCCCATTTCTTTAGATCTATAGCCCAAGCGGACTGGCGTAGCGATAATGTTCTAAGCTCATAGTCGAGAGATGGCCAGGACATCGGTTATTATGACAGTTTTATGGTCTTCCTCAGTCCCTCCTTGGAAATGCTTGGATAGAACCCCGAATAAGCCACGATCGCCTCCATTAAAATCTTTCCTAAGTGATCAGTCTTGCCAATTGACACTAGATAACTTAGATATTGATAGCGATAGCTTAATAGGTATAAAGATAAGGTAGCGGCTTCTCTTCTGTTTCTACCCAATTGATATGGGTAAGAGCGGTCGGTGCGTGAAGCTCATCACTCACCTACGTCTGGTACTGTGTACCTACACCTGCGCTCACACACACTCCTTCATGATGCGGCGCTTAATTAATTAAGCACAGAGAGAATTTTACTTCTTTTTACTGAGAGCGCCGTAAAATAACCCACCACATCTATTCTTTGGTATTCGAGGTGATGTCTTCACTTCAGGATTTCAACTAAAATTGCTTACATATATCCCATTTTTTCGCGCTATATTTCCCTTCTATCTGACCGCCCTCTGATTTTATCACCATAACAATATTTAATGTAGAGTGCATAAGGCCTAATTGTATTT